TTTTTTTGCCTTTTTCTCTTTCGGTGCCAACGCGCTTGTGAGTAAGTAGGTCATGCAGCGCCGGTGTAAACGCAGGAACGCGGTGGAGGAAAAAAGTTATTTTGGACTTGGGCTAGCTGTTGGCGTACCATTCTTTGCAAGTCAGTCAGGCAAAAGCGACGATCTCTTTCTCGTAATGCTCATGAACTTATGCGCTAATTTCCTTTCTACGTGATATCCACTTGGTGCCTTTTTTTTCGCTTCTTGAGATTTGTCAAATGCTCTGACCGGGAAGGGTACCCATGACGCGCACACATGTCTAATATGGAGTTTCGACAAGAACAAGGCATTTCGCTAGCAAAGGGCCTAGTAGCAGTGGGGAAACGGAAGGATGTGCGCTGTGCGGTTTTTTTTTCGGACGTCGGTGAGGAGATCCAGAGATCCATGCCGGCGATCTGGAACTTTAGTTCGACTCAAGACTCTCTAGTCTTACCTATCTTTTGTTTTTACTTCGTGCCTTGCTTTCACCCCTTTTTCTTGGGGGAATTGCATCAAAGATTAGTTTTTTCTCTGGGGTTGTAAGCCACTTTCCACATGCTGATTCCTCGTTTTGTGTAGCGAGACGTAGTAGCGAATGAGGCGTTGCGACGTTTTTTTGTTTTGCAAACGCCATACATACCGATACGATGATGGGGCGTGCGCGCGAGCGTCAGCACGACCCACGCGCTCTCGTGTTGCTAGCCTGTCTTTTTGCTCGCCAATGGAGAGGGCAACAGGGTGTACCTAGTACGCTGGCTGTGTTTCTCGTGTTATTCCGTTGTTTTTGACTTTTGTTGGACGGAGGCGAGATGCAAGGCGGCCATGTCGTGTCAAGTCCTGGGTCTGTTAAGACAGGGGAAACGACATAAGCCGTGTACCCGTGAGCCAGGACTTTGGTCGCGTGCGTGGGGCTGATGAGTGGGTGGGTGAGATGGGATTGTACAGTATTCGCAGCAGGCAGCGACACCTCGGCCCTGATCCCAAGGCGTCAGCATAGATGGGCCATTGCTTTGGGGGCAAGGCTGACCGGTACCAGGCCTCCGTATCTTTTTTTTGTTGGTCCCCGAGGCGGTAGAACATTCCGTCTGAGCCGGCATAGGATTCGCTGAGGATTCGCTTACGAAACCGTTTCGGCGTCCTCATTTTGACGTAGCTGAGAGTCACTAATGCAGGGCACTTGCGAGGCGAGGTTGCCTACCGGGATGGTACAGCCTCACAGCATGTATACAATGGCTTTGCTTGCTTTTGTGGTTGGAATGCAGGACAAGCGCGCAGGGAAACAAGGGCGCTTAGCACAGGCACATGTGTGAAGTGAACAAGGATAGAGATTATCATTGGATTGGTATTCCGGGTCATTATGTACAGTGTATCGTAATGCATGTAAGCAACAAACGCTCAGTAAACAACAGTAAAAACAGGAAAAGAGTCGGTCAATAGTCTAGCCAGTCTAGTTCCACCAGTACTGTCCACCGTGCTTCTTGCACTCAGTCACTGAAGGAGCAGGAGGTGCCGTCGTGGTCCTGGTGAAAGTAGCGCCATAGGTCTTGGTTGTGGTGGTGGTAGTGAAGCTGAAATTGACCTTGGTCTTGGTAGGAGTAGGCAGGGTAGTCGTCTTGGTAAGAATACCAGACAGAACGGTGGGAGGAGGGATCGTCGAGGTGACCTCGGTGGATTGCAGCACAGTCTCGGTGGTAGTGATGGCTGCGGCAGTCTGAGTGACGGTTGTAGAGACGGGCGTCTGGAAAGTGACAGTGGTGGTGGGAGCGTCAGGAGCACGGCGGTTGAGGTTCTTGGCCGCTTCGCGCTTCTGCTTTGCGGCCTCGATGCGGGCACGCACCCATTCAACGTCAGCCACACGGTCAGCCCTAGGAGCCCAGCGGCGGGCCTGAGGAATGACTGTAGGTGTGACCAACGCTGCAGGGTGGATCTTGGTAGGCGAGTACTCGCAGGGCTTATCAGGCTTGCCGGTGTGGGGTTTGCTGGTGCAGGTTGGAGTGACGGTCTTTGTGGTGTAAACGAATTGCTTCGTGGTGGAGACCTTTGTTCGTGTCATGGTCTTGGTGGATGTGGTAGTCACTGGCTTGGGGGTGATAGTCTTGATCTTCTTGGCCGTTCCGCTGGGCATGGTGACGGTCGAGAAAGGACCGACAGTGATAGTGTCGGTCGACGTCGTGATAACAGTCTGAGTGATGGTAGGCGTGGTGATGACAGACATTGTCACTGTTGGGGTGTAGGTGGTGGTGACCTGTGGGCCCACAGTCAAGTAGAGATCTAGAATAGTTAGCATCAAGGCAGAGGATTAAGGATGTATGGGACGTACCTCTTTGCCACGCAAAAGGCTGGCCGCCTTTGCCGTTGTTGCCCAAGACCAAGAGAAGCCAGTGTCCAGAGTTCATCTGGTTCTTCTTGATGGGACATGTCGACAATTTGTTCTCGTTTGCAGGGGTAGTGAGGATCTGGTCACACAAAAACTCAGTCTCCCCTGGAGTACCCTCGGGTGCAACGAGAAGGACGTCTGCCTTGTCTTCGTTGCAGCCTTGGAAGTAGGAGACAGCACTGAAGGCCTCGGTGGATTGGGAGTCAATGAAGTATTGTCCCTCATCGACAAAGTCAACACCATAGGAGTAGCAAATGCCCTCTGAAGTATCGCCTTGTGAGCTAACGAGCGGGACGGACGCAGCCGCCAAAGTAAGGAGGATAGAACGAGAGTACATGTTGCCGGTGTTGTGCAGGATGTATCCAAACGAGAGAAGTGATTACCACACGAGGAGTGGCCTTTGAAGCTCCAGGGCCACGGCGTCTTTTTGTACCTGCGTGGCCATCCGACTCAGCAAAAGTGTTCAAGCATGGCTTATTTCTTGCAGTCTCTGCCTGCAACAGTATTGCCCAGTAGGTTTGCTCAGACCACCAGGGTTCCGCTACTACGTCTTGCCGTCCATGTCCAGATTGGGCCTAGACAACGACCAGGCGAACCGGTGGCAGACGCCGTCACGATGCAGGCGGAACAGGCGGACAGCGCGTCGTAAAGATGGCATAATCGATCCATGACCCATGCATGTCCACATGTTAGTGTTTACTACAAGAGACTATGCCTATTCTTGCGGCGCAAAAAAGGATAGTGGTTGGTGGTGGCACGTGGGGAGGCGGAGACATGCCGCAGCTACGGAAGCCACTCGGGATGGGCGCCCCTGCTTAGCGCCTTTGACCTCTGACCCCTGGACCGATCTTTGTTCACGTCACTCCACTCGGCCCCGACGTCCGCCATGCACATGCTGCTTACTCCTGCTCCTGCTCCCTCCAACCTTGTCCCCAAGGTTATTGATAGCTGTCGTTCGCTTGTCGTGGCGCCCTACCACTACCTAGGCGGTCACAGCCGATTCCACACGCTCCCTTCAGCCACACTTGTCCATCTTATCTCGCCCTATTCTGCCATCTTCCACCGTTTACGCCCTGGGTCTATTCGGGCATACAGAGCGCCTTTACGAAGCCTGTCGGTGGGCCATTGCTACTACTGCGAGTTCACGCTTTGCCAGCCGTCGCCCTCCCCTCCCCCCGCCAGTCCATCTACCAGCATTCACCACGCTCGTTAGTCGCACTTGGACTACCGAATAGTTGTTAGTTGTCTGAACTAGGTACAAAGCCATCAAACGCCCTGGCACGGTCAAGAAGCATATTTATCATGCCCACGTAGTCGCCATGCAGGCGGTAGCAAGGCGCCAAGCATCGACAACATGACAATCGCCATGGATGGACCCCACCGCAGCTGACAGTGATTCTGATGTGTCCCTGGCCCTGGGCCCAACTCGGCCCTCTGTTCGAATACTAAGACAGTTTGTAAAGCTCCACCCTCTTTCATGTAAGCCACAAATTGTTATAGGTACTGCCACCTTTTCCTGTCCGGTCAGCCTTACGCAGTCATACTCTTTGAACAATGGCGTCATGGCGTGCCACTGGCTGCGATATCTTGTGGTCATTACAAAGTCTACCGCGCATGACTATTTTAGTAACAATTACCGGTTACAGCCTCCCGAGGAAGCCTCCCGCAGCGCCGGATCATGAGGTCGCCATTCAATACTGCATTTGGCATAGCCCTGCTACACCGTATCCGCTAATGCCTGTGAACTCGGTGCTTTTTCACCCCTGGCTTGCAGTTGTTCTTGGCCTCGTCCCAAGCACATACCTTACACGAGCCCCGCCCTTTTAGCGATAGTCTTCTCACGTGAGACACCGGTTCTGATAGGCGCCCGGTAGGCTCCAGCAGCCAACCGAGACTTGTGGAGTGTGTCGACCCGCGTTTCAATAGATTCTGCACCCTGCTAGGGACCCTCATCTTACGCGAGCGGTGGGTTCTGAGCCTCAGAAAAAGATCCTACAACTCTCCCACATGCTCATCATTCACCGCTACGGGTAAGTCTCAACCGCCACAAAGGTAGCGATGAATCCAGACCCCAAAACTGGAAATCCGAATGCGGTCCTGAACCCGGACGCCGCCTGATACTCCCTTGACCTCAACCACTTGGCTCTACTGCTGTTCAACTACCGACATGCTCGTGAGTGCGCCGCCACCACTTCTAGTCTTCAGCTGCTGGGCTGAGTTGGCTCTTCGATGACAAAGTTCGCCGAATCAGGATCGGAAGTAGGATTCTATTGGTTGCCTTCCGGATGACCCGCTCATGTACTAATGTGGATACACAAGGCTACAGTGCCTATTCGCTGATCCTTCCTTCTAGCCTAGGTAGGATGGCCTAGAAAATGGCTTAAGGGAATAATGTTGGTGACACAGCAAGGGGCTAACTGACGTGAGTTTGGATATGTATTCCAAGACATTTTGTATAAATGCTATCCCGCAGTCAGGCCGATACATGCTCACCATCGATTGAGCTTCCAACTCATCCATCGTTCGTTGGCTTGGTCGCGGCTTCTTTACATACACACTGACCACACTCTCGTTACTGGCATTTTCACATTGCCTTTCAACAGCCATGTTGTTCAAATCTCTAGCTGTCTGGCTCTCACTGGGCTCGCTCGCACTGAGCAGTCCTCTACGGGCCGAGCCGCTGGATGCCTCTGACGACTTTCCATCATTTGAAGAGATTGTCAAGAGACAAGATGGTGCTTGCACCAACACACCAAGGACGAGGAGCTGCTGGAGCAATGGCTACAGTATCGCCACTGACTTTGACGCCAAGTCGCCTCCTGATGGAACCACTGTCGTTGTAAGTATGCTAGTCGATTCACTTGCATATATATGCTGACAACTTTGTAGTACGACTTTGAAATTTCTAATGTCACCAAGCCGAACCCTGATGGAAGCGGTGGTAGTAGGCAGATGATGCTCATCAACGGCCAATATCCAGGTCCAGTTGTGCGAGCCAAATGGGGTGACACCATCATTGTTAACGTCAAGAACAATCTTGCGCACAACGGAACTGGCATTCACTGGCACGGTATCAGACAGCTCAACTCCTGCCAGGATGACGGAGTCCCCGGTATCACCGAGTGTCCAATCGCTCCTGGAAAGACCCGTCAGTACAAGTTCAGGGCTACCCAATTCGGCACTAGCTGGTACCACTCTCACTGGTCTGCTCAGTACGGGGATGGTGTTGTCGGTACCATGATCATTGACGGCCCAGCCACTGCCAACTACGATGTCGATCTCGGTACTCTACCCATGACTGATTGGTACTACACCCCGGCCTTTACCCTAAACGAGGTGGCGCAACACTCCAGGACTGGGCCTCCTCTTCCTGACAACATTCTTGTCAACGGTACCCACATCAACGCTCTGAATGACAACGGAAAGTATGCTCGCATGAACGTTGTCAAGGGAAAGAAGTACCGCATCCGCCTCATCAACACGTCCGTCGACAACGTTTTCAGCGTATCCTTGGATGGTCATCCTTTTACTGTCCTGACTTCGGATTTTGTTCCTATCAACACCTTTGTCACCGACCAGTTGACCCTGCAGATTGGTCAGCGTTACGACGTGGTCATTACCGCCAACCAAACCGTCGACAACTACTGGTTCCGCGTGGCCGTCGGTACTGCCTGTAACCGGAATGCCATTACCAGCTCTGGCAAGCAAATGGGTGCCATCCTGCACTACGATGGCGCGTCGGAAACCGCAAACCCCACCTCCACTACCACCGTGGTCATGCGCACAAGCTGCGACGACGAGGCCTCCTCAAACCTCGTCCCCTTTGTCCCCAACCGCGTCCCCCAATCCGTTGTCGCCGACGCCGTCAACCACAAGCTAAATATGACGCACTTCGCGGACCCGACCACCAACCTCTTCCGCTGGCTCATTGACGGCACCCCCCACATCGTCGACTGGAACAATCCCTCTCTCGAAACCGTCCTTGCGGGCTCTCAAAACTTCGGCCCCAACTCAAACGTCCACAAAATGGAAGGCTCCGGCTGGTTCCTCTGGTGGATCCAATCAACCGCCTCCATCCAACTCCCCCACCCCATTCACCTCCACGGCCACGACTACTACATTGTCGGTCGTGGGACAGGCACCTGGGACGGCACCACCACAAACCTCAACTTTGAAAACCCTACCCGTCGCGACACCGCTGTTCTCCCTCCCGGCGGCTACATGCTCATGGCTTTCCCCGCTGATAACCCGGGTATGTGGATTATGCACTGCCACATCGCATGGCATGCTAGTCAGGGTCTCTCGATGCAGTTTATGGAACGCATGAGCGAGATTAAGGGGTCGATTGGGGATACGAGTCGTTTTACCCAGGGATGCAATGAGTGGGATCAGTATTGGCCGGCTGGAAGCGCGCCGGATGCTAACAGGCCTTATGAGCAGACTGATTCTGGTATCTAATCTAGTGCGCTGTTTTTCCTTCTTCTTCTCTCCTTTGGCGAGGGTGAGGACGATGTATAGATGAGGCGTTTCCTTTTGATGGTTTTGAAGGCTTCAACATACCCTTGCGTAGTGTGATGTGTATATGATGTTGTCGGGTTTTTTCTACATGGGTACATATTTCTAAATCAATGGATTCTTTTGAAAAAAAAACCTCCCCCCAACTTTTTTTGAGCTTGAAATTTGAGAGTGGTTGTGCATTTAAAGTGAAGTTTGAGTTTTTGCTAATCGTTTCACTGGATCATACATAGTGTAGTTATGAAGATTAAGAGTATGATTGCCTTTTCATATCCGGTACTTTTATTCACGCATCTAGAACTATTTTTATTTTTTTTCCAAATTTCAAATTTCAATCACGATTCGTTCGAGACCTCCCACTCTCTCCTCACCATTATTCGTCGCGACCCGCAACTATCCATCGAAGCAACTTCATCGTGATACCTTTCTCCACTACCTCTCGATCTACGCCTCCCCTCGCCCCCAAGCACCACTGTTCGATTAATCGACATGGCAAGGTCTTGTGGTAGCATTTTGGGCCGCGGAACTAGTCGCAGTTCGACACTATCTTGCGTTGCTCCGCTTGCTGCGGCGCTAGTAGCGTCGGGCATGTCGAAGAGCGACATTCCTGCTGTCTTGAAGCCTTGGGTGAAGCCGCGAAGGAGCGGGGTGGTAGCGGACATGAGGTTGTAGGATAGGAGGACGATTTGCCAGGTCACGGGTGCGACGATGGCGATGGGTGGGTGGTTGTTTGTGATGAAAGTGGAGGAGGCGATGAGGTAGGATAGGGAGATTGCGATGTTGCTGTGGCGATGGGGTTAGCGGTCGGCATGAGATGAAGGATGTGGAGTTGTGTGGTCAACGTACGGTATCCGGGTGGAGAAAGCAAGCATGACGGCGGCCTTGCTTTTCAGGGGAAGCTGCGTGTTGTAGAGGCCTAGTATTGGCAGTGATATGATAATAATCTCGGTGAGTATGTCGCCAACTGTGATTACCTCCAGCCATGGGATCTGAAATGTCAGTATGCGGATAGATGGGGAGTTTTTTAAATATGAGACTTACGAAATCCACGCAATGGTCTTCCCCAGGTTTTGGTATGACATGCTCAGCTGGGCAATGTAGCGGGACTGCTGGCATGCTAAACACACCCCACATCGCGACAAGGAGTAAACCAGCAATCGAAATGCGCGAGACACGGGTGTCACGTGCGAACACAGCGCGGATCAGGACAAGCATTGAGAATTTTGACAGGGCGAGTGCAGCATATAACAAGATGCGGCTTTTGAAAAAGGACTATGAGCGGTATGAGTTATGATTTGCGCTCAAGTAGGGAACTCGAGCACAAGATTCTTACTGACTTGCTGTACTTGAGATATCTCCATGTCGCTGAGTACGCTGAATGATTTCCCGAGTCCGTTCCTAAGAGATTTAAATACTAAAGCCCACATGCCAAAGCTCGCCAGCTATATCTCAGTCAGCTTAATCATGTCGAGACATTACTCGATGAGATTTCGGGACGAACATGTGCAAGAGTGATTACAATGTCATCAAGGGCGTGTGCTCGCCGTTTCGTGTATCCAAGACGAACAGCTAGCACTAGAAAAATGTATATCAAAGATAACACCGAGACAATCCAAATGGCGGCGCTGTGATCATTGGGTGTGACGCGAGTAAAGCGGTGCTCTGGCGACCTCACCAAATTATGGGGGGTGGAAGAAAATGGCATCGTGTCTTTGCGTAGTCTGATGAGTTGTGATTGTGAGACCTTATGGGCTATTATGTCGAGAACAACATTTGCTTTTTAGAACTTTAAACACTGAAGCCACGGATGTGAGCGATCAGGCACAGACGCGTGTTGGATAGGCAACTGTGCCACTCGTTTCACTCTATCACGCTGAAGTTGATGCGCCATCGGAAGGTATCCCTGTGTATGAAGACCCGAGAATACGTTTTGATTCCAGGAGTTGCTCCTTCGGGATATCCTTGCAGCACATTTGATGTGCAAGATGATAAAAGCCAAGAAACCCGGCTGCTTGCTGTGTATTAGTAGTACTCGGGGTTGTTTGCGCACTCAAAGCAGCGTTCTAGAGTGGTACTGGGGGGTACTGTTGGGCTCTTTTACTTTGACCTCAGCTGTCCTTCTATAGGAACGACGAGCATGCCGAAAAGATACGTGCATCAGGTACTGGCATCCTGGACGGCTTTGATATGGACTGAGCTGTGCCACACTCTAGAACGCATTCTAGGGGGGTCCCCCGGATAAATGCGATCAGTTCCAAGGCCACAAAATTTGACAAACGCCTGTCAGTGGCAAGGGTAAGTACAGGCTCCACTGGTGCAAGCTGTTGGGAAGGATTCCGAGGAGCTGCTTGGAAAGCTTGACTCTGGTAATCCTACGAATGTCAATCAAAGAAGTGGGACTACGTGCATACAGCTCAGACTGGATGTTCGACCGTGCCACTCTGATGCATCGGGGGTAGGACCGTTAAGGTAGTATGGCAAACGATGGCGATAAATGAAGGAGGGGAATACATTCTGCAGCTGTCCGACAAACACCTCCGTCGTCAATGTAGAATCCAGATCTTGCATGGGACGGCGTGACAGATGTTCAGTGTAGTAGAAGTTGAGTTTTATTGCGAGCTCCAAGTCATGCGGAGAATACGCGAAATGAGTGGAGGTAAGGGGCGAGATGGCGCGGTCCGCACGGGCGGGCGGTTAGGTGAGGCTTGACCCGACAGATGGGGCAGCCGCCACCCGCGAGCGTTTGGTGGGGGGTTAAAGTCTCCACCATATCAGGCCATAATTTTCAGTCAACTTGCTACATGTAGAATCCGCGGGGACATATTCAAGCATGTTGTTTCCCTTGCATATCGCTTATAGAATCTGGTAAGGCGTCCAACAGCAGATTTGACTTTTGAGGAGTTGTGTTTGCATTCATTTGTGCCACAAACAAACTTTGAACATCACAGCCAAGTCCCGTTCTTCCGATAGCCGCATACAGTTTTCTTTTTCATGTTCGGCATCCTCTTACTATTGTGAAGATATGGCAGACATCATGAAGGGTCCATCGGAGGTGACGGATTTTCGTAACAGCGTCGAGTTGGCAAACGCGGTTGCTGTGAACGAAAAACATGGCACTCATAGCGATGAGGTTGACATGGATCGCATGGGCAAGATCCAGGTCTTGAGGGCATGTTGGTTTCGAGTCCCATGCGAATTCTTTGGTGAACTGACATCCGTCATTAGCGACAATTCAAATTCCTGTCCATCTTCGGCTTCGCCGTGATTCTTGGCTGCAGTTGGGAATATGCTTTGATGTATGTTACCCCCTCACAAACTGAAATGCATGGCTAACAGGCTCAATCTGCAGAGGTGTTGGCATTTCTCTCTTCAATGGCGGACCAGCTGGTGGAATCTGGATGTTGGTCGTAGTTTGCACTGGCATGTTCTTTGTCACGCTTTCATTTGCTGAAATGGTGTCGATGTAAGTAGTATGCAACAAAGCAAGTTCTGAAGCTAGCCCTGCTCACTTCTGCTCATAGGGCTCCGACAGCTGGTGGCCAGTACCACTGGGTCTCTGAACTCGCACCTAAAAAGCACCAAAAATTACTCAGCTATATCGTTGGTATGGTGTTCACACTTTGATGAGACATGCAGCGCTGATGAAGTATTTTAGGCTGGCTTTGTGTTATTGGATGGCAGGTGGGCATGGCTAGCACAGCTTATGCAGTAGCCCAGCAGATCCAAGGCCTCATCGCGCTGAACATGCCAAACTACGTCATCCAAGGCTGGCATGGCACCCTCCTCTCCATTGGAATTACCGTTGTCTCGATCGTATGCAACACCATTCTCGTGAGAAAGCTTCCACTTATGGAGGGTCTTGCACTTGTTCTCCATATCTTCGGTTTCTTCGCCTTTGTCGTCGTACTGTGGGTTATGGGCCCCCGATCTGATAAAGTCTGGACGAAGTTTGAAAACCCCAGCGGCTGGGGCAGTACTGGCCTTGCTACACTGGTTGGAATATCTGGTCCTATGATCACCATAGGAGGTGCTGACTTGGCCGTCCATTTAGCCGAAGAAGTAAAGGATGCCGCGTGGGTTTCTCCTAGGGCAATGGTTACGACAGCCTTAGTGAACTACACTCTGGCCTTTGTCATGACAGTCACTGTATTCTCCACGCTAGGCAATGACCTTGCAGCGATTCTCCCGACTCCACTTGGCCAGCCATGGATCCAGATCCTCTTGAATGCGACTGAATCAAAGGTTGCCACCAACATTATGACGGTGGCTATATGCTTCCTGCTTTTGTTCTGTTCGGTCAATCAAGTAACCGCTGCATCGCGCCAGCTCTGGTCGTTTGGGCGCGATGAAGGGCTTCCATTCTCAGCTTGGCTTGCTTATGTATGAAGTCCCTACATACTACAGAATCTTGTGACTGACAATTTTCGCAGGTACCTCCAAACTGGGATATCCCATTAAATGCAGTGATTCTGACGCTAATAGCGACATCGTTAGTATGCCTTATCATAATCGGCTCATCGATTGCCTTCAACATCATCATATCGCTCGGAGGTATTGCCATTTTCGTCTCCAACCTTATCGTCATCGGCTGCATGTTCCGGAAGCGCGTCTACGGAGAGCCTCTTCTTCCCTCCCGGTTCGATCTCGGCAGAGCGGGTTTAGTGGTGAACGGAATAGCCATGTGCTACCTTGTCCTCATCGTGGTTTTCCTTGCATTCCCAACCGTACCGAACCCGTCACTGATCCAAATGAACTGGTCGTCGCCCATATTTGGATGCTTTGTTATATTCTCGATGGGCTACTACTACGTTTTCGGTAGACACAACTACAAAGGCCCTGTTGAGTATGTCAAGGAATAATTCTAGCATGGGCAGGGACGTAGGTAGTTTGAAATGTGCTGGCTAGAGATATGGATAGAACAAACAGTTTAACTCAATCACTGTCGTTCAAGCTCACCAAGCAGACCAAGGTACGCCACCGTGATTTCTTAGTCTTCCAATCTTCTACCGAGAAGCTTATCTAGGAAGATAGATGAGCTTCAGCCATCCAGCCGACCAATGAAGCGTATGTTGCTTGTGCAGTCAACTCAGGGTAAGGCGGGGCTGATTAGCGTGATTCTTGACAGCTATCCATGCAGCCTTTGTACAAGGGGTTTATTATGCCGACTTTTCTGGTGGCGGCTATGGTCTTGAATATCGAGTACCATTGGGTGTTTCCATGTGCCGTATGGTGATACCGGGTCGTTGACGTTCCCTGCCTTTTAGCAGCCATCAGGTGGTGTTATGGCGATACAACAGATGACGCACGATATAAGCACTGGTTCTGGAAGGGGCAGGCAGGTGGATTAAGCGAGTACGCCACATGTGTAAGTAAGATGGAGCCTGGATAGCCCGTCTTCTCATAACACCGGCTTGATAATAGAGGCGTGTGAGTCACTTGGTAGTATTTTTTTTTTGCTAAGCCAGATGAGTACTTAACGACAGTCGGTGCGTGTTAGTAGAAGTGTAACCAAGCAATTCCATACAACATCAACATGCCTCTGGAACTACGGCCGATGAGGGCTGACGACGCCTTATCATGGACACGCGTTCGCAGTACCGCCTACTACGGGCCTACGCATGAGGTGCTGCACAACGGGCCGATACGCGAGTCGTCTATACGCGGTGCAGCCGAGGAACGAAAGGGCGAATTACAGAAGCAGGCGGCAAACATGTGGTACTGGAAGGTTGTCGATACGGATGCAGCGCCAAGTGCTGATGACCCTACGGACAATGGTGGGCGAACGATAGCGATTTCGGTGTGGAGTATGAATAATGTTGAGGGAGCAGAGAAGATGGCAGCACCAGGCTTCTCGCCGCCAGAGCTACGCTTGGATGCGCTGGGCTCGCTACTTCAGCCACTCAGGGCGGCGCAGGAAAGCATCATGGGGACTGAGAAGCCGTACTTGAAGCTGAATCAACTGGCGACACATCCCGAGCATCAAGGACGTGGAGCGGCAAGCATGATGCTGGACTGGGGACTAGGCAAGGCGGATGAAGAGGGACTGGTGGTGTATCTGGATGCGACGGAGAAGGCACGACCGCTATACGAAAGCCGAGGGTTCAGGGTGGTGAAGGCGATTGAGTGGGATCGAGTGGCGTGGGGAGGCGAGGGCAAGGACTGTCATTGGTGCATGGTGCGCGAGGTTCGAAGCCGGTAGGGGACATTTGTGGTCATGTGTATTTATGGGCAAGATCAAGATATAAAGCTTTTCTTTCTTTTTTTTTTCTTTTTGGCAGTCAGTCGTGATGCTTGGCAGGACTATTGCAAGTGCAATGTGAATGACTCTCTACAGTACACCCATCACCCATAGAACTGGACCGGCTGGTTTCCCGAGATAACCGAAGCTAGCCGGGGTAGCGAGTCAATAATAAGACGTGAGCTAAGGCGCCCTCGCTCTCCCCGCAAGCCCAAGCCAGGCGCCCCAGGTTGGCGGGACGGGCAGGACGGGCAGAGAGCATCATTGGTACACCAGACGCTGCAGCGCTGGCCGTCTCTCTAGTGGCTGGCATATGTATGTATGTATGTATGTACGTATGTGTACATGAACAGGTACACCAAGTCTATCCGCGTGTGCAGCCTCGGCGCAGAGTGACGTAGCCCTCGTCTTCCTGGGGCCTTCTGGCGATGGCCATGGGCGCAATCGGTTCCACAGCTAGATGCCTCTGCTCCTAGACATTACCCGCCCCAGCGGCACAGCCTGTCGCCCGTTATTCCGCGCGTGCCCACGCGGCTTAGAGCCGTCTGGCGATGCAGTTACCAGCCAGGGAGCCTGACTCGCCGAGTCGCATCTCTCCACCAAACCTTGGACGCTCGCAGCTCGCTCAACCTCATCCCCGAACGCGCTCGCTGCACCCACCTGCCCACGCGCTTCGCCCCCCTCGCCCTCCCCCGACACCCCAAGTTTGTTTCCTTCTTCCCACTGTCCCACCCTAGCCGCCGACCGCATGTCCCCGCACGCCTGATCCAGCGGCCATGGCACGCAGCGCGCGGAAGCGCATCTCATACGGTACGTGCTGCTGGCTGTATTGCCCTCATCATCCATCGCTGACCTCATGCCTGCGCAGTCCTGCCACTTGCAAACTCGGCCGGAGGACACAGGCTCGGAGTCAATGGCTTGGCCGTCGACCCCCATAACGCCATCCTCTACTCGGGCGGCCGTGATGGCGTAATATGCGCCTGGGACCTGCATCTCGACCTGCAACGCTCCCATGACGACAACGACGACCGCGACCCTTTTGCCGATCCCAGTCCACCCGACTTCAAGCCCCCGCCCACCCAGTTCCGCCAGCAGGTCCAGGCCCACACCCACTGGATCAACGACATTGTCCTCGCCCAAGACAACTCGGCCCTCGTCTCTGCCTCGTCCGACATCACCGTCAAGGTCTGGCGCCCAGCTGCCACCGACAAGCTCCCGCCCCAGACCATCGGCCTGCACACCGACTATGTCAAGCGCGTCGCATCGCCCGGTGGCAATGAGAACTGGATCGCCTCGGGCGGTCTTGATCGCAAAATCAGCCTATGGGACCTAAATGGCGCAGGCAAGAAGCTCGAGATTACCGTTGGCGACGATGAAAACACAGCAAAGGGCTCCGTATACGCCCTTGCAGTAACACCCAACCTCGTCGCCAGCGGCGGTCCAGAAAGCATCGTACGTGTATGGGACTCGCGATCCGGAAAACGCATTACAAAGTTTGTTGGACACACGGACAATGTGCGCGATATCCTCCTGGCCCAGGATGGCGATATGATCTTGACCGGCTCCTCGGACCAGACAGTCAAGGTTTGGTCCATGACGGCCGGCCGCTGCATGTACACACTCACCATGCACAACGACAGCGTGTGGTCGCTCCACTCCGATTCGCCAACTCTCGACACATTCTACTCGTCCGACCGATCGGGCCTCGTGGCCAAGAGCGACGTCCGCAACTGTGCCGAGATGGATGAGGGTCTCTCCGTGGCCGTATGTCAAGAGCACGAGGGTGTCAACAAAATCATCGCAGCCGGCAACTATATCTGGACCGCCACATCCAGCTCAAGCATCAACCGCTGGCACGATGTTGAGACCGCGGCTGAAATTGAGCTACCGGAATCGTACAAATGGCACAGGAACAGCGTGTCAACGATGCGATCACGAAGCCCCCCAGCCAACGGCGCTACCCCCAAGATTCCACTCAAAGCCCTGCTGCGCATGTCTAACACGGCCCCGTTTCCTCAGGCTCTTGCCACAAAGGATACTGATGCAGCCACCGTAGCAAGTGGGCGGAAACCTGCAGATGCCTTGACGGCGACCGATCCTACGGCTGTGGGGACTGTTCGTCCGCTGCCAGATTTTACTATCGAAGGCCAAAACGGACTCATCAAGCACCATCTTCTCAACGATCGCCGAAGAGTACTTACCCTCGACACTGCGGGAGAAGTTGTTTTGTGGGATTTGCTAAAGGTATGATGCCATCTTATCACTATTGAGCCCAGTGGCTAACACTTAGCAGTGTGTGCCCATCAAGTCATTTGGTAAAAAGCACATGGAAGACGTCTTGCCCGAGGTCAACACCCAAGATAGCGTTGCCCATTGGTGTGCCGTCGACACAAGGATAGGAACCTTGACATGTATGCTAGAGGAAAATTACTGTTTTGATGCAGAAACGTATGCGGACGAACTGGATCTAGAGGACGACATTGAATTCCGGGAAGACCACAGAAGTATGCACCCTTAATTTTCTTTTGAAGAAAGCTCGCTGACATGACATAGTAAACCTTGGAAAGTGGATCTTGCGATATCTCTTTTCTAATCTCATCGACGAAGAAATCAAACGTGATGAAGTGGCGCGCGCTGAGCTGCTCAAGCAAAAGGAAGAGCAACCACAGGCCGGTCGTCCTACCAACATTAAGCTGCCAGACATGAGCATCAACGGTTGGAAGGACACAATGTCCGGGCCTACTTCAGCTTCTACCATCAAGGCTGAAAACGGATTTCGCTTACCCCATACACCTGGGCTAGCCATCGGCCTGGCAACACCAATGACAGGACCAGGAAGTGCAGGGCGTAACTCGGCCACCGCTGTTCTGACTCCCACCAAAGAAGAGGGCGTGCAGTTGGAAAAAACACCAACGTCAGAAGGCGATTATTTTGGAAATTCGGCCTCTGAAACCAACGGAAATGGTAAAGCTGTCGAGACATCAAAAGAAGGTTCAACCGACTCCAAGGAAGAGGCTGTTCAATCACCCGCTGAAACAGACACCCCGTCCAAGAAGGGCAAAGGCATGTTTGGCAAAAAGTTCAACATGTCATTTAACATGAAGAAGTTTAGCACCGGTACAGCCGTGCCCGAGCCTGCCAAGCCGGCCGTCGACGAAAAGGCAGAGGACAGCGATTCGCACTCTACCAAGACTGATGAAAAGACGTTTGAAGACAACTTTTTTGGTGTGATACAGAAGATCAGACAGAGCTATGAGGAGCAACTGGCTGCAGGCGAGACACGGCTGGATTCAGCCATTGCACCGAGCTTGCCAAACGAAACACCTGTTCTGAAGCCACCTTCCATGACGACTATTCTTATTCAAGAGGACCGTCCTGACTCGGGAGGTGTTGCAGATTTGTTCGAGGGCAAAGTGGGTACATTGGCATCACAGGCTGATTTGATTGAAAAAGCCGCACCAATGTGGTTGGCTGAAGTCTTACTACGGGTGAGTTTCCAGCCTTGACATTCACTCTAAATAATTACACGATATTAACCAATCTCACAGAACCAACTCCCACCCAAGGACATTGTCAAAGTATCCTTTGTCCTCGAGCCCTTTGCCAACGCCCTGCCATCTATTTCTGCCGACGGGTACATTCCCTTTGCTCTCCCCTTTGAGACTGCGGCCCAGGCTAATGCGACACTCAGCAACAATCGCCTCAATGCAAACCGCATGCTGCGCGCCCGCAAGATCCTCGGCTATGTCGCTGAGCGCATCGAGCCGCAGCCCAGCAAGGAGCAGCTCGAGAAGATGAAGGCAGATGGCGAGACGCCTATGCGTCCCGAGGAGTATCTGGAGCTGTATTGTAATGGACAGGTGAGTTCTTCTTTGAGCATTACGCGTGCACACTCCAAGACTAACACCCTCAAGCTCATCTCCCCCACAATGACACTAGCCAGTATCCGCGCCCACGTCTGGCGCGGAGGCGGCGACGTCATTCTCTACTACAAGGCAAATGGCCGCAAGGAAATCAAGCCTTTCCCTCCTTATCCCGGCCCCCAATCCGGCACCGCTGCTCCTCCCATCGGTTACGGACTTAGACCCGGTGTCGCGTCGTCGGCACCTGGAAGTAGTAATGCTAGTGAAGGGAAACAGAGTAGTGAGGCGGAGAGGAGGAGTGCGACGGGTAGTAATGCTGTGTTTGGGCCTTAAGGGGTGGAGTTGTGGTGGTTTTTTTTTGGATAGATGGACATGTGTGGGTTTGTATAATGCCACACCCGTTATGTTTATATGTATTGCGTGTGTGTGTGTGTGTGTGTGTGTATTTTGGAGCATGTAGAAAATTCAAAAAAGTTTTCAATGTCCAAGATGTATTGCGTTGTTGTTGTTGTTGTACATTGATATTCTTTTCCCCCCTCGTTTCCCCAGTGGTATATATATACACTTTTCTATACTATTTATATACATATGTACAAATCACTCTTGTTCCACACCTCCCAGCAGATTACTCGCCCACTGGTACGAACCCAGGAAGATAGCTCCCCCGACACTAATCCATCCCACGCGCGGTTCCAGCCCCGCAAAGAAGGCCTTCGGGCCCGATTCCCGCAGGATACTCCTCAACATACTAACCATTGGCTGCTTCTCCTTCGCAAGCATCATGCGCGTCTTGAGCACATCCAACGGCGTCGTCACGGCCGCCGCCACCGCACCCGCCACACTCCCCAGCACTCCGCCCTCCAACCCACTCACCTGTGTCTTCCCCGTCCGTCGACACCGCCACCCCTTCATCGCCTCCCAGAGCGGAAACTGAATCACCGTAAACGGCACCTCCCTCATAATCGTAATCCCCCACCCACGATACAACTCGCGCCACACATGCAACACCCCGCGCTCCCGTCTTTGCCCCAGAATATGCATCAGCGCGCTCCTCGACGACGGAAACTGACTCGCCTGCGCCCTCTGCTTCACCACCTCTGTCGGCACACGCACCGCACACGCCGCTACTTCTCCCAAACTCGCCGCTGCCATGTGTACCAACGCCCCTTCTCCCTGTCCCTCCCCCTCCCCCTTCCCTTTCCCTGGACTGGAAAGTCGCTTCACGCCATCGTATGTTACGAAGAAGAGCGCTGCGCCCGGTGCGGATCCGACGATTGCAGAGCCGACGCCACGGTATATACCGGTGAAACCGCCGCTGGAGGCGAAGCCCGAGGAGGATTGGAGGCGCGTTTTGAGCGTGTCGAGGGGGTAGAGGGATAGGTCTACGGTTGTGCCTGATAGGCCGCCTGCCTTTTTGCAATCAGCGCTAGGTCAATTGAAGGTGAATGGGTGTTGGGATGTTGTAAAGATGGGAGCTGGAGAAATTGAAGGGGAGTTGAAGAGGAATGGAGGGAGCTTACAAGTAAAGAGACTAGATATGGCGATTCAACCCATGGTTTGCGCTGCGGTGCAAGGGCGGGGGAGGGGTTTGGCATTGCAACAAGCGCAATTGGGTTGGGAGAGAGAGAGAGAGAAGGAAAAAGTTGAGGCCAATATAATAATTGATGACGGAATCTGAGGGTTCGGTCGGGGAGATTTCGGAGGTGGGGGTTCTAGTCGCGAACGGGGCGTCTGTGCGGGGATGTTAGCGTGGGGAGCTTGGGTTTGGGGTTTTCCCTGCATTTTGGGGTGGGCGAATCGGTTCGTTCTGACGTTTTTGAGTGGTTGGTTTGAGACGGGGATTTTAGCATCACAGATTTCGATAGTCAGGAGAGGGTGAACTTGCGGTTTGAAGAATAAGAAGGGGTATGGCGAGATATCATGAGTGGCGTCGGTATTAATGTGAGGTGTTTGGCTAGTACGAGGATTCAAAGATGCGGTCAGGAAGAGGTAGGTGAGGACCAGAGGGATGGCGAGGTGCAGAGTGAAAAGGTCACGGAAGAGGTGGAAAATGATGCAGAAGATGAAAACGATGCTGTTGAGCCTTCCAGCCCGTCATCCTCGAGCATTTCATCTTCTTCATCGTCTCCACCATCGCTTACTCAACGTCTACGGAACACTCACCACACAAGCTGCGTGCAAGAAGCACAACTCTCGCCAGATGGAAGCTGCATCTTCACCTCAGACTATAACCGTTCTTTCTCCGTCTATCCTGTCTCTAACGACATCGGATCCCACACAAGCGCTCAGAGCCTCACACCCTATGCATCTTTACACTCGCCTAACCCCATCTGGGCTTTTGCTGCTAACCCACTCTTCAACTTGCAAGATGCTAATAGCACAACCGTGCTTGTCAGTCGTCGCGACTCTTACATCACACTGCACAATGCTCTATGGGACATCTCACGAACCTACGCCAACGAGGAAAATCCGCCTCCAACTCCAGGACCAGTCAACATCTCGACATCCCTTGCTTCCTACAAATTAATCAACAACCTCACCGAAGCTGTCACAGCACCCATAAGTCTAACATACTCCCACGACGGCGCCCACTTCTTCGGCGGCACCCAGGACAAGATCGTCATTTTCGACCTGCAAGAAACAGACAAACCCATCCACACAATCGCCACCATACCCGCTCGCCGCAACAAACTCAAAGGCGGAGGCCGCGGCTTCAAAGGATACATATCCGCTCTATCCCTCTCCCCACCCTCACCACCTTCGCGCGATGGCCTCCTAGCAGCTGGATCACGTACCCGCCACATCGGCATCTACGACCCCACCAGCGGCACCGAAGTCACCAGCTTCGCCCTCCCCGGCACATCCAGCGGCGTCAAATCGCGTAATGAGAACTTGAAGGACGTCATGGGCGATGGTGTATCGAGTCTCAAATGGAGTCCCTGCGGCAACTACCTCTACGTCGCCGAGCGCAACGCAGACGTCCTGCTCATCTACGATGTTCGGAGTTTTTCGCTAGCGCTGGGGTACTGTGCGGGTAGACGGGCGCTGACGAAGCAGAAGCTCGGGTTTGATGTTTGGAATGCGGGACAGTCGCCGTATGATGTTGAGGGGTTTTCGCATGAGGTTTGGGCTGGGGGGACGGATGGGAAGGTCAGGGTGTGGAGGGATGCGTATGCGAAGGAAGGGACTGTGCTACCGGATGAGGTTATCAGTGTGGGGCATGAGGATGAGCCTGTTGTTGCGTCGCTCGTATATCCGACCGGGAGTTTGGTTGTAGCTGCGACGGGGGTTGTGCGTGTTGAGGACGAAGAAGAGGAGCAGAGGGGTGTGCAGAGAGGTGGTGGTGGTGGTGGTGGTGTGAGACCTAGGTTTCGGGAATGGGGGAATGTTGATATTTTGGCGTTGGGATAGGGGAGTCTGGGAATGGTGTTCTTTTGGGGGATTTCGGTCACTGACGGACGTGCCGTCTGTTGTAGTCTGCTTTTTTCTCTGCCTATTTCAACAGCAGGGGGTAAAAGAATATGACAAGGGTTAGGATGAACCGACAATCATAGACACAGACATGCGAATTACTTTGCCATAGAATTTGTGTCTATCCAAGTCAAACACTGCTTTGAATCCTTTAACTTTATTTTCTCGCTGTTCAGTCTGTTCAATTAGCACGTTACATGATAGTCATATCGCGTGATGGTTGTGACAACGTCACCTCTCGGTCATTTGCAGGTCGGACGCCTTATAAACTCCATTTACTATTGACCTGTGAGTAGCTTGACTCGTTGCTTCTATAAGCCCATCTATTCAGCATTTCTTTCAAAGTCTAACCGATGCGGTACAATTAAAGTTGTGCATTTGATCATCAACATCATTCATCCAAAGTGAGAGAAAACTACTAGTGCTGACCGCTTGGCATCTAATTTATCAAACAAGCGCCGAGGATTCTCCTAGAGCCATTTTAATCGCATTCCTCCAAGCAGCACATGTACATACGCGTTATGTTAAGCTACAGCCAAATTGTACTACACGCGCATCCTTACCGATATAGACTACAGAATCTTGCCTCTCGACTCATAAGAATCTTCATAACTGACGAACTTTAAACAACATCTCAATTCGAATGCCTTGTCGATGCGCTAAAGAGCTGGATTAGGCCAAGGGGATGAGCGCCTTCCAAGACGAGAATAAGTATGCCTGATACGGCACTTGGATGATGTAAGCCTTCGCAGTATTAACAGCATGGCGGATTTTGTATACACGTTTAGCCGGAACTAAGGCGTAATCTTGATGTCGGCGTACGCTTAGCGACAACCGGAAAGGCTCGCACTGATGCAGATCAGGCACATCACCCCAACTCTCGGGCATCCTTCAGGGCTGAGCTTGAGCGGCACCATATCACCCACGCTTGATTGTTCTTCTGTAGTGTGGAATGATATCAAATTGTCGAGAATACACAAGAAGCCCGAATACTAGCATACAACACAAGGATTGAAAATGCCGTTTTTGCGACACCTCATCAGTACCTCATTGGCACCCTGGTCCACGCTATCCCTCTAGCTGATCGAGCATCGACACCGATACAAAGTCTATATTCGCAATGCCTGTCATCCATTGTCCCGTGCACACAATTTTATTTTGACTTGTTGTCAGCTCACGGCTTGTACGATATGTCCGAGCCGAGAGAGCCATTGTGTATATCTATAAACTCCATGTCTTAACGTTTGCATTTTCTACGCTTGCATACGAGTAGCATCTTTGTAACTACACTCATTACCCACTTTCTTTAACGTCCAACTACAAAGATAGCTCAGCTATGCGTTCATTCATTTCAATCGCCGCCGCCGCGGTGGTCTCTTTTCCTTTTGCCATTGCAGCGCCCAAACCCCAGAATCTAGATACCAACTACTACAAGCCAGAGCAAGTCATCAACACCGATGTTATAATCATCGGAGCAGGTGGCGCGGGGTGCTACTCTGCCATCCAACTCAAGGACGCCGGAAAGAAGGTTGTGGTCATTGAATCCAAGGACCGCGCCGGAGGTCACACGGAGACCTTCTTCGATCCTGAGACCAAACTTCCCATTGACATTGGTGTGAAGCTGTACCATGACGAGCCTCTGGTGCATAAGTGGTTTGCCCGTTTCGGCCTCACCACTACCCAGACTGCCATCCCTCTTTCCAACGCCCAGAACGTTGACTTGAGGACCGGCCGCGTCCTACAAGGTCTACCTGCTGTCAACCAAGCAGCTCTCAGCGCTGCTATCCAACGGTATGCCGCTGCCATCTCACAGTGGCCCGAACTGGATGCCGGCTTCTACCTCCCCGACCCGGTTCCCGAAGACCTATTGCTCCCCTTTGGCCAGTTTGCTCAAAAGTACAACATCACTGATGCCGTACAAACCATTTACATGCTTACCCCTGCATTTGGTGATCTTGCTGAGATCCCCACTCTGCAGGTAATTCGTACCTTCTCCCTGAGCCTTGTCAAGACTCTGCAAAACTTCCAAACCAGCTCGGTCATGAACAACAGTCTCCTCTTCCAGAAACTCACTGCCGAACTCCTCGCCTCCAACTCTCTCCTCCTCTCCTCCAGGGTAGTCAAGACAGCCCGTGTCAGCAAGATCGACGGCCGCGTCCGAGTCCTTGTCGAAACCCCCAAAGGCACGCGTCTCATCATCGCCAAAAAGATCCTCATCACCGCACCCCCGACCACTTCCAACCTCGCGCCCCTCGACGCCAGCGGCGACGAACTCAAACTCTTCACCCAATTCACCTCGGTCAACTACTTCACCACAATCGTCAAAAACGCCTTCCCCGGCAACACATCGGTCCTGAACCTCGCCCTCGACCGCCCCTTCGCCATCCCCCCCCATGCCCGCAATCCTAAACATCTACCCCACCGCCAACCCCAACTACAACCAAATCTTCTACGGCACAAAATTCGGCCAATCCATCACGCTCGACCAGGCCAAATCCGCCATCCTCGCTGACATCAACCGCTACCGCGCTGCCAACGGCATCACGGGACCCGAACCCGAGATTCTCGTTGCGTCGGCCCACAATCCGTTTAACTTGATGGTTGGCGCTGAGGCGACGCGGAATGGGTTCTACAAGAAGTTGTATGGCTTGCAGAGCAAGCGGAACACTTTCTGGGCTAGTGCTACGTTCAGGGCTCATGATAGCTCGGCTACTTGGGCGTATATTAGTCGGAGTGTTTTGCCTGGTTTGCTTGCTAGTTTGTAAGTGAGAGACGGGAGGGGGGGGGTTGAGGTAGTTAGTTGAGTGAGAAAGAGGTTAGGTTGACAAACTACGCTCGTTGCATAGTTAGTTCGCTTCAGACAACTTGGTAGTAATGTATGTAGTATTTCGTAATGATCTTTGGAAACACTCAATTTCCAACCCCTTTTCGTCTTCTGCCAGGTTTGGCAGTTTGTGACTTGTTCAGCACAACTTCTTGCGCTTTGGGATATATGGTTCAAGGATGAAAGACTGACGAAGCAATCGAATCATCAGAGATCCAAACACTAATCCTCTCTTTCCCCCCCCTACCCACCACCAAAGATACTCAAAAGCCCCATACAACTCGCCAAACCTTCTCATCTCCCCCAATCCATCAACAAAGATGACCCATCTGCTTACGCCCAAACTAAACGGTCCGGTACCTCCCTTTCTTTCCTGCAGAACAGGAGGGTATTTAAGGCATATATGAAGTGATTACGATGCCGATTTAGTGCTGATATGCTAAATCGGGAATGAGGTGATCAGCAGAGAGTTGGGCTGGGTCGAGGGTGGTAAGATTCTAGAAGGGTGAGATTGAGATAAGAAAAAAGGGGTTGTTGGGCCTAGGCGTGATGCGTGAGTGCTATATCAAGAAACCCACGAAGAAAAAAGGGACTAGCAAAGTAAATCAAACTTCATTGTGGTATCATTTGCGCTTGCTTAAAACTTCGAATCCTAGACTAATCTATATATAAAAACAAAAAAAAACGCTGTGGTATCCTACCCTGCCCTTCCCAATTATCCTATTCCCTTATCCTGAGTACGCGGTAAAGAAAAGCGTTACAAAAGCAATACCCTACTCCTCCATCAAGCAACGTTCATCAACAAAAATATCTTCAGATCATCAAGCCCAATGAAGCGCTACATAGCGTCATTGTAAATATCCCGTAGAACGGGCCTACTATCAAGAATACCGCGTTTCCCAGCTGTAAAAACTTTGGCGGGTACTCTCTTCGCTTCAGAACTCTTGCTTCCAAACTGCTTCTTTAAACCCCTAGCGTTGATCGTCCCGGGAGCGGTTGTAAGATCACCTAGTGCTTTGCGTTCCTTGCACGGACTGGGCGTGGCTGATGGGCTCACTACGGAGTCTGGAACACAAGAAGAATAACTGGATGGTCGGACTGGAGTTTTGCCGGTTTGCGTCACGGCCTCTTCAAATGCATGAGACTCTACCATCTCGGGTTGGAGGTCGAGAACCCAATCCTTTTCTCGGCAGAGTGCGACCATGTCGTGCAGGAGCTCATTACTCGACAGCGTCTTCTCGCTACCCAGTATGATAAGTTTGGATCGAGCACGAGTCAGGGCAACGTTGATACGTCGTCGATCTTTGAGTAAATCACCGACAACTCCACTCTCATTACTGCGCACGCAAGAGACGATGACCACTTCTTTGTCACGACCTTGAAATTTATCGGCAGTATGAAGTTCGACACCGGCGCACCCTTGTCCACTAACCACCGGCGCTGACAGCTCTGAAGACTGAGTTTGTGTGTAAGCAGTAGCCAAACCTTGTCTCAAAAGAGCAAGCTGCGAGCGGTAGAAAGCAATGATACCAATCTCGTCGACAGCAACACCAAGGCTAAGCAGCGACACTGTGAGCTGGCTGACAAGACGTGCCTCTAGCGCATTGGTTATGCGAGGTCCAGTTTGCGTTTCGAGGATTGGAGAGATAAGATCCGTGTTGATGAAAACTACAGGTTGATCCGGTGACAGAGAACGCGAAAGCCAACAGTCAGCAGCATCAGGACCTGTGCAAGACTGTACTGCGCTCGACCGAGACTGTTGTAGCCTATGATGGCAGGCCATAAGACCGTTTGGCTTGGGCAGCTTCAGAGTACGGGTAGCCACTGCGGTCGTGCCACACTTCAATCGTCCCGAGTAGATGAACTTATTGGACAGAAGCATCACATCGGCACACATCCGGTATTGATGTTCTAGGCTGACGACTGCTTGTGGATGAGCTTCACAAAGCAGTTTGAAAAGCGATACGTCGAGTCCACCTTCCATGGCTTCCTTGTTCTGCACCAATGGTGGCAGCTGGTAATGATCACCGACGAGAATAAACTTCTGGGCCATGCGGATCGGGCCAAGGCATACTGGCAATGTAATCTGAGATGCTTCATCAACAATGCAGTAATCAAAGACACGGCGACTGAAGATGGGATGGTTGATAGTCAGGCAGGTGGTAGCCACAACGGGGGGCTGCATCCATGATCTTTCAAGCTCTTCAACACTCTCCTTGGGCTCTGCTGCAAGAGTGGCAAACCCTCGAACTTCAGAGTGAATCTTTTTCGCAGCACCAAGTCGCAGTATGCCAATCTTGTCATCTCGGATCTTGAGAAGAATATTGTCGACAGCAGTATGTGTGTAGGAAGTCAAAAGAACACTTTTCCCTTGAGCAACAAGTGTGCGGATGATGTGTGCTATTGTTGTCGTCTTTCCAGTTCCTGGCATACCCAACACCAGCGCATAGTCTTTGGCGCACATGACTTTCGAAACAGCAGCCCTCTGGTCAGAATTCATTGACATCTGTGATGACTCAGGCATCCGGGGTGCGTCCTTGAGAGACTTGAATGCAGGAGCCCGATCATCCACAATCAGCGCACGCAAGTCATGAGCCTTGAAAACGTTATTATCCATGATCTGAATAAGGTTGTTACGAGCCGCTGCCATGCCGTTACTGAATTCGTCCTTGTCTAGTCGGTACAGAACGGGCTCCTCGTCGGTCTCATACTGTGCAACTGTTTCACCTTCTTTGGTGACTTCCATGATACCAGCAAATGTTTGGTTGGTTTGCGAGTTGAAACCTGGAAGCTTGGTGCGAGAATTGTGTAGTCGTCTATCAACAGCGACAGTGATACGCCGCTTGCTGACATTTGTCACGTATCCGTTGGCCAGTGCAAAATGGCCTTGTTCGTCCGAGATAACGATGGGCTCTCCGACGATGAGCTGGGATTCGGTAAAAGAAAAGCCAGGGGTCGGCTGCTGTTTGATGAAAGTGTAGTTGTAGCGGTTGATCTTTTGAGCATTCTTCTCTTCAAAACCAGATCCGGGTTCCATGATGACGTTAGAGAAGCAGCGACCTAGCTTTTCACGTTCTATGCTAAGCATCGTCCACAACTCTCTCCGGAACTTCATCATGTCCGTCTCTTCTTTGGTCAGGAGAGTATCCCATTTCTTCATGAATTCTCGATGCGAGGGTTGGAGTGGCGCTACCAGCTCGTCGTATCGTTCTTTCGCCTTTTTGTTCAGCATGTCACCCTTGCCATCTTCGACGAGATTGTGGTAAAGAAAGCATGCCTCCTGTGCATAGCATTTTTGGCACTTGAAGTCTTCTTTCAGCACTGGCGGAAGCTCGATCCGATCGCGGACATAGCAGGCCAACTCGTTTCGCTTGATGATCATATGGATAATGTCGTTACGAATCGCAGGAATGCGGCTAATGTCAGAAGTTTCAAGGTAATACAAAATGCCGTATGCAATATTAACATCTGTTGGGGTCAGCTGAAGCCTGTAAAAGCACTGAGGAACATACCGTATCGATTAGACAACAATAGGTTATACAACGCGGTTTGCGCAACATGAGCAGCATTCGACGAGTTCTTCCCGGTCTTGACTTCAAACGGCACGGTCAAGGTTCGTTCGCCCTGATCGTCCCGCATTGTGACTTGGACAGTAGCATCAATATTGCCCTTTAGCCCGTACATAGGAGACCAAACGTGCTCCTCGACGTCGAGCAGTTTGTTGATGCTCATAGTACACTGCCGCCCATTTCGCTCCCGAACAACGGCGTCGGCTTGGGGGGAGGCGCAGACAAAGATCTTGGCCCAAGCTTGCAGCTCAGGCAACTTGCTGCTCATGTGCTCCTTGACCTCTTCGCACGTTGAATTGATTTCCAGTATGGTCTCCAAGTGGCTTGGCAGGAGCGTTTCAATCGTTTCCAAAAGAAAGGGTGTATCCCACTTATTGGCCTTCATGGCTTCTTGGAAGAGTTCGTGCAGAAGCGTGCCGTACAACATTGGTGCATTGGCTCTGCTCGTCGCTTTTACACGATCCTGAAGTACTGCTCGTCGAAGACAACCAAACGAATCTGCAACAACAGTTGACGAGATCAAATGGTCTGGATGCAGAATAAGCATGTTGTTATGATCATCTACAACACACTGTCCGCCACTTGTAAACTCCCCTATGACGTGTACAAATGAGCCAGTCGTGCAAGGCGTGTCAAACCAAGCTTGCCGTAGGATGATGGCTTTGAACAGCTTCGTCTTTTCTTCTTCAACCATGAGAACCTATAGAGTTTTAGCCACAATGCCTGACACCTCGCTCGGCTCACAACCCACCTTCTCGGGCATCTGGTAGCCACGATCAGTTGTGTAGGAACTTTCATCTACCCTGTTCACTAGATAACGCTGAATGGCCCTATTGTCCTGTTGACTCTTCGAGAGTAAGCGATGCTCCTTTAGTGGAGTGTTTTTGTTTTACATACGGTATTTGCTGGTGCTTGCGTGGCAGCCACTTCAGCAGCGGCAAATTCGTCAGCATCAATATCTTCATCGAATTCATCATCATCATCTATCAGACTAATGACTGTGGTTGATGCTGTATCTCTGGTAGCCACAGATGGCACTTTGTCTGCTGTTGGGGCTGGATCAGCTGTTGGGGATTCCATCGACCTTGTGTCATATAGCGATGCCACTTGTTCCAGGTCAGCGGCAAAGTCATCTTCATCATCCATTCCGAACTCATCGTCGCTTGCAGTCTTGGAGGGAGCTGCTACAGCTGGCTGTGGTTGTGGGGGCGTGGTTACAGGCTGGCAAGATGTGCTGGTATTGTTGGTAGAGGGGGTTGGTTGGCTGGCTTTCTGAGTCGACACATCCAAGGCTTCTACCATGTCCGCATCGAAATCATCGTCTCCAAAATCATCAGATGATTCTGGGGATGCTTTGAGTGGGGCAGGTCCGGTCTGCTCAGCATTTACAAGTTCCTCGTCTTGCACGTATTCGTCCCCTTCATCCAGAATATCTCCCAGTGAGGCTGATATGTGTTGAAGAGTCTCTGAAGTAACGACATCTTGTTCTCGAGGACGCCGTTGTACAGGAGAGCCGGATGACGAGTCTTGATGATCGGCAGCCCGGGGTAGCGGTGATGAACTCGACGGCAATTGTGAAGACAACCGAGACTCTGATTTTGATACGCATTCTCGCATCCGCTTTACCATGCTCGCAATATTTGGCTTGGTGGGCTGCCCAAGCATGACACCATCTGAACTTGGAACATCAGCAAACACGTCCTCGGCAATATCCTTTTCGGCCTGAAATACACCGTGCACCCTCCTTTTCTTCCTGTTCGATGCGGGAAACTCGACGCCACAGCTGGCCCATCTTCGAAGCCCACTGACGCTTCCGGCAGCAGCGGCAGACCTTGGTGAGGACTCGTTGATGAGGTGAGCAAAGGCTATACTTCTATTGGCAGTGGGGGTTCCCTTGCGGCTCGTGTATCGTGACCAAAGTTCCATGGCTGGATCGGCCTGAGGCGTTGTGATGTCTTGCCTGTTTGAGTCCAGTCTGGATTCTTCTTGGGAGGGGCCTACGGGCGAGGAACTCCTAGCGCGCTTTTTGTTCTTTCGTGGCAATGGAGTGTTGACTGCTTGCGAGCCTCTCCATATCAATTGCTCTTCTGGAGAGGCCGCTGGTGGCGGCGCATGTCTTGAGGAATCATCGACGTTACCGACGAGATCCGCCAGCGGTAGTCTCGTGGTGGCCGGTGTTGACGGTGGCGGGCAGTCTACAACAGTGGGTAGTTTCGGAGTCTTGTTACCAGTTCCGATTTCTGTCGGAGTCTTGCTCGCCTTTGGGGTTCCCATTGACTTGGACCCTTTTCCTGGCACACTATGCAGATTCTCTTTCTCAGCCTCGCGTTCCTTGGCATTGGCGACAGATGGCACGCCTTGGATGAATTGAAAGGCCTTGAGTTTGGTACGCGTCTGGGTCGACGGCATTATGGGGGGTCCGGTAACTATCTGTCGCGTCGCAGGTGGGTTCTGATTACTGTGATGGTGGGGGAATGCGCCGTTGCGCGAGCGGTTCCATTGGCCTCGATATTGCTGCGTGTGTCTTGGATAAGTGCTAGGCTAGTGAATCAGGTGTCGATGTCAAATTACCTTTGGCTTCTGGTCCTGGTCAAAGAAGGACTTTTGCCGCGTCGACATGGAAATGGACGGCGGGCAGACTCTACGTCTGCAGTCTGCAGTTGAGCGCGTTCACGCGTCACGGGCAACCAATAGGATGGGACTTCGCCACGAGTTCGCGACCAAGGTCACGTGAGTCATTAAGGTTGCTGGGGCCAAGCGATGTCGGTCCAAGCAATGTGGGACTGCGGGACAGCGCGGGACATGCGTCGGCTACAATGCTGCAGACCACTGAGTCGAATCAGTTCGCAGCCGCCTAATAATATTACTTGACGTATTACATACCGTAGGTTTTGTCCAGAAGGGTATACTGGGCCGGGCACTGGAGATGTGGGGCAGGCCGAGGAACAGTAGCAGTAGCTTTTGCACCCCCGCCAAAGCTGAGGTGGAAGTGCAAGTGGAATTGGGAATCAAAGTTGCAGCAGGAGCTTGCAACCGAAGACGGGAAGCTAGGGCCACCTTTGGAGATATTATACATCCTTACTGGTACATACAATCCATGACATCCCACGCTCCACGCCTCTTTCCCCAGATTGTGTGCCGTGCATCCCTCTCTTGCTGCCACTAGCACTGCACCAGCATTTCTTCTCCCTGCCCCTCCGACATCTTTCTTCCTCCACTATCCTGCCCTCAAAATGTCTTCTGCCGATGCGAAGCCATTGCCTTTCGCCTACCAGTTTGCGGCCGGTAAGTTGTAGCTACTCTAGTGCTTTTCAATGCCGATTTAGTGGTTATCTGCACATTTGCTGGTAGCTACCCACCAAAATACATGCAGTTCCAATGCGCCTCCTCGCTTGTACAACTGCAACCTTTTGCCACCATCCCAGTCATAGCTATGATTTTATACGGATGCGCGCTGACTCTCTGTGTGTCAAGGTGCCGTGGCTGGTGTGTCGGAGGTGAGTGGGCGCAACTCATCGCTCGTCGAGCTCGCGTGATGCCACACAATGCTAATTGGCCTGGCGCATATAGATTCTGATAATGTATGGCTCACTCACTTCCTCTCCCCATCTATGCGACTAACGCTGACTCATTCTCAAGGTACCCTCTTGACGTTGTCAAGACCCGAGTGTAAGAGACCAGACATCCAACCACTTCGCAACCGCCTCTAATTGCGCGCAGACAACTCCAGACCGGCAAGGCAGTTGGTGACGAGGGATACAATGGCATGGTGGACTGCTTCCGCAAGATCATCAAGAATGAGGGGTACGGCTACAGCTCATTGGCAGTAACCGATCGGAGGGGCTGACGTTTGCCAGTGCCTCGAGATTGTACCGCGGTATTTCCGCTCCCATTCTCATGGAGGCGCCAAAGAGGTGCGCATTTCCCCATTCGCTTTCATCTTCCTCCAACTCACATAGCTCAGGGCTACCAAGTTTGCTGCCAATGACTCATGGGGCGCCTTCTACCGCAACCTCTTCGGCCAGTCCAAGATGAACCAGTCCCTGTCTATCCTCACTGGCGCCACCGCCGGTGCCACCGAATCCTTCGTCGTCGTACCTTTCGAGCTGGTCAAGATTCGGTTACAAGACAAAGCCCAGGCGCACAAGTACAACGGCATGATGGACTGCGTTACCAAGATTATCAGACAGGAAGGCCCTCTTACTCTGTACCAAGGTCTGGAGTCAACCATGTGGAGGCACATTCTCTGGAACGCTGGATACTTCGGCTGCATTTTCCAGGTTCGCGCTCTCCTGCCCAAGGCAACCGACAAGAGAAGCCAAATCTCAAACGATCTCCTGTCTGGTGCTATTGGTGGCACAGTCGGCACCATTCTCAACACGCCCATGGACGTGGTCAAGTCGCGTATTCAGAACTCGCCAAAGGTTGCCGGCTCAGTACCCAAGTACAACTGGGCATGGCCTGCACTCGGCACCGTCATGAAAGAGGAGGGCTTCTCGGCCCTGTACAAGGGTTTCCTGCCCAAGGTTCTCCGTCTTGGTCCCGGAGGTGGTATCTTGCTTGTCGTCTTTACCGGTGTCATGGACTTTTTCCGTACCATGCGTGACGGTAAGTAGATGATGGACATATACAGCAAGGAGAGAAGAGGAGAGGGCGCAATGTTTATGAACTTTCCTCTAGAGAATACGAGAGTATGACGGAGGAATAGATGATAGACTGTAGATCAAGTACACTGTCTTGCTACGCCAGCAGCATGACTGAATACATTCTCACAACCTTCATTCTTCGGACCAAGATGGTCACTACATTCGAATTACAGACCCTAGACATGTCTTTTCTCGACGCTACGAACATCACTCACGCATGTAGCAAGAACAGTGAACTGATGCAATGCTATAAGCCTCACAGCGGGGCAATCGTTGCTTAGCTATGTACTCCCTTCCAATCCAATCCATTCCAACCGAATCGTTTGTTCGTTCATGGCACAAAGAAGAAAGAAAAAAAAGAACATGTCGGAAATGTCAATCTCCCAAGGTAACAAAGACCCCGCAAAAACGTCCTACCCATCCCTACTAAACAGGAGAATACAACGCCATCGCTAATGCACATGATTAACACCTCCCACGCTGATTTCCCCATCCAGCCAAACAAAGTTTTCATCTCCTTTTTGTTTCGCAGTCCAATCCAATGTGTACTTGAGGCGCAAGAGAAAAAAACAATGACTGTGGAAAAGAAAAACGCTAGATACCCAAGGGAAAAGATGTGTGACACAAGAGAGAAAACCCGTCTTCCCATCTACTCGCCAAGAAACGCTAGCGGCAAGTACTGAGAAGCAGGAAAGCCATAATAATGGCGGTGGTGATGACAAATTGAAGCCTAGAAGTGATGATGATAGAGAATAGGAAAGGAAAGACAACAGACTGACACGTAATCTTATAGGAAAACCCCACCACACCGTACTCTTATCCACTTGCCTCGCCTCGCCTACCCTATACTCTCTCTCTCACAAGTCCCTCTTCTCTCTTGCAAAAAAGAACCCCGGCCCCCCACTTGCAGACGGCATGAACGGCGGGAGTGGGGATATGGGTCCCCCGCTCCAAGTTGACGAGACTGTGAGGCTGGGGCTCAAGGGACCGGTTTTAGTAGCATCGAGACTTGATTTGCGAAGAGAGAAACGACGAGTGACTACAAGGTAGAAAAGAAAAAGAGGGGAAGGGAGTTAGCGCGCGTGCCTTGAACAAATGAAAGTGAAGAAAAAGAGTTGAGAAGACCGAATGAGTCTTCTGATTGGGGCGGAGGATGAGAGGAAAGAGGGGGAAACTAGTTGTAGGTAGAGTTTTGCCTACTACTGTGAGGAGTTCCTCCACTGCTGGAATTGGTATCGCTTGGAGTCGCAGGCTCAAGGCTGAGTTGAGCACGGAGTGTCATGATCCATTCATGCTGGAGCAACTCGACTGCGCTGGCTCGCTTGTTCGGATCGCGGTCGAAGCATTTCTTCAAGAAGTCAATGCCCGTCTCACTGAGCTGGTCGCGAGACGGTAGCTGCGGGGGGTCGCCTTGGGCGATGTGGTACATGATTGCCCATTCGTTGTCCATAGATGCCCAGGGACGGCGGCCCGTGGCCATTTCGAGGATCACGCAGCCGAGGGACCAGATGTCAACGGCACCGTGGCGACCGGTACTTCCGCCGCGAATGACCTCAGGTGACATGTACATGGGAGTTCCAGTCATTGAGCGTTGGCGGCCTTGACGTGTAGCGTTGTGTTCTGCAGCGAGAGTTCGGCCTTGGCGAGCAATGAGCTTCGCAGCGCCAAAATCGACAAACTTGATTACACCGTTGTGGTCGAGAAGAATGTCTAGATAGCGTTAGTATATGAAAACGTATGATTGGATAAGGAAACTCACTTTCGGGTTTGATATCACGGTGTACAACACCAGAGTCATGAAGGTAGGCAAGACCCTCCAACATCTGCAGTGCGTAAACCATGATGACAGTCTCGTCTTCAATGCGTCCATGCTCCAGCAGACCAGCAAGCGAACCGCCAGAGCAGTACTCCATGAAAATGTACACCTTGTCTCGATGAGGTTCAATGCCATAGTAAGACACAATGTTGGGATGGTCCAGTACTTGCAGCACTCCCATCTCGTCTCGAATCTGCGCGACAATCGTAGGAATGAGCTGGGGATCTTGAAGACGGATTTCCTTGACAGCCATGAGGTGATTGGAATCGAGATTCATGGCTGCGTATACTGATCCAAAGGTTCCACCACCAACAAACTGACCCTGCTGCCAACGCAAAGTGACGTTGGTAGCAGATGAAGAGAGATAGGTAAGAGCTCGGTCGGCTTCGTTAGAGTCCTCCAGCACCCTGCCCAATGCTTGTCGTTCGGCTTCCTTTTCCTTTCGGAAAGAGTCGATTTCTTCGAGTCTCTGCATCCATTGCTCTTGTGTCATTTTGATAGATTCGTCGTCATCCTTGGCATTCTTAGGGTCCAGCATGCTTTTGCCGGCAATGGCGTTCAACCGCTGGCGCTCGGCTTGTGCAGCAATGGTGGATCGAGCACCCATAATATCAAAGTGAGAAATGAGTACTGACATGCAGCCAGCAACTTTGAGACGTAGTTGAGAGTACTCATCGTCACTGATGGACAAGATGTTCTGACCACGAGTCATCATCATGGCAAACTCCAAGGCTACGACAGCCCATCGGAACGTCTTGCGGTCAGACGCAATACAGTCATCGCAGATGAAACTGACCCAGTCGAGAGCCAGCCTTGTGAGCCTGATGTTGTTCATTGCCCGGCGGTTGTAGTCCATGTAGAGCACTGAACGCTGACCGAATTCTGTTGCAAAAGCAAAACAGGTTTGAATGAGATCCTGGCAATCAAGTCCAGCCGTTTGTCTGCGAACAATCTCAACGCTATCCATGATGGTATTGGACAGGGTGTATGCGGTTTGCTTGATCTTTAGCAACTCCGCATTGACACGTGGGAGATTGGCGCGTTGATCGATCAAGGTGTGCAGTTCCATACCAATGCAGGATAGGAACGACATGTTTGCATTAGCCAACCGTTGCTGAGAGCCGTCGGCGACAAGTCGCAAGCGACCGGCCTTGAGATCCAAATGAGGCTCGATGATATTGGCCGACATCCTCTTGCCTGACCAGTAGAGAGGTTGCTCTGGCTTGATGATGAGAACATACGGGTTCGAGGGGTCTTCGGGTGCCTCTTCGGCATGATAACACGTCGTAAGCAGCGACTGAATGTCATTGGGACGATCAAGTGCGGCAGGCGAGGCAACAATGTAAAGGCCGGTATTGTTGGTGCTGGAAGTCTCGACAAGGAAATGTCCCGTAACGACCAACGATTCGTACAGCTCGTGCAACTGCTCCTCGTCCAAATCAATGTTGTTGATGTTGTACTCGGTGCAATTCTCAAAACGCTGCGTCAGAATCCTGGAGAAACGGAACAGCTTTCGCTGTCGCACACGGACGGAATCCAAGATCTGCTTGTAGCGCTTTTCCATCTCAGACCCAGTCAGTTCATCGGGTCGGCGCTGGAGTTCTCGCTCAAAGTGCGCACTGAGACGGGTCAGGGACTTGGAGGTAAGAACACTGAACTGCTCAGCCGTAACCACATCCCCGCCTTGAAGTTGGCGACCTAGCTTGTTGCAGAAATCCCATTCTTGTTCTAGGATTTCAGCTTCTTTGAATGTGTTCTTGTTGGCTGCCAGCTTCCAGTTGAGCATCTTAAAGTAGAACTTGAGGGCATCTAGAACAACCTGATCAAAGTTCTCCTCAATGCATGGTGGCAGGTCCCAGCCAGGCTCCGGCCGCGATATGACCATGTAGCTTTCTTTGACCTGGCCAGCCATGGCAAGAAGAATCTGGAACTGGGCAATCATCTGCTCAGCCATCATGACGCCTTGCTGTGATGGGTCTTTGATCTTCTTGGCATAGGACAGGCGAACACGGATAATCTCCTGAAGTAGGCGAGAGGGGAAGTTGATGAGAGTTAGCAACTCCTCGATATAGGGTGGGAGATGCCTGTCAGCGAATCCCTCTGCGTTTGCAATGAGCGTAGCCTTTGCTTTTTGAATAACCTTCTCCAGGGGCGTCAGCAGGTTGGTGTCTCCCTGCAGAGACTTGAGACCATCCTCCTTGAGTATCCGGTCGATAAACGAAGACTCGTCGGTCAGATGGTGGTCGTGGGAAGAGCGAGGGCGGGGCTTGGTAAAGTCCAACTCCTCGTTGCCAACCCATTTCTTCAGGATAGACATCTCAGTGTTGATAAGGGCAATGGTATTGTGCCAAGAAATAACAGCGTCGCAGGCGTCCTTGTAGGGTTGTGAGGCTGCTCTGGGGTATGCAGCCTCGAGAGCCTGGCGTGTGGGGTAGGCACTCTCCACCTTTTCAATCTTCTTGACAATATCCGCAACCTGTTGGGCAGCTGTCTGACCAGCCTCAGCCTCTCCGCCAACTTCAAAAGAAATAATGCTCTCAAGGTTGGCGCGAATCTTGCTCCTTGTGTCGTCGACTATCCTCCGTTGTGCTTGCAGCGAGCGGCCGCAGACCTTTGCGCGGATGCCCATCCAAATCTCTGCCTTCATTGTGCTGTCTCCTTGTTGCTCTGAGCTACCAATCAAGCGCTTCTTTTCCTGTTTGACAACATCACCCGTCAACACACTGGCCAGCATCGAGTGCCACTCGAGGCGCTCGCGATTGGCAGGAATCTTGAGCTCCTCAATTGACGGCTGCATATCGTCGTTGCCATAATAGAGGAGAGTCTCCTGGTCATAGGGATCGTTATCCACATAGTCGGCGGTTGAGGGCGAGTCGTCGTCGGTCTCGGAATCGGTGCTGTAACCGAGGCTGGGAGTGCGTAGGGCTGGGTCGAAGAATTCATCTTGCTGATCCTCCTGCCGAATGCGCTGGACATAGGCCTTTTCCTGGGCGCGGTACTCGGCGTTGGGGTTGCGGCGCGAGCGCGTGGCCGAGTTATTACGCTGGCGGTGCGTGTTGGAATTGAGGGAGAATTGCTGGGGACGGCGAGCAGGAGCATATGCGTTGCTGGGAGTGCGCACAGCAGCAGGACGCTGGCCTCTACTCGAGGAGCTGAGGCCAGAGCCGTTGGGCTGCTGGGTGGCGGGTGGGACGTCGGTCATGATCTGGGGCCCACGAGGGCGCGAGGAGGGTGGAGCAGCCGCGTTCCAGGCGTAGGCCGACTCACGTAGGGGAGCAATATCGTCGACAGCGGCGGCGGGCTGGACAGGCGGAGCAAAGTTGTATTCGCCATGATGCTCCATGTCCCCAGCGCCAAGCAGGGCATCGTGATCCGAGTCGGCAGACGAACCAGACCCCGAGCTCTCCAGGCGCTGAGGCTCGGGGGCGTTGACGACGACGGGTTTGGGGACGTCAGCCATGGGCAGGGCGTGTTGCAGCAACAATAGTGCGCGTGGTGGTGAGCAGGTCTGCCCGTGGTGGTCGAAAACCTGCTGGAGGGAAGGGAAGGTGTGGCGGACAAGTGTGGCGAGTGTCTGGTGTGGCGGTGCGGATGTGCAGCGGACTGCTATGCTAGTGCCAATCTCGCGGGGGCACGGCACAGAGGCGGGACGGGGCGCTCATTTACTTACAGCTTACATATGTATGCACATGTCACAGGCTGCATGCCCTTCAGCAGCTTGCACGCCACGGGCCACTATCCCGATGCGCTACAGTCGTAACGTGGGTATCGATCCTCCTTCTGGCTCTGACTCGTGCACTGCAGCTGGAGAGAACCTGCATTATCCATTATGCTACGCTACAAGACCTGAGAGTCGTTACAAATACATTTACATATACACATCATCATCATCATCATCATCATCATCATCCTTTGCTGGCCTTCTTCGCCTATATATCCTTCCTCGCCTGCTTGCTCTTGTGCCTAATCTGCTTGCCCCACTTATACAGCGCAAACGGGATCGGGATAAAGGCGATGCCCAAGAACGCCAGCAGACTGCTCGCCCAATCGACGCCAAGTTTTTTGTACATGGCGTTCGCGAACAGTGGGAACCCCGCACCAAACGACGATCGCATCAGATCGTTACCTGCCAACACACTAGCCACAGAGTCGGGATACGCATCGCTGAGATATGGTAGGACCGCCTGGAAGAGGGTAAAAGCCGCAATGCCAAAGCAGCCAGATCCAACAATCGGCACCATGTAATGCACGTCCGGCCTCGCCGACCATCCGAACCAGAACAAACAGATGGGCACGAAGAAGCATCCAACCATGGCAGGAATCAGCCGCTTCTCGGGCTCAATGTTGCCGTTTTCGTCAAACTGATCCTCCAGGTAAAAATAGTTCCATGCAAGAAGCACACTGGCTGCGACAAAGGTGCCAACAAGAATGCCAAGGAAAGCTAACCCCATGATACCAAGGCTGAATCCATATATGCCCTCGAATACGATTGGAAACGACTCGAACCAGATGTAAAGTAGGCCGTAGATGAGTGCGATGTACAGGTTGAGCAGGAGGACTATTGGCTCAGTGAAGTTGAGCGTGATGGGCTTTACTAGAACCATAAGGACAATCTAGTTTGGGTCAGCAGTGCATTAGCGTACCACCATAAGCCTAGCTATGCATACGTCCTTTCCTGTCATTTCTGCCGCCATTAGATCTGGCTCGCAAGTAAACCGATCGTCACCAGTGAGTTTCCTCAACCGCTTTGCCCGGCGGTGTAAGATGTTGGTTGAGCTGGTTTCCGGTAGGAAAAAGAAGAACACAATCCAGCAAAAGCCGGATAGCCACATAATCTCCCATATCGTCCACTTCCATCCCTTTGACATGACTGCAAATCCTCCCACTAGGGGGCCCAAAACAGGACCGCATACTGCACCTATTCCCCAAACTGCCAGCCCATAGACTTGTTTCTTTGGCCGGTACATGTCGGCAATGGACGCCCCTCCTGTGGCAAGAGCTGGCGATCCAACAAATCCAGTCAAGAATCGGAAGGCCAACAGCATACCGAAGTTGACTGAGAACACCGTAGGCAACTGCAGCAGCACAAATAAAACTAAAGATTAACCAATGTTAGCCCTACTCTAGATATTACGTCGGAGGGGGGATGCTTACGCAGTGTGAGAATGTACACCCACAACCTTCCAATCTGTGGGATTTCGCTCATGGGAGACCATAAGATAGGACCAAGACCATATCCCGCAACGTATAGTGTCAATCCCAATAGCGCAGGCACCTGAGCAACGCCAAACTCTTGCATAACCCCCATCAAACCGGGGGTGTAAATGGCAGATCCAATGTAGACTGAAAAGGTGAGGAGACAAATCTCAAACGTGACAAAGTATTTCTTTGCTCGAGGCCAGTTTCGTGGATTCTTTGGCCAACTGTTAGTAGCTATCTACACGTTTAAGGAAGAGCGTAATTTACCTGTGGATCATCAGGGCCATCCCAGTCAACAACATGATAATCGCGTCCCTTTTCTGGATCCACGCGAACACCACTGGGCTCATTCACACCATTGCCAAGTGTGCTTTTGGACTCGTCAGAAACATCACTCTCTTGGCGACTACGGACACTGCGTGGGTGCGCTAGCTCCGGCACTTCATTTGCGTTCTCAGGCGGCTGCGTGGATCCATGGTACGCCGCATTCCCCGATTTCTCTTGATTAACGTATCTCTTCCAGTACTCTGGGTCCTTCTCTTCAGGATACTGAAGATACTTTCTCTTTGTGATGAGGCGGACGCAGTGTCCGAAAGCGGAATCGCGAATTAGATCCGCCCACATGGTTACTCCTTCGACGAACCACAAACACTATCCTTACTACCAAGATTTTTTTTGGAATGAAAAGTGACAAGAAAAGCTAATAGTTAGCACTCATGCAAAGCCGTTGCCGTGACGAAAAAAAATATGAAATGATTGCCGGCATCTAAATGCTTAAGTTTTATAATGTTCAATCGCTGACATCATCACCAGCATCATCGACTTTCCAACTCGCGACGCCGGACCCTGGCGCGCCGCCGCCCGCGCACTCCGATTCTGCGGCTCAAGCAAAAATCCTTATTGGCTCCAACATTTCCGATTGCCTGTTCGATGGCAGAATAACTGTTATCACCGAAAAATAGAGTTCATGACGACCGACTTTGTCGGCACCGATCGGACATCCGTGATGCGCGATCGTGGGCACGAGATACTGCTTTGTCAGTCTTGCTCGCTCGCTCGCGCTCTGGAGCAGACCGGCCGGAGCGCGACGGATGCGGACTTGCGATGGTTGGGAGTCTAGGTGGGTGTGATGTGTCATTAATGGGTGGGGATTAGATTTGGCGATCATATCGATGGGGTGGAGGCGGTGGGCTTGGCGATGCTTGCCTGGACGTTGTGCTAATGCTGGCAGTAGTCGTTATAATTTTATCTCTATTTTGATGTTGTGTTAGTAAGAATAGAGAATCCTTACTTAAAATCATTGCTTTATGGCTATGGATAGCATATGTATACCATTGTTTTACTCCAGTACCCGCATTCTTTCAAGTGAAAACCAATGAGTTTATTTCGCTCTCTAAATTCTACAAACTAACCTTCATCAGCTAACCCGCCTATCCATCGCAGCATTCAAACCACCCCCTCTAGTTCAATCAAAGTAACTAAATACCAATCTCACATGCATTCCGCACCATCACCCATATCCGTATACTTCACAAAACGATTCTCAGCCCCCACTCTAACAACCCCCATCTGATCCTACACCCTACAGCACTCTCCACCCCTCTTATTCCCTCATTAAACAGCCTCTCTCATACCCCCAACGTCATTGCTAACACACGTATCGAATAACCGCGATACCACCGCACACTCCTCTTCTGAGGACGATGCTATATGTGTCTTCAAGTTCTGCGTTCTTGACTTTATTCTTAACCAGCGATTGAAGTATCTGTTTAGCATCTCGACTTGCTCGTTGGATTCGGTCTAAGGGTGTATGCTCCGTGGGTTTATGCAAGTGTGAGCAATAAGGGCGGCTGAAGTAAAAGTGTTGTTGATGGGGGTGAAGATACGATTGGGTGATAGAATAAATTTGCTTTGGTGCCAAGTGGGGGCGGTTTAATAAAGATGTTTGATTTGTAGTCTGCGCTGTTGGAGAGTAAGTACTGTGTTTCCGTCGCGCTTGCTTTCTGTGGGGTGGAAGATGACATGTTTGGGTGTTTGTTGTGGCTTTTGGGCGAGGCAAGAGGAGGGTGAGGGGTTTGTACTTTGGAGGGATGATATCGGGTATGTTTGGTATCACGGTACAAGGGTACTCAGATATCAGTGATGGATCGGTAAACTTCCCATGTTGAAACGTGCACTGAGTGTATGTTTTTCAACATCCAGTAGCACCATCTATGTGTACAGCTATAGTTCTGACTTAGCTGCGGAAAAACGAAGCTGAAACTAAGTAGAAGTTTATGAATGAGTAGACGGCTTTAATAGTCTATCTCTTATGTAGGTTATTACTGTCGTGAATTAACGAAAGGATATGCTGATAGAAGGCCCCAAAGGCAATCAAACTCGGATACAATGCAAGGTACATAGAAGAGGAAAAAAAGAAGATGTTTGATTCCACAATCAATTTACATGTGTGGGGACCCTCCAGACATAAAGGAAATATACTCATGTCATGCATCGAGTACCTGCGCAGATGGAGGTGAACAACGCTCCACGACAGTACTACTCGTTCTTCCTCGATAGAATTTCTTTTCATTCTTTCAGTTGAATCCCATGACGCTTCCCTATAGTTCGATTTCAATGATCTCACGGACTACCACTTAAAACTACCTCGCTCTAACCCGGACCAAGACTAGAGAAGTATAGCCCAACCCTGTGTAATACTATACTACTAAGCTAAACTTTCCTATAAGAGCTGCAGTTGTCATTGTAGTTTCGTCTACCTTTCTTTTGTATACCTAGATTTAATGTTAGTTACATATTGAATAAGAAGGAAAGGATTGGGCCTACAGCAAGAGTTGAAGCTCTGACAATGAGCTGACCTCCCATCGCCTAGTCCAGTACAAGAATAGGTCGCTTCGCAAAACGTACCACAAGCAAGGCGACAGCAGTCTCTAGTAGTTGAGCCATCCCTCTCATTTGGGTCGTTGCCTAACTATACGTTAGCTCAAAATAACGTTTGGAGCACAGCGAAGAGCCAATCAGCTCACAAATGGCACCAACGAAAATATTTGGATCGTTAGAACACGTGCTCGCATGTTGAGGGGAAGGAGTACACAGGCCACCTCTATGTATCAACTCCACAACGGTATCGGCATAGTTAGGAACAACCAATGAAGAAACTGAACATAATAAGTAAACAAGTGGTAAAGAATCTTACGTCCTCCTGAGTACAAAGCTTACTTACTTAGTTGTTCTCAGTTATAGATATCAGCAGCTCTTATATATGCTAGCCAGAATGGCTTACCTTTCTAGTGAGAAGGTAAATTGTGTTGAGTGATCCAACCGCGGAAAGTTCTATATAGCAATGCCGCCAAGATACACAGACTAATGTCGCCCTGCTCTCTCCAAGTCGGTGTCACTGTTGCATTTATCCTAATTAGTGATGGATACAGGGGAGCCCTCTAGCCAGTCATCAATGGTTTCTTCGAATATCTGAACGATGATGCGCGAACTCGTACAGACACTAGGCACATGGCTCCTGGCGTAAAAGGAACGTGATGGACTGAGTCGTCCTTCTATGTCTGTACTACCATCATTATGCCTTATATTCATGTCCCAGGGCCAGTGCGTACCTATCACCAGAACATGTGATTCAAGTGTTGTTTCGAGGCAGTGGAAACGCCTTGATGTCGTCATAAAGCTTAACGCTCGAGCACTTCTAGATAGTACGCCAATCCGCGATCTGCGGCCTGTCGACCTGGATCGGTGACTGTCATCGTAGTCTGCTGCGCCTTGACTACATCCTGTATCATCTGTACTGCTTGCTGAGTGTAGCCTCAAAATATGAGGTTCTTTGCTGCGAGACTCCAAACCCGTCGATATCGTTAACTCGGTGTCTTATTACCGAAGACAGTGAGACAAGATGAGCGCTAGTTCTGTTCAGTCGGTAGTCGTCCCAGCCATTTGCCTAGGTATCAATAAACCTAGGCAGTCGCGACACATGCCATTGCGTGAGCACTACTATTTCATGTTTTTTTCTGTTTATAATCATTCTTGAATGCTCGGCAAACACCTTTCCATGCATTTGAAAAGATGTGAAGTAGCAGTACACTGTGATTCCTGACATCGACGCAAAACACGACCCAGAAGCTTGAGAATTCTGGCGGCATCTTGGACCAACCCCGCACCTCAAGAAGTGGTGTGATCCAACGTCATCAGATGCTCTTAGTCATTACTGAATACTAAAACCCAAACAAGATCTATTATTTTCCCCCCTGCCCCTAAATCTCACGTTATCCTCAACGCCGCCACACCCCTCATCCCCGTCCAAAACTCTGTTGGCGACCCCGCCCCCATCATTGTCTCTATCCACTCGCCCTCCATCCATCCCTGCACAAAGCATGCCCCAAGAACCGTATACGTCTCGTTATCTCTTTCTCGTAGGACGAGAGGAATAGAGCATCCGGCTATAACAGCAAGATGGCACATCTCTCCTATTTCCGACCACTTATCAGCGATGTACGCGGGCATCAAGCCCATGTACCCTGCCTCTGATATAAATGCTCGCCGGCCGCGCAGGACTTGTCTGACTATGTTCCGGGCTTCGGATTCGCGGTATCCATGTACCCATGCGGAAACATGTTTGGAGAGCTCTGTCTGGCATGTGTATGGGTCATCGAGGGGGGATTTGAAGTCAGGGTTAGGCGGCCATGCAGCAGTATTGTCCCCATGGCACATTGCCCAAGCTGCTCGTAGGGGATCGTCGTAGATGCTTGAGCCGAAGTTGCGGAAGTGCTGGGTAAGTTCGATAGTCCAGCAGTGGAATTCCCAGTCAGGGTCACCGGATTGAAGATGTACTGTTTCACTTGATATCTGCGGAGGTTGTTGTAGGATGGCTCCAACTTGATCTATGATGAGTCCAGTGCAATGTAGCACGTTGTCTTGGAAGTGGAGGAGAGTATCTTCGAATGTGTCACGGGTGATACCACCATCTGCGGCGTACAATTTCCCTTGCTGGTCGTCCACTACTGAGATGAATTTCATTGGAATATAGTCCTTGCGCACAAGACAGCTGGTTTGAGTAGGGACACTCCAATCCGGCGCCCAAGATGGCGTTTTTCTGTAAAAGGAAGAGCTACTTTCCGACGCTTCCACTGCTCCTAAGATATCCAGCGAATGCTTCTGGTTGATCCAGGCTCGAGCAAAATCAGCATAGATGCGTTCATACGGCTCCGTGTAATGAGGCTTGAAGTCTATGCCGGTCTTATCTTGAGCGAGGTTCCACAGTGCGAAGATTTTATCTCTGGGATCAGTGCTCTTAAAATCCCGAGCCATTACGACTGCTTCCAGAAAACCGGGTGCATCTTCACTCGTATGGACGAAGACAGAGCCCAGTCCGATGCCACCATTCGCCAAATGTCGAAAGTAGAAGAGCTTGCGTGCATAAGACAACATATCCATGTCAACCTCTTTTAGAGCTGGATCGGCTTCTTGCATTCGTTTGGAAAGTCTCTGATCGCGGCTCAACATGTCCTGAAGCTTATGCGCAGCCGATTCCAGATAGTCCCAGCTATCTTTTCTACCGGGGATACATAATACCGTTGGATTCGAAGCATAAGCAATTTCCTGGCAAATCCTTAATAGATTGAAATGGTTTTCAAGCTTAAGAAGTTACCTGTGACATCCATATCCGCTGGAAGTATTGCCTAGTCAAAAGCTTGTATAGGCCAGCACATAGCTTTGCGAGTTGATCGGGCTTAATTGTATTCTCGCTGTCGTCGCTTTGGCCGCGTAGGGAATGTTCCGATGGGAAATGAAACTCATTGGACTTGTTTTTGCGGACGATTGGGTGCTTGAAGAGTTCTTTTGTAAAAGAGAATACTGACTCGCTCTCTCCGGTGGGATTTCCGATATATGAGAAGACTGCAGTGGCAAAGTCATATATTTCCCCCATGCGCGGCACTTGCCGAGCGCGCTCAACCAAGTCTTTTTGGTTGATCGATAGAGCATCTATCCACACTGGTACGATGATGTTATGGCTTCTTATTACACGAATAGCTTCGGCGAGGTTCCTGCGGACTGTCATCTTTTGCCCTGCCATTACAATTTGCTCTTGAGTATCATCCACGCCCCAACAGTCTTCAGATAAAAGTTAGTTAGATAGGTTTGTTTCCTTTCTGTTTATGTCTAAGAACTTACAAGATAGTGCGATATAGTGTTCGTCAGTGTCAATCGGACAATGCGCCACATGGATGACTATGGGCGCATGTGCATCCTGGGCAGGCATGATACACATGATTCTGATCTCATCAGCCACCATATCTAGTGGCATGTATTGGAATTCCGTTGTCGGTTCGTCAAAACTGGCACTGGTACCCAGGCGGATGGGGCACACCCTAGGTACAACTAGCTGTTCTGGGAGACCATACCATTTCTTCTGTTGTGCAAAACGACTTCGAGAAACGACGCGACCAAAGTAGCCGCTCTCCACAAGACGGTTATTGGTCTCGTGCATATCAAATACTTCATAAGCCCGCATATACATGGAATCGCTAAAATCGCGTGTCCAGTATGCTTTCTGCTCTTGCAGATCCGATTCCACTACACAGGCATATCGTACCCAAATATGTGTTGGTCTGTCAACCGTTGTACGAAAGTAGCGTAGAAATCTCTCCAAGGCAAACGAGAGAAACAAGGCCTTCCCGTCTACCTCTATAGGCTGTCTGTACTCTCGGTATCCTCTTGCATTCTTGACCGCAACAAAAGGAGGAAGTTCAGTGAGGGGGTATGTTTCAAGGGTGCAGCGAACATGCTCAACCGCTTCATGTGCTGGGTGCAAGAGCAACAAACGTGCCTCATGCGGATCGAAACGAAGCGGTTCGTACTCCATCTGGGGCACGAGCAACCTGTCCAAGCCATCTTTGGTAACGGTATAGAGATCATTCTCTAGTCTTGCAGGTTTGTTAGTCGGATGGTCGGATGGTATGTCGCTGGGTGATGGTGATGCTAAAAGAGGGTGAACAGTCGAAGACTGTCTGTCTTTTAACAATGTCATCGAAATCAGAGATGGAGGGATAGAATAAGATAAGATGATAAAGAATCCTGTAGACTAATGCATGTTACTTTGATTGCGAACTTAGCCTTTTATTGATCGTGTTAGCGTAGCGGGGTACACAACGGTTGCCTAAACATAGCCCAGATAAGCGAGATGGTACCAGAGCTACTGCGGGTCAAGGGTAGTGCGATGAACTATCTAGGGGTGTCGCGTACAGAACAGCTTTATGTGAACAGCTTTCAACTCGTAAAACATTGCTCTCAATCGTGATTAATCCCATGATGTACTATACAACCTCGAACTCGTAATAGACGTATGCAGTGTACTCCTGGTCGCCCATGTGTCCGGCTTGTTGCATGTCAATGGACATGGACTGGTCGTCTTTCTTGATGCGACCTTTGCTATCACGGCCGAAAGCGTTGCCACCAAGGTATGAGTAGGCTGCGTCAAGGTTCGTCTTTGCCTTTTTCGCCGATTTGGCATCGGTCTTGCTAGTGTTAGTATGCAAACAACGGGGCGACTAATGTAAATGAACTCACCTGAACAATGCCGCATACAAAATCCAGAGGTAGGCCGTACCTAAGCACGGTTTCCACAAACACTCTGAGTGCCAGGACATGAATCCAGATCATAGCACTCTCGCTGTACCCTGTGCGACCTAGTCGCAGCGCCTCGCCCCAGAGCTTGCGCTCGTCCTTGGCTAGTTGGTCGGCCTCCTTTGCCTCCTCTTCCTTTCCACCTTCCTTGTACGTGTATTCTCGCGGGGTCCACCGCTTTTCCCTGCATTTGTGGATAAACTCATTGGAGTGCTTTTTGAATGTTGTGACGGCGAACAGGGTAAACTCGTCGTCTTGGGCAATCTTGTTGGCGGAGCGGGGGACAACCATGGGACTCAGCTCTTCGTATGCCTGGTAGAAGTCTTTTACAGCCGTGTTGGGGACGGCGATGAGGTGTGTGTCGAGATATTCAGAGTCGCGGACAATGGACTTGGGGTTGACGACATTGACGAGGGACTTGGTAGACAAGTTGCCGGTGCGCTTTCGCTCTGCGGCTGCAAGGGCGCCCTTTGTCTGGTTGTACTGACTGAACTTGGACTTGACATCGTTGTCGATACCTTGTATCTCCTGCGCGCGCGGTTAGTCTGCTGGGTGGTGCCATGACTATGCGCCGCTGCCTACCTTTTGTAGTGCGTCTATGAGATCTGCGATGGGCTTGTCCGCGCGGTACTTGACCTTGTTCCACTGGAAGCTGCGCAGGTACTGGTCGACGGGCTCTGCACTATGTGAGCTCTTGGGCACTATTCACTCGGCCGGTCCCCCCACGTACTGTCGTTTATCGTCTTCTGCTGCTGCACCTTGGACTCGTCACCGTCGAGAATCTGGCGCAGACTCTCGCCGACCTTTGCGACTACGCCCTCACACGCATTACTAAGCTTTGAGAGTTCATCGGCCTGCTGGACGAGGGCATCAAGAGTTCCAATCTTGAAGTTGGGTATGGCGAACGGGGAAGTGTTGCCAACGTCATTGGTCACGGTGGAGCGCAAGGCCGTCAGGGCGTCATCATGGTGATTCGAGGGGGAGATGGACGTCGGCAGCGACACCAGCAGGTACTTGCTGCCCTTGGACATGGTTGCTGCAGTCGTCTCGGGGCGATCGGGTCGCGATATAGGCAGCTATGGCAACGATGTCTGCATTCGTGGATGCAATCCAGCTTCGGAGCTTGGATCGCCGGGCGGCCCAGCTATCTGCCCGCCGGCGTCATTGGCGCTCTGACTATATAACTTCCATCCGCCGCCGATACCCGTCGGACAGCCAGCAACAGCATTTCCTCCTCACCCACATACAATGGCCGCCAGAAAACCAGTCGCTGCGTTGCGCCCCGTGGCCAATGTCTTTGCGCCCCAGGTTGGAAGACTTCAATGCCCAAAAGTCGCCCGGTATTCCACCCGAACATGCACATGGCCTGCCCCGCGACCCCGCAACTTCACAGAACCAGCGCGACAGCATGTGCGATGGGCTTCTTCACAGGCAGCAGGCGAGCAGCTGGGAAAGACTGGTCTGTATGAACTGCACAGCAAGTATGGTGCCAAGTTTGTGCCTTTTGGCGGATACTTGATGCCCGTCCAATACAGCGACTTGAGCATCATCGACTCGCACAATTGGACGCGCGAAAAAGCCAGTTTGTTTGATGTTGGCCATATGTAAGACGCCATACATGGCCAGAGTGGTGGTGAAAGACAGTCCGGCAAGCTAACCAGATTCAGGGTCCAGCATCACTTTTCTGGTCCCGGTGCCGAGGCCTTTCTCGAGAGCATCACTCCCTCTGCCCTCTCAGCCCTGCCCAAACATCAGTCTACTCTCTCAACTCTGCTCAATTCCAATGGTGGCATTGTTGACGACACCGTCATCACGCGTCTCACGGACAGGTTCTATGTTGTGACAAATGCAGGCTGCAGAGAAAAGGACACTGCTTATTTCAAGGCGCAACTGGATGCATGGAAGAGCAAGCATTCTGATCAACCAGTCGAATGGCAGATCCTAGATGGGCAGGGCCTTGTCGCCCTCCAGGGGCCCCTCTCCTCCGAGATACTCTCTCGCGTGCTTGACGACAAGTCGAAGAAGGACCTGGAATCGCTCTACTTTGGCCAGTGTGCCAATGCAACCATCAAGGGTACCGACGCCGAGGTGCTTGTCAGCCGTGGTGGTTATACTGGCGAAGATGGCTTTGAGATCAGTATTCCTGCCTATGCCACCGAAGCCGTCACTCAATACTTGCTCGACTCGGCCAAAGACGAGCTGCGATTTGCAGGTCTCGGAGCGCGTGACACTCTCAGGCTCGAAGCTGGCATGTGCCTATACGGCCATGACCTAGACGACACCACAACACCTGTCGAGGCCGGCCTTTCCTGGATCATCGGCAAAGACCGCCGCGTAAAAGGTGGCTTTCTCGGCGACTCTGTCATTCTACAACAATTAAAGAAAAAGTCGGAAGGTGGAGGTGTTTCGCGCCGCCGAGTGGGTCTTGTCGTTGAGGGATCTCCCGCCCGAGAAGGCGCTGAGATTGTCAACGAGGCTGGCGAGAAGATTGGCAACATTACCTCTGGCTGCCCGTCACCCACCCTCAAGAAAAACATTTCCATGGGCTACATACAAGATGGCATGCACAAGGCGGGCACTGAAGTCGATGTTGTAGTTCGTGGTAAGAAGCGAAAGGCCGTCGTCACGAAGATGCCATTCGTGCCAAGCAAATACTTCAAGCAGCCAGCCAATGTAAAGGCATAGATTGCTGCTGAACATCCGGAATTTTGGCATCTTCAACCTGCCGTTACCTCTTTGAGCGCACCACTGCACCGAGCTAATCAAGTTCTCACAGCACTGGTAGTTTGCCCAGTCTCCCTCGCGGCTCTTAGTAGCTACTGGCGATTTACATGGCGAACATTTGCGCATGGCATTGCATAAGAACATTATCATGACTAAATCCTTTGGTCCCCATCCGTTGGTCTGTCGCCGTTGGCGCAAGCCCAGGCGGTGTGCTCCTCGAACATTTCTGTAAAACTAGTAGAGATGTACTTATTCCAAGCCAAAATAAGACTTACTGCGTACGAACACCCGAAACCTCAGCATGGTTTGGCTCGTGCTGACCCTTACACGAGAAACGGCAACTATACCGCCGCTATGTAGTAGATACGAAATAGTACCGCGAATTGAATCACTTATCCATGACCAATTTTACATATCCATTATCAAAAAATGAACTCTGGCGTTCTGAGACTGACTCTAACGGGGCCTTTTCCGTCGGGTCCGTTCGCATATCACCGATACCCAGACCCTAGTCCTTGGCAACGACTTCTAATGCCATACAAAGTACTTGCCCGACGGCAAAGGCAAGGTACATGATTTGTACGCCGGATACTCCAGGCTATGTCCCATGCAGGAACTTCAAGCGCACTTGTCAAGGTTAGTGACAACTAAAAGTAGAATGGCTAGGGAAGACCAAGATGAAGAACTGGCTCACGTGGTCACGCCGGAATTCTTTGAATGATGCTGCACATGACGATGCAGCATTGTAGCTGGATATTCGTTCAAGACAGATTGCATCAAGAACAGGGGGTATAGCTGAACTTTCGGCCATGTAGACATCCACCATGACCATCTCTGTCAAAGTAACCACCCTATCTTCAAATCCTCAGAGATCCATAACCATCTAGCATTTTCATGCCATTAAGTCCCCAGAGATCCTCACAGAGATCCCAATCTCTTACTCCCATGCCTCACCGTCCCCTCCCCCTCCCCCTTCCTCTCCCCCGTCCTCCACCCCTTCCCCGTCCCCCTTTCCCCCTCGGCCCAGCGCGTTCATAAACCCTCACATCCTCAAACGCACTATCCGCCACGCGAATATAACTCGGAATCCCATTATCCACCACAGCAAGCACCACATTCCTGCACCCATGCTTCAACCTCTGATACGGCTGGTCCGTCTCTTTGGGCGGATCCTCGGGCACCTGCGCCATGAGATCGTTGAGCTGAGCGCCCGTGGGGATGGGCGTGGTGCGGGCGTCTACGACACAGATGCGGAAGTCGGGGGGACCGCGGGCGGATTTGCGGAATTTGGAGGTTGTGCGGTAGACGTCGAAGTGGATGCGGTAGGGGTTCTCTGGCGAAGAAGGCAAAAGGAAAATAGGTGGAGTGGTCCGGTCGTGGGTTGGGATTAGTTTTAGGAGGCGGTAGATGTCGGTGTAGGATCTGAAGAGGCCCGGTTTGAGGAGGGGGCCGAAGGCGAGGTTGGAGGCGGGGATGGTGTAGGTTGGTTGGCTTAGGCGTCGCCAGAGTTCGGAGAAGAAACGGGTTATGAGCTTGGTGCTGGAGGTTGTTTCTTGCTCGGATTTTGGGGGTGTTTCGACGATTTCGCCTCGGTCGTGGTCCCATGATCCGGTGCGGAAGATGACATAGCCTGATCTTTTCAGACCAGCGTAGACGTTATACATTTCCAGTGTGAGTTTTCCTCCTATACCACCTTCGAAACCAATAAAGGCTGCATAGGCGGATTGTAGACTCATGGGTGCACCATCTTCGGTCCTGTATACTGTTTTGTCGCCGATTTCGCGTTTTACTGGCCATCGACAGTCCAAGGTTCCTCTTTCTAGTAAGAACAGCGCTTCTTCTGGTAATAGCCACTCTTTTCCTCCCTTATTTGTGCCTATGGTCTGGAAGTGCTGTGACTTGACTTTGTCTACGCAAGCTATGTTGCGCTCTGGATCATACATGGCTAGGACATGGCCCTTTTGCGTGTGTGTGCGCTGCCATGAGAGCACCCCATGCATGGCCCGGCGCGAGGCCTCGAGCGTGTCGAGCTGAAGATTTGTCTCATGGCTTTCAAAGTCCTTCTCGCCGCGCTTTGGTAGTGTTGGATGTGCGCTATCTTGTGCTCTGTCGCGCGAGCATTAGCATTGCAGAAGGATGAAAAAAAAACTACAGGCTGCGCATGCGAGATGACGCACGTCAATTTCTCAAGAAGTCGAAAGTCTTGGGCCTCCTCAGTAGGATCATAATCTGTCGCATCAGGTGCGCGCAGGTGCGAGATGTCCTCGTCTTGATCGGCCATGGCCGGAAAAAATGCTTGTGAGTGCGACGACGTGACTCTGGTGGGGAAAGGTGGCGGTCGGCACTGCCAACGTTGTGGGCGGGTTGCCGCGGCATCTCATCGGCATCCCAATCGGCACCAGGCCAAGGGCGTCTCGACGACAGCATACTGCCTCGTCCGAGCATCTTGCTTGTCAAATTTCAAACTCAACCCACTGTTATGGTATACTAGTCTATCACTACGGAGACTTTCGGAGCCCGATTCATCCCCTGTGCTGCCAATATCACACGATTTGGGAAGATTACTGTGACACAGAGCGGGGAAAGACTTCCAGAATGCATGTAATGACAAAGAAGGAGCATCGAGATTGATCCGGGATGTGGCATAAGCAGGATCATGGATTGCAGGGTAATGTGTTGGACTTATAGATTGGAGATGCGTTGACTTGCAGGAATGCTATATAAACTCTCTCATGTCTGTTGGATTGGAGCATCACACATTCAAACACAAGCTATTCATTCAATATCAACTCTTTTAACTTCAACTTGCAAAGTTATCGTCATGCCTCTTACCAAGTACAAGGCCGCTGCCGTATGTTTATCCCTGTTTGAACACTCTGAGATAACATCGAAGTGATCTAATCAAACCCCAGGTCACTTCTGAGCCATGCTGGTTCGACCTCGAAGCTGGTGTCCAGAAGACCATCAACTTCATCAACGAGGCTGGTCAGGCTGGTTGCAAGCTCGTTGCTTTCCCAGAAGTCTGGATTCCAGGTTACCCCTATTGGATGTGGAAGGTCAACTATCAGCAATCACTTCCTCTGCTGAAGAAGTACCGCGAGAACTCCCTCCCAATCGACTCTGAGGAATTCAGACGTATTCGCCGGGCTGCCCGCGACAACCAGATGTAAGCCAAGATTCCTTGCACTCGTAAGCGTCTCTGACACCACGCAGCTACGTCTCTCTTGGTTTCTCCGAGATTGACCACGCTACCCTGTACCTCACTCAGACCTTGATTGACCCAACGGGCGAGGTCATTAACCACCGCCGAAAGATCAAGCCTACCCATGTTGAGAAGCTCGTCTACGGTGATGGCTCTGGTGATACTTTCAAGTCTGTCACTCAGACCGAACTTGGTCGTCTTGGTCAGCTGAACTGCTGGGAGAACATGAACCCCTTCCTCAAGTCACTCAACGTCTCTGAAGGTGAGCAGATCCACATCGCAGCGTGGCCAGTTTATCCTGGTAAAGAAACTCTCAAGTACCCTGACCCGGCCACTAACGTTTCGGACCCTGCCTCTGACCTGGTTACGCCCGCTTACGCCATCGAAACTGGCACCTGGACCCTTGCACCCTTTCAGAGACTAAGTGTAGAGGGACTCAAGAAGAACACGCCCGAGGGTGTCGAGCCTGAGACTGATCCTACCACCTACAACGGCCACGCCCGTATCTACAAGCCTGACGGTACACTTGTATCTAAGCCTGACCCAGACTTTGATGGTCTCCTGTTTGTTGACGTATGTTTTCTATCTAGCCGTATCTGATTGCCGAGTACTAACAAGTAAAAGATTGATTTGAACGAGTGCCACTTGACCAAAGCGCTTGCCGACTTCTCGGGCCACTACATGCGACCCGATCTCATCCGGCTGCTTGTCGACACCCGACGCAAGGAGCTTATCACCGAGGCTGATCCTCAGGGAGGTATTACGACCTATTCTACCCGTGACCGTCTTGGTTTGAACACACCGCTTGATGGAGGTGCGAAGAAGCACAAGAAGGTTGTTGCTGCTGAAACCGAGGCTGCCAACGCTTCTGCACTCTAGGTGTTGTTGCGCATCAAACTTCCAAAATTATGGTTTTGGCTTTGTATCATAGTCTCATAACGTTACTACGCTCAAATTGATTACTTCACTCTTCTTGGTTACTTGATCCCCTGACATGTCGGCTGCACTTCATTGATTAGTGAACTAACGCGTGTATCCTGATCATTTCCTCCTCATATGCCGAGTTTCTTCCACCCATGTCAGAATATAGTTGATAGCGGGCCGTTGCGTTGCCGACCCCGATTTGATGATGGCTAGTGTGAAGATCAGTTGACACGTGATATGTGGCGGATTTAGAGTTCACAAGATCCGAGCTTGAGCTAAAAGGCGGTGGCAGAATCTAGCGCGAACTGATCTTCGCGCGCGCAACTTTTCGAAAAGTTACCACTTGATAGTTCATTGCAAACCACAACCCACACGACCCCCACAATGCCATCCACACACAATGTAGATAAGCCCTGGGATACGGACGATATCGACAAGTGGAAGGTACGGTTGCGCCGACAATATATATTCGCATCCGCCAGATCCTAATTTTGCGCAGATTGAGCCCTTCAAGCCCGAAGATAACAAAGCCGGCGCATTCACAGACGAGTCTCGTTTCAGCACCCTCTTTCCCAAGTATCGCGAGCAGTACCTCAAGGGATCATGGAAGTTCATTACCCAAGCACTGCAGAGACTGGGCATCGGATGTGAGCTAAACTTGGTTGAGGGCTCCATGACCGTGTGGACCACACAAAAGACGTACGACCCAGCCGCAATCCTAAATGCACGCGATCTCATCAAGCTACTTGCTCGAAGTGTGCCAGCGCCACAAGCTATCAAAATCCTTGAAGACGATGTGGCTATGGACATTATTAAGATTCGGAACTTGGTGGGCAACAAGGAGCGTTTTGTCAAGAGGAGACAGCGTATCCTGGGACCCAATGGATCAACGCTCAAGGCTCTGGAACTGCTTACTGAGTGTTATCTGCTTGTGCAAGGAAACACAGTAGCTTGTATGGGTCCGTACAAGGGACTCAAGCAAGTACGGCGCATCATCGAGGACACCATGCACAATATTCATCCCATCTACGCCATCAAAGAGCTCATGATCAAGAAGGAGCTCGCCAAGGATCCCGAACTTGCCAACGAGAGCTGGGATCGCTTCCTGCCAAATTTCAAGAAACGATCTCTCAGCAAGCGTCGCATACCCCACAAGGTCAACGACAAGTCGAAGAAGCCGTACACGCCATTCCCACCGCCTCAAGAGAAGAGCAAGGTCGACTTGCAGATCGAGAGCGGAGAGTACTTCTTGGGCAAACATGCAAAGGAGAGGAAAGCTCAGGAAGAGAGGGAGGAGAAGATGAAGGAGAAGATGGATGCCAAGAGAAAAGAGAGAATGGCCGAGTATGTGGCACCAGAAGAGGATGGCGACAAGAAGAAAAAGAAACGCAAGCGGGAAGAAGGCGAAGGAAAGGACAAGAAGAAAAAGAAGAGGCACAGTGCGGAGGGCGAAGCCAATGGCGATGCAGCATGAGATATTTCCTTTTTGTGAAGTTTATTGCGGAACGACATTTCTGCATTCTTTTCTCTTTATGCCACATCAAATTCTGAGAGGTCAGGGTCGTGTCGACTGAAGGGTGGAACAAAAGTACAGCAGTCTGAGCGACACTCCATAGCATTGTTAGGTGTTTAGGATATTCTGATAAGTTGAAATACCCATTTTCTCTTTGCTTGAGAAGGTCACACTCAAAGTACTATTAACAGCAGGGTGTGTAAGCACAGGACTTGGCGCTCTAACCTTAGCGACATGGGTCAAACATCTTATGTCTCAAGTCCTGACATAACACGTTCACGTCGATTTCCATTCATCATGTCCACTTGACCTTTCCGAGGGTTCGAATCTTTGCTTCCAATCTGTTCTATACCCTCATCTAAGAATGCGCACCTACATTTCTGCACAGAATGCTGTTATCTTGGCGTGTTCTCCACGGCTAGTCTGGGGATGGCACTGCTGGAGTAAAAGTCCACTATATGCGACTGATCTTCAGAGCTCTCTCAACGGCTTGAAAGAATACGCGTTGTGTCCTCAATCCCCAGGATCCTCGGCCTTGGCAGATGATACGAAAAAGGAAGACTATGGGCCATGGTCATATGCGCCCGTCTGCACATCCATTCTCCCGAGCATCAACGACAAGCTATGCGTATATACCAATACATCTTTTGCTCAAAACCGAGGCATTTCGATATTCACTACACCAAGTTTGGCCAAGGACTTCGCATCGCTACCCGCATTTCGCGATGTATCAGCCCTCGTATCCCAATCCATCAACAAACCTACAGATACTTACCACGCCACCTCCATCCCAGGAAAAGGCATCGGAATGCTCGCCTCGCGGCCCCTGAAATTTGGAGAGCGGGTCACGGCCTACACCCCTGCATTCCTAGCCTACTTGGAATCCGAACTATCCACACTAGACCGCGAAGCCCTCTGGCGCACCGCAATCGAGCAACTCCCCTCGGACCTGAAGGAAAAGTTTCTCGGTCTCACAACCGTATACGGCGACCCTAGAGTCCAGGTCCAGGATATCGTTAAAGCGAATACGTTCCAGGTCCTGCTAAATGGGGTGAATCATCTGGCCGTGTGGCCTGAGACTAGTCGGTTGAATCACGCTTGTGCACCAAAGTACGTTTTTCGTATTATCCCATGGGGGAATCCAAAGAAGCAAAGATGAAATAAAAAGATGAAAATGAAGAAGAAAGCTAATGGAAAGGGAAATAGTGCACAATACGTCATAGACACCGACTTGCTATCTCACACCGTCCGCGTCACGCGACCCATTGCCGAAGGCGAGGAAATCACAATCTCATGTATGTCACGCCCTTCTTCCCCATCTCTCTACTTCATTTGCATGCAAAGCTAATACGCTCCGTTAGATACATCCCCCCTCGACGCAACAGAAACCCGCCAACACCACCTCGCCCAAGGCTTCCACTTCACCTGCACCTGCCCCCGCTGTACCTCGCCCATCTCCGACATCACCCTCTCCATCATCAACGACCTGCAGGCCCAACTCAACGACTGGTCCGATTCCTCATTAGGTTCGCCCCAAGTAGCCGAGGAACTACTCATGTTGTACCGCGAAGAAGGGCTGGAAGGGTTCATGGATACGCCGTATGGGTTTGCGGCGCTGGCGTATAGTGCGGTGGGGGATGCGGAGATGGCGGTACGGTATGCGGAGTTGGCGAGGGAGGCGGTGTTGATCAAGGATGGAAAGGGGGCGCGGAGTCTGGGGATTTGGGAGGAGATGTTGAAGGGGGTGAGGGGGCATTGGAGTTGGAGGCGGAGGGTTTGAAAGGGAAAAGGGGTGAATTGAAATATTTATTAGAAATTTCTAAGTCATGTATCTAGCGGGGTGAACGTGGGGGGAATCATGAATTTATGTACAAAACGTCACAGACGTTACGATTATGCTCCTCCTGTAGCCATAATCTTCTTTCCCTTGACGCTCTTCTGCTCCATACCCAGGCTTACGAAGAAGGCAATGCAACTCGTTGCAATGGCCAAGATAAATGCCGTAACAATTGAGTTGTTGTATCCGCGCAATACGCCCGCCAACAGCTCCTTGGGCACTACATTTCTCAAATTTGTCGCTCCCGCATGCGCAACCATCCGTCCATCAAGTCCAGGCGCGTACTTTGGAATCTCCTGCGCGAGCGTATTGACAAAGATGTTTTGCGCAATAGAAATCGACAGCGCACCACCTAGCGAGTTGAAAAACATGACGCACGCATTCGCAGTCGGCATATCCTTTTCGCTCGACACAACTTGCACGGCGACAAACGGGATTTGGACGCCGGCGCCGGCGCCGATACCAGCAAGGATTTGGTAGCCGATCCATTGGCCGGCGGGAGACCCGACTTTGAGCGTGTACAGCATGCCTGCGCCAATGGTGAAGACGGCGCTGCCGAACCACATGAAGGGGGCGTACCAGCCGACGATGGTGATGAGGACGCCAATGACGATAGAAGAGCAGGTGATGCTGACGAGGTAGGCGATTGTGCGGATACCGGATTCTTCAGCCGTAGTGCCTTTGATGGCTTGGAAGTAGAAGGGGAGATAGAAGATGTGTCTAGTTGAAGTTAGTTATTGTTGATTTTCAGAGGGTTGATCAGGGAGACTAACGTATACAAAGCCATTGACAGCAGCGTCGAGTACAAGCTACTGACTAGTACCGTTCTCTGAGTAAAGACGCGCACGGGAAGCGTAGCACGTTCACCCTGTTTGATCTGCAAGAAGATAAAAATGCTAATGAGCAAACCGAATCCGAGCAAGGTACCCCATACTTTGGAGTTGCTCCAAGCGTAGGTAAAACCACCCCATTGTAGTGCTAGCAGCAGACAAACGATAGAACAGATGAGGAAAACCGCACCGGCAATATCAATGTTCTTGAGTCGTTCCTTGACAGGCATATGCGAGTATTTCCGTTCAGGGTTGGAAAAGAAGAAGAATACGACAGCAAGTGAGACACCTCCAAACGGCAAGTTGATCCAGAAGCACCACCTCCAAGAGAGACGATCAGTAAACGCGCCTCCAAGGATAGGTCCAACCACCGAGGCAATACCAAACATGGAAGACAAAGCTGCAATGTAGATGGCTCTCTTCCTTAGGGGTACTGAAAAACCAATAATCGTCATACCACCCGAGTACAGCGCCGCTGCTCCAGCACCCGCAACTGCTCTTCCGACAATAAACATGGGGGAGCTCGTCGCCGCAGCGCAGATGATGGAGCCGACTTCGAAGATAACCAGTGCGCCCAGATATGTGTACTTGACGTCGAAGTAGGTGTAGATTTTGCCAAAAGACGGCTGGAGAGAGGTTGTTGTCAGCAGGTACGAAGAGCCGTACCACCCAACATCCTCGAGACTATTAAAGACGGTTGTGATTTTCGGGATGGCCGTGGTGATGATGGTGTTGTCGAGTGCGATGACGAAGGTGACGAGACATAGGCCGATGGAGAGAATGGCAAGTTTGAAGCCGCTGAGGTATTTGGACTCGTCTTCAACTTCATCTTCAGCTTCGGCGTCTCCTTTTCCAGTAACCTCCAATCCACCTTTTTCCTTTTCTGTCTCAGCGACAGTTGTATTCTCCCGTGTCGCTGTATCTGTGCTCTTTCGCGACTCGCTAGGCTGCGCTTGAGTACCATCGTTGGCGGTTGTCGTTGTGGTCTGTGGAGTATCCTCGGGCTTTGCTGTACTCTCGTCTATACTACCTGGCGCATGCGATCCTTGGTCGCGAAGTGTTGTGGTTGCGCTGGCAGAAGTATCGGTTGGTAGCATCTTGCCTGTATACACAGAACGATGCAGCGTAGATGAGGCAGTCTCGTGGTATTACGTGCTATGTAATTATTGGTAGTGGATATTCAATCATGTATCAAGCCGCGGCACGACCAAATGGACGCTGTCGTGTAATTTACAATCTCGCGAAATGTCTCGCAAAGAGAGAGAGAGAGAGATGTCGATGAGATTGAAGCGAGGCATTACATCAGCCTTAAGAGACTTAAAGAACAGTATGCAACGCTGCTCACGCGCCACAGTTACCATGCAACCACAGGGTGCCATAGCCGTATCCTATACGGTCTGCTCATAGTCAAATGAGCTACTCTAACCGAGCATGCCTTGACTCGGGGCAATGTTATTCCGGCACGGATGACCAATGAGAATCTCGAGGAGCAAATGCGAACGCGACGTTTATCCTTAGCGGCATGACTCTAACACGAAGTAATCTAGGCCATGGGCGTTTGTGGCTTCGTGGTATCCCGGAAGAATTTGCCCTGTGCCGTACTCAGGGGTCTGGCCCTTCTTACGCCATTGAGTCAAGGGAAGAAAGAATATTCGGCTCATGATATGGTTCGACGACAGCTTCTTTGTTTCGACTACATATGGAAAATCACGCGATTAGTCAGGCAGATGGATCGGATCGGCGCTGCTGTGGCAAAAAGGCTTACTACAAGATAGCTGGTAGTTCCATTGATCCTCCGGAGAAAACGTACGACATCTGAAAAACCCTTCAACGCCAATGGATCGCTAATGGAATCTCCATGATAAGGGTGTGGTGGCTCCGCGGCGGTGAGAATCAATTTGTAGCGATGTTGTGCAAATGCACGTGCGGTGCACTGGTGGCGGGGTAATAAAAAGTTTTTTGTTTTGGCTACATAGGCGAGCTTCAAGCTTCATCCTTGATCCTTGGCGCGGCGGGCCGTTTCGCTCCCGAAAGCGTACCATGTGCTCATATGTACTCAATGTAGGACGTGAATAGGCAGCCAAGACATGATCCATTTGCTGCAGAAGAGTAATACAGTACAATTTCGAAGTTTTGTGCATTAAATAACATACATGGACCCAAGTAAACGCAAAGCATAACCAGCCCCAAAGCGGCATAGATTGAATGGCCCCCAATCGGTAGTCATCAAACGCCTTGCTCCAATCAGACCTGATGAATTTTGCCGTACCACTTCAGGCTTATATGCTGTATTACAGCTGCGTTACTGCAGTAGAATTAGTAAGCTCTTGTCGAGTGTGTAGGGAGAAGCGTCTGACCTTGACTGAACACATCTCACAAGATGTCTCCACCTTGACTGTAGCTAGGATTACGCCGTCGTGTCCGCGGTTGCATTTTTGTTGGATCATTTGGCCTTTGGGGCATAGCTGTTGGAACACCATCTGCGTGTGTCCGCATTGGTGGGTGTAGGCGTGGTAGAAGCACATGATGTGTGTTGGTTTCGATTGTTGGAATCCGACTGTGCTACTAGGGAGTGTTGGCTGTAGTGAAGTTGCAGTTTGGTGAATCTGACTTTATAAAGCCGTATGAAAATTGAGTTTCTGCAAAAAATTTAGCTCGAGCGACGCTCGTTTGCCAACGGTGAAAGAGCTCATACTCTTTCCCACTGATGAAGGACGAATTGGAGTCCTATTGGGTGAAAATTGGCGGATTGTCAATTCAGACTAGTTCCTTGGTAGGTGTATGTGAAAGTGAATTGCGATATACAGGTGGCTCTACAGGATGAGAAGCTCAGAGTGTGCGAGATGGCTAGAACGATGGCCGTTGCTGTATTGGATTCTTTGATGCATTTTTTGACCTTTTTATCTCACCAGGTATTTGTCGCATTGGGCACAATTGTCTTTTGTTCCTGATGTAGTGCAGTTTGATGTATGGAACTACCAAACAATCAAGATCCATCGGCCTCACCCGACAGTGCTAAACAATCTGTTCACAAAAACAATAGATGGAAAAATTTCACCTCGGGAAGAGCCGGATTGAGGGTAGATGGCCAATCACCATGAGGTCTACAGGACGAAGTCGCACAGAGTCGTTGGATGTGAAAGCGATGTCTCTTTTGACTCGAATTGTTTCTGCGGGAAGGCGGCTTCATTATGTTGTAAGCGACAGCGGAACATCCGGGTAGATGAGTACAAGCCAACTAGTTGAAGTGCCGTGTTCCACGAACGCATGTTTGTTGGCACTGATGGCTATTCTGAGAGATGGACAAACATACGTCTCAGCCATAATGGCCATTGTTCTCTCAGACTTGTAGCACTGTAGCGGCCAAGACGGAAGTTTGTTGTTTGATTCGCAAGACTAGGCGTTTATTCGCGTATGCTACGATTTTATGGGTCCCGTCTGGCGGTGCGGATGCAACAAGCAAGGGAATGCTTGTGGGATTTTCTTGATCGGGAACCAATGCTAGGGTGTGGTAAGTGCTATCAAGATGGAATCTATAGTAGGTGTCCGAAGGGAATGAGTCGGCTCCCGGCCGCGATCCGTCGGCATTCTCGAGCAGCCAAGAGATTTGGGGTAGGTCCGTCGTGTCTAGCATGTTCCGTGTCATATTTTTCAGAGCATGTACATGTTTTGAGGGGAGGGCGGGGGCGAGGTATCGATAACATTCAGGCTAGTGTTTTCTGAAGCTTTGCATCCAATCAGGGCATGGTCTCACCGCCAATTCGGGTGGAGTCACTGGGGAGAAGAACAAGAAGGCGGTGCCAGTCCTGGTTGGGAGCGCAGATGACGAGACGACAATAGCCTCGTGGCTGTGGATAGCTGCCAGGAGTGGGGAAGAGGGCTGGTGGTGTGGTGGTAGGGAGGGTAGGTAGTAGAGACAAGCGCGGCTCCATGGGCATTTTAGCCTTGTAAGTAACTGAGTAGCTCTCTGCATGGCCAGCTGGGGGACGTGCGGACTGCCTCGGGTCAACTTGTCGGTCGAGTAGAAAAGGACGCCAGGGACATGGAGGCTTCTCAGCGTGGGCATCGTCAGCGTGCATGCAACTAGTCTCCACGGTGGGGTTGCAGAGGACCCATGGGAAGCAGTCAGTGACGATTCTCAGCAGGGCGGCGAGGGTCGCTTGTGGCTGAGTGTCGTCGAGGGCGTGTGTAGAGTAGCCCCAGAACGGGCGGCGTGGCAATGGTGGCCATGCTGGCATAACTACTGCTACTGCTACATGGCAATGGTGCTATTAACAGGATGAGGCGGTGGAACGATGCGCTGGCAAACGGGCGTGGTGGTTCGTCTGAGACGCAGCTGCGGCACAGCCCTGCAGGTGTGTAGAGGTAGCGCAGGACGAGAGCAAAACTGACGTCGGTTGAGGGACAGCTGGCAACGCCTTGGCTGGAGTTGTTACGGGAAATGCAACCTGCAGCCCGGCGTCTATGTACCGACATTGAGACAGGTTAGCGGAGGAGCTGGACGCTTGACACGTAGCCCACCATGGCTCGCCTGTCTGCCCATTGATGCTGGGCCGGCTGCACTGCGTCTCCACGACGCCGGGTGCGTTGAGCGGGTTCATTAATACTAGCAGCCGTTTCCCTCGGGTTCGCCCTGCGATTCTTCTCTTTTTGCAGCCCTTGTCATCCTGGCTGTTCGCTGTCGCCGGCGCTGTCACTGTCGCTGTCGCTGTCGCTGTCGCTGTCGCCGTGTGCGCGCAATTGCTTTGCGCACATTTGCTCGCACTTCTCAACACCAAGCCCTCGACCATCGCAGCATCACCACTACCAAAACAAAAAAATCCCCCTTTCCAGCCCTCGCTCCTCCCCAGTCCCGCGCATCCCGTAACTCTTGTAGCAGTCAGTCATTGAGCGCGCGGCCAGGTCCGCCTGCTCGGCCGCGTGCCAGAGAGCTGCACTGACCGTGGCGGCCACACCGCCTGCCGACGTCACGGCCCTTTAAAGCGGTCGCATAACCGGGCGCGCTGGGCATTGGAAATGCGCTGTCTGAGACATCAGGTCTACTACTTCTGCCAGCATCTCAGCATCTCGATATCGACGCCAGACGTCTGCTAGTCCGCCGCACAGAGGGCCCTGCGTTGCCAGCCCCACTGAGCGCTTCCATTGGCTCGTCCAGCACGCCAACCGCCGAATAAGAAAAGAGCACTGGGCCCGAATCACGACATTCGCTCCGCCTACCCTGATAGAGACATTTCCATTTCAAGTGAGCTTCGCTACGCCATGTGGCAGATTAGCACTCGACTACGTCGCTGACAGTTGTCCCAGACGTCACTCACAGTCTATCTACCCGAGCTTCCTATACACCATTACCATTCCTACCACCACTACCACTACTACTATTACTACTACTACCACTACCACCACCACCACCACCACTACACCCACCTCAACAATTCCCCGCCCGCCTATATCTACGACACACGCCATTGTGCCATGGTCATTACTACATCCACCCTCGTCGCCTAGTCAACAAATCTCCGAGCAGCGCTTCCCACATTGGTGCGTCATCACGGGAATCGACCTTCACTCATACAAGCGACGCGCACGGACGCCCGGTCAGAAGTGGACACTCATCGATTGGCCAGCACTTGTTGCTCTGGTTTCAAGTCTTACTTCGACTCGCCGTCATCATCCCAAGGCATCGTCGGTCTGCCTGGACCGGGCTGCACTGTGTCTATCGTCTAGGAGATACAGCGCGACGGTCCGGGTTGGCTGTTCCGGTAAGTGAGGACGAGGGCAAGGTTTCCACCATCACTCCACCAAGATAGCCCCTGTATACAATACATGCTCCGCATGCCTCCGATTCCTCCTGTCATCAGTGCCTTGCTGCCATCACCACCCCTTTTCGCGGCGTCCCCAGGCTTACGACCTTTGACAGACGACCTTGCTGAAAGATGGCTTCTCTAGACTTTGATCAGAAGTTTCTCGGTCGGATAGCCAAACAGACAGAGGAGTCAAATCCCTTCTTGTCAAGTGCCCTCTACCAGATCTTGGGTCTGTCGGTGCTCCTAGCCCGCAGGCTCATCCGTGCCAGAAAGCTCCGCAAGCTAGACACGAGCCGAGATACTCCCTCACTCTCAGCCTACCAGCATATACTATGGATGTCCCGAGAGGGCCTGTCCATACTCGAGCTATATGTCCTTCCCTATGCTCAGGATAACCAGCATGGACCCGAGTGCAGAGTACTGAGCGTCAAGCTACGAGCAAGCTTCTATCACATCTTCTGCCTCTTCCACAACCAGCCACCCGTCACCGCAACCAACATGGCAAGCACTGATCCTCGCTACCCAGGCGCACCTCAGCCACTCTCACCCAAGAACGGCAATGCTCATGGTCGCACGACAGAATCAGGTCTATCGCCCCCTTCGAAGCGAGCGGGTAAACAACCGGTGCTGCGTGAGCCCGTCGATTCTATCGTGTCTGAGACATCGTTTGTCACGAATCCGTATGCTGCAGGAGGTCCAGTTGGTACTCCCTCGCCAGGACCAACCATCAACGCGCCTCCAGGCCTCAACCCTATTCCTATCCCACAGCCCTCGTCTTTCATCCTTCCACCTCTCAACTTTGTGCCCTTGGCAAGTGGGTACTTTACGACAGCCACACAGTACGCCACTTCCTTTCTACCCGGGTCACATCCTTTGAGATTGTCCGTCGCGCTTGAGCACAGTGCATTCTTGTGGGACTGTCTTCACGACCATGACGGATCCCGACGCGTCGCTCGACGTGCGATTAAGGATGTTTACCGCGCGCAGGAAGCCATGGACGATACCGAGTTTGAGGACGCTGCTGAGCTCGTGGGTATTCTGGGACGAATGATGAAGCGTAAGAGCTGGGAAGGCACACCGCGCGTTGGGGGAATGGCAAGTCCGGAACCTACTGCACAGCCTGCTGCACAAGCAAGCACCTCGGAAACAGCAACTCGAGCTACTGCCTCTTCCACACAACGTCCTCAGCAAAACAATAAAAGGATTGCCGAAGGACCCCCTCTGGCAGACGTCTTGATACCCCCACGATCATCAAGTGCCACGCGTAGCCGAGCAAACACAGCGAGCAAGTCTACTCCACGCCAGAAAGAAAGCAGCAGTCACGAAGGGACACCAAAGCCGAGCTCGCGTCGGCGTTCGGGAAGCAGCAGCAGAGACGGCACTCCCCGCGCAAAACACGTCAGTGTAGAAAGCGGTGCGAGTACAACGCCTCGTGCGCCGCAAGGAAGTTCCATTCGCTCGCCCACGACGCCATCTACAGTTCGGACTTCACATCGAACGTCGGGTAGTGCCGGCTCCTCGAAGGGAACACCGGTGGCAGGGACCTCAACGCCCTTGACCCAAAGTGCAGCTGCAACACTTGTTTCCGAAAACATGCGCAACTCGCCATCGCTCCGCCGCTCGCCCACCCTATACCCACCCGAACAATATGGCCCGCGCTATTCACCCTCGCAAGAGAGCTCATATCCGAGACAACGGAGGTGACTAGTAGAGACGGGTCGGGAAAAGCAAAGAAAGATGGAAGTGCAATGGACCGAGGGCTACCGGGAGGCCGACATTGTGCTTCTGCCATCGACGCAGCCTTCGTCGGTTTCCTCGACACCCGTAAACTTTGCGGGTTCCTCCTCGTACCCAGAGTACCCTATCAAGTTTCGCATTTAACTTTTGCCAGGACGCGCGTGCATGTACCTCCCGGTGAAAGCAAACAAACTTGATCACCTCCATCATCCCCTCCCGTCGCAGATGTACAAAAGAAAAGTCATACCCTCTTGGATTCGTGTTATCCACGATCCAGTTCCGACACATCCATACCTTTGTCGTACCCTTGACACTTTGTCGTCGTTTTGTACCATAACAAACAGGCGTTGATTGGGCGTATATACTTTGTTTTCTCTCTCTCTCTCTCTCTCTCTATTCCTTTTCCTTTTCATCCTCATCCACCTGCGTGTTTGCACTCTTGCATTGTAGGATACAAGGAATCTCGTCCGTCAAGAGTTATAGCTTTTTTTTTCTCTTGTGAAGATAAAAATGGGAAGCAGACTCCGGCTGCAATAATAATGTCTTGTACCTTTTTTTTTACTTTTCCAACCGTTTGCTTTTTTTTCTCTATTCCATTGGCGCTGGAGGAGGACTCGCGCTTGTAGCATTGGATAGGGCGGCCGTAATGATACCATTGTGTTGGTTTGCGCCTGTTTCTTGTAGATTTGAACGTGGAAATCGAAGTAATGCTTTCTCTGTTCAAGATCTAATCATGGACTATCGACTCGAGACTATCTATCAAGGCCCTGTGTGTATAATCGCGACTACTCGTGATAATTTGTGGCGTTTCTGACCCTAACTTTGAGCTTGACCCTGAAGCTACCCTCGCCTTGGCCAAAACCCTAGATCTTACCCAAGCCACAACCCATGTAGTAAAATAACCAGGTATTTTCATCAAGGCGAAGATCTAGATCATATAGAAAAGACACATTACCCCCAATCGACAGAGGCTTAGGACCATCGGCTGGCAAACAATGTTTACGATCACCTTGTTCGAAATATTGCGCCGATTTGCAGACTCGCGGGGTGGTACCTTTTAGATAGCCATTCAAAATACTGGGCGTCACTATAAAGTCTCCGTCGACGGCTATAAGAAATGAGTGATTACTGTATATATTATTTGGGATTTCCTTACAAACGAACTCAGCAGTTATGAATGCTGCTCGATGGTCGATATACACCGGTATATTCTCAGCCCCCCCTCCACGTACACCTTTCTTCTTGAATCGACGCCCATATTGCGCCAGTACTCTCCTTTTTCTGGCATCTCTTCGTGTAATCACGTCTTGACTTGGTGGTGTTTTTGGAACGCATATGGCGTCAAAAATGAAGCGGTCATTTTCCATATTACCAGTGATCATGCAAACATTTTCCTCTGGGCAGGAGCCAGGGATATCGATGAAAAGATCTTCCCCGTCAAATTTGCATATATCGGTGTATGCTCGCTCGTTGATGTTTGCATTGCACATTCGAGAATCCCAGGTACTTCCTTCAGGACAGGGATTTTCTACCGGAACTCGTTTTTCTAGCATTGATAGACCACGCTTTTCTTTCCGCCGCCGGTTATGTACTTCAGCTGCTCATACAGCCTTGTCATGAGCCTTGATCTGGTCGATGTAGTCTTTGGGGATGAGATCTAGGATAGAGATTGCGCCACTATCTAGAATAGGTGTCGCTGAGGCTAACATTACTAAAAGAAAGCTAAGAATAACCTTAGTGTCAAACTGGAGGTAAACCATAGTTTAAGATGAAGTAAGTGTATGCTAGAGATTTCAAAGACTTGTAGTCTGTTCTGGACGAAAACAATCACTTAGGAACGTTGGTCTTAAATATAGGTTTAGCTATAGAATGGATTATATAATAGTCTATGACACATGAGTCTTTTGAGCTATATATAAATAACTCTAAAAATCGTTGAACTATATTGCCTTTCAAACAACACCGCTTGTAAAGGTTAAAGTTAAGACATATGTCAGCGCCTGTGTAGTCTGATAGGTAGAAGAGCCGGCAGTTGTCAGATTCTAGCCTCCTCTGACCCTTTCCGGGCCTCTTCGGGACATATCAGCCCAACCTTCCCTTTTCTATCTACCTTTGACAGGAATAAGCCGTCAGCGGAATACAACCTTTGCGGAATTGGGTGTATTTGAATTTAGCGTTTTATCTAAGCATCCTGTAGGGCATGTGGATGGGTGGTGCCCAGAGCTTAGGGTGCTGTAATACCGCCTAGTCTCACCTATTCGCGGAGAGGTTTTTCTAAAGTACATATATCAGTCCGCTGGTTGAGCAGCCGCTACTTTTGCGGAATGAATTGTCAATGGAATAGACTTTTAAGAGAAATTCACATCAGATAGAGTTAAACTAAGAGTAGGGATACATGTATACTTCCACACCAGATAGAGTTAATATTCTGTACCTAGTTGTGTCTAAGAAATTCCGTTTCCTTTTAAGACTGACTAGCTAATTCCGGAAAAGCCTTGGCGTTGTGGTTGGATAGATATTCGTATTCTATCCTAGTCAGATTTTATGCAAGCTGACGCTACACCGCTCCCGCTCTCCTCTCCTTATCTAGAGACGGGCAGTAAACTGTATTTTGGGCAAAGTGGAGTGGGTAGTGGTAGGAAACATGCGAGCTGGTCAGCATAGCAAAATTTATAAATAGGAGTGGCTATCTCCCAGACTTACAAAGGCAGCACAATTCTTCAACACTACCGAGTCCACTGGGCAACACGTATATTCTCAGCGCATAAACAAGCACTTGTTACCAAAATGAACTCATTCATCGTTTACGCTACGGCTCTCATTCCTATTGTATCAGCGTTATCAGTTGATCTCGCTTTGTCGTCCTGTCCTAATACGACCGCCCTCACTATCAAACAAACAGTCGATGGGACCGCAAGCAATTTTACAGCAATCCCTGCAGAAGATGGGCTCATTTGTAACGTCCAAATAGTTGCAACTTCGCCAGAGACTAGCTTGAATTCTACTGCGTGCTTTATAGTCGCTGTTGGAGACGATACGTTTGACACCCAATCAGTAATTACGCCAGCTGACAGCTACTCTGGGGACCCAGTTGGATGGTTGAGATGTTTGGATACTCTTAACCCAGGAAACGGGGATCTAGAGGACTCAGACTAGGAACCATCCTGCTGCTTAGATCGATAATGATTCTTTAAGATAAAAATTTAAGACGAACAATAGGGCTACCAGTTGCAGTCGATGAGTGGGTGTGCGCGTGGATGCTGTTCTAATTATCTACCTTATGATCAATTCTGTTTGCAATATAACCGTGGAAATCGCATACAGAGAGCACTTCCTTAGATTTAACTGCAATGCATAATCTTTTCACTTCAAATTAGGGATCCCTATCACTTTCTCAACCCTACGAAAGTAGGTTTGCGAGACTCCCGATTTGTGACAAGCATACAAAGCACACTTGCTTTCTAAGAAATGTTTATTTCTTACCAACTATCTATATCTGAAATGACTCTATCTAATAAGTTTCTACATCAGAACCTCCCCGTTACACAACACCACGCCCATCCAATTACCTTGTAAAGCTCACCCGTATTCCCCCACCACCGTTCCCGCTACCTACAGTTTCGCGAGTGGAGAATCTAAATCTTTCCGGCTAGCTCTATTGGTTCCTACTAAGAAAAAGATTTTTACCCCACTTTGGATGCAATTTTTTTCTTGGTGATATAATTTTTCTAATTTTTGCTCACTCCCATCAATTCAACAAAGTTCTTCTTTGGTTCAGCGAGATTTCACACTCTATCTCATCTGAGTTGTTCAGATGGGAACGTGCTCGAGATCCGCGACTTCCTTGTAGGAAGGTAGCAAGGTCGCTTAGCTCAGTTGGTTAGAGCGTGGTGCTAATAGGAACCCTCAAATTCCTGTGATACGCCAAGGTCGCGAGTTCGACCCTCGTAGTGACCATTCTTTTTTTTCTCTCTTTTTTGCTCTTGTAATCACCTACGCCTCGCTACGTTTACTCTCTTTTTGCGCTTGACAATATTTCAGGATCATTTGTATGCTTTTACACATTTACGGTTTTCTACTGGGAGGATACGATACACAAAATTAATTTTTTTAGAATATCCCACAGAATGCGAGAAAGAACAACAGCATCTACATTCACCCCCTTCTCCTCCCCAAACAATACCACAATCCCCTCCACTTCTCCCTTTCCTGTACTCTACCTCCCTCGTCTTCTCCGGTGAAATTCTAAATCGCATATCAGTCTATCTGCTCCAAAGTCTCAAGCAGAGAGTCATACAGTCCTACTCGTAATTCTCTGCTGTTTAACAAGGGCTGGGTGCTGAGACAGAAGAGGTATTGTATTGGTGGGGGGTCTTGTATCGTGGCTAAAGTGGAGGGGTGGACGCGTGTCTATGTATGTATCTTCCTGTTGACCGGCGGAATATTTAGGGTTCTTGGGTTGTTGGCCGGGGAAGGGCGTGTGGGCGCGATGAGAGGGGAATGTGTGAGGTCTTTGGGGTTTCCTTGGGGTCCAGGGGAATGCGACGCGGCGTTTTGGTAGCGGTATTGTGATAATTTTCTTACGGGGTGATTTGAGCGGTCGTTTGGCGGGTTGCTTCTCCTCGTTGATCTTTTTTGTATCCGGTGTCTTGGTCTCTTCACTGGCTTCATCATCTCCTGTAGTTTCCTCTACTTCCACCTTCACTGTCTTGCTGTCTTTACCATACTCCCGTGTACCGTCCATACTGCTCCTCCGCGCCCCTGCGGTTACCGTCCGCATAGGCGGTCTTGCGGCGATATCTTCATATACAAGTTTCTCCTTGAACCAGTAGGGTGTCGCGCTTCCGGTTGCACGCCGCGCCTCAAAGTACTCCCTGTCGTTGGGATAGCAATCGAAACCCATGAGGTAGAGTGTTGGGTTTAGAGGCTTGCGGGAGGCTGGTTGTGTCATGTTCGCAATTAAAAAAGATCGAGCTTTGGTTCAGGGTTGCGATTAGGGTTATAGAATTGGAGATCCGGTTTGTGTGAAGAGTTAGGGGGCACAACAGTTTCTGTATGATTTTAGAGTTTCAGGTATAGCAAGCATCTTCTACAAACTGCGCAGCTGCGGTCAATGTAGAAATTTTGTCAGCACCTGCACTACGCCATGGTACACTGCATCTCATACTGTTGTCGCACGAGTCTTGAGTGTGGGCTTCATGAGTCTAGAGCCGGCCGTACCAAATTAATCCATGATAGGCACAAAGGAAACATACCACATAAGCAGGCCCAGTCGTTGTATCGATGTGATTGATATAGCAACATTACGTGCCGTGAAACCAAAGCTCTACGGCAATTATCAGAAAACACATCCCGGAACAATGGAGAATGACAAGCAAATAAGTACAGTTTATGCCAATTTCCCTGGCACAAAAGGCAGACCCCCACTCAAGCCACCATCCACAGCCCAAGCCTGCGCATTGACATAGCTTGCTTCATCGCTTGCTAGGAACAATACAGCCCGCGCAATCTCATCCGGCTGTCCTCCTCTCCGCAACGGGTTCAGCTGCCCAATCTTCTTCTCGCTTCCCCTCTTCCTCGCTGCGTCGTACGTGACCCTGGTCATACCCGTTTCAATAAGCCCAGGGCAGACGGCGTTGCAGCGGATACCCGATCCGGTGAGTTGGTAGGCGCAGGTCTGCATCAGGCTGATGACTGCAGCCTTGGAGGCGGCATAGTCGGTGGGGCCGGCATTCGAGCGCAGACCTGCTACGCTTGCAGTGGCGATGATGCTGCCGCTGGGGTACGGTTTTTGGTCCGAGGTCTTGAGCATTGCGCGGGAGGCGTATTTGGCTGCCAAGAAGACGGACAGAGCGTTTGTGCGCATCATGTTCATAAAGCCCTCGGTGGTTTCCTCCCAGAATACTCTACCAGAAGCTATTCCTGCATTGGCGAAGAAGACGTCAAGACGGCCATAGGCATCCAATGCATCTTGACAGACCTTTTTGACTGCAGCCTCGTCTGCGGCGTCGAACTGGCGAATATGAACATCTGTTGAGGGGTACAGCGTGTTGAGTTGGCGCTTGTGCTTCTCGAGATGAGAGTCTGAAAAGTCGCAAATGTAGATTGCGCGGGCGCCATTGCGTGCAAATTGATGCGCACTGGCGCGGCCGATACCGATTTCAGAATTCGCACCTGGAGTAGTGTTAGACGTGATACTCAGTTGCGATGATGGTTGCGCGTACCAGTGACGATAATGACCTTGCCTTTGACCCGTCTACAGTGAAAGTCAGTCCAGCTCAGATGCTTACTATAGTACGCCTCCTCTCATACTCACTGGTCTGCCAAGTCGCCAGCTACACTTCTGATGCCACGCATATCCTCAAACGACCCGGTCTCGGGTATGGGCTCGGAGAGCTCCTTGCTCACACCCTCCTGCTTGACTTTTGCTATAGAATCAGGCATCGTGTATGTAATCAGAAAAAGACGGGGAAGCTATTTGGACAGGGCAGCAAGGGTCGTGGGTGTTCAGGGTCGCAAACTCAGAGCTGTAGGGATGGTGACGAGGTTGTGGAGTTGGACGCGGAGTTAGAGAAATCCGGGGAAGATGCCGAGGTACCTAGGCAATACGAGCATGGTTTCGGGATACGCGACCTTATCGGTTGTCGAGAGGCGCATGGTGCCGCTCGCCAACGCTTGGTAGTAACTTCATCGAGCACAGTCGGAAGTACATTCAGTTCCAACGCATAGCATTTGCTTACATGACTCGGTCCGAATACTACTACTACAACAACTATGATTGCCTGAGCAACACCATATTGTCCTATATGCATGCTGCTACTATTACAAAACAAGTGTGCTCTACTCGCCATTTCCGTTTGCGCTCTCCTCGCTTTCTTTGCTTGCAGCCTGCGCAGCCTTTGCCATCTTCCATTTCTGTGCATTGGCCAGGAGTTTTGCCAAATTTGCTGCGCTCTCATCATCCGCAGGGAATACATAGTCCACATACTCCTCAAAGCTGTCGTCATCCAGCTTTCTCCTCTTCTTGACCTTGCGTGGCATTTGTTTCTCAATCTTCTCCTTGTCCTCTGGACTACCGTGGACATCTTCAAATGACTTCCAGGCGGTAAGCAGAGCCACACGATCCTCTTTGAGATCGCGCTCCTTGAGGCGTGTGTGCGCACGCTTGAAGATTTCACGGGCACGAACCTTGGCGGTGTCGCTGATGGTTTCATCATCCTCGGGCGCCGACTCGTCGGGAACCCCTAGTTCGAATTGTGCCCATGAAGTCCATACCTTGACATGGTCTGTCTTTTGCAGAAGACGCTCGTATAGCGCGCGTGTGCGATCATACTCACCCTCGCCTTCTTCAAAGTCAATGTAGGCTTTCCAGAGAAGCTCAGGCATGTCTAGTTGTTGCTCCTCAACAGCAAGCTCAAAGATAGCTCGCGCACGATCCAGGTCGTCCAGACCTCGTTCTAATTCAGCGAACTTGATCCAGGTCTGGCAGTTCGATCCGTTCCACTCAATATACTTGGTGTAGAGCTGCCGGCAGCGGTTGAATTCAAAAAGCTTCATTTCGAGCTCAATGTATCCTTTGAAGAGCTTGTCTTTCGGACACATGCCCAAGCTTTGACCCAGGAGCTTGCGTGCAGTGGTAAGCTGGCCTTGTCTTACCTCAAAATGAGCAAACATTAGCCAGACCTTTGCAAAGGTGAAGCGCTTGTGTGGGAGTAAGCGGATGCACTCCTGGTATATTTGGCGTGTTCGTTCAATGTCCTGTGAAACAGCCTCTTCGTAGACGGCGTAGAACAGCCAGAGGTAGATGTATCTTCTCCAGTGTCGCTTTTCTTGTGTCGGTGGTATTTGTGCAATTGCTCGCTCGTAAATGTCCCGAACTCGATCCTGGTTGCCAGACGTCTCTTCCAGCCGTGCAAAATCGATCCATGCGTCATAGTTCTTGGGGTTCTCCTTGATCTGTTCTTCGTAATGTACCCGTCGCTTCGACAGAACAACATCCTCAATGCCGTCTCGATCCCCGTATTGCTTCTCGAAAGTTGTAAAAGCCTTGTGTAGGTTGACTGATTTCGACCGGGGCATGCGGTCAAGGGCAAACTTGTAGATGGCTCTGGCTCGTTCCAGTTCCTTCAACCTCGCTTCGAACTTGGCGTATGCCATGAAGAGCTTTTCGTCCATGAACTCATCGCCGAGCGTGGTGACAGCGGTACCGTAGACGTCGCGCACGAGGTCGCTCGTACCATGTTCCTCCTCGAACTTGGCCCATTTGACCCACTGCACACACAATGTTAATTGTTGAATCATAGCTTTTGAAGGGTAGACTTGCATTCTTTGGTTCTGGATGGACTACAGTAAACCTTTCAAAGATGGCACGGCACCTCTCAAACTCACCGTGCCTCTTTTCCAGCTTAATGTACGAACTCCAGGCCGCCTCATCCGGTTCCCACTGCATCCAGCGTTCAAAGACCGACCGAGCACCATCAATGTTGCCAAGGGTCTCCTCCATATAGACGTACTTGTACCATATCTTGTCGACTCGTGGGAGGATGGTGACGGCACGGTCGAGGAGGTTGCGCGCATGCTGAATGTTTCGATGCTTCATTTCAGAGTCGATATAGCGAAGCCATAGCGCGACAGACGTCGAGTCAACATCGAGGGCTCGTTCGAAGATGGATCGCGCGCGCCTGAACTCCTTCTGTTCCAGCTCCCAGGCAGCATAGCGCATCCAGTTGTTCATGTTGATACGATTCCGGCGCACATAGTCCTCAAACTCTTTTCTTTTCCTGCCCTGGAATTCATGCAGCTCCTCCATATCAGCAAATCGCTGCGTAGGCGCTTTGAGCTTCTCATCCTGACGGTCGACGGCTTCGCGCAGAAGCTGTTCTGCAGAAATCTGGATGGGAGCGGCGGCCTTGTTCTTGACCCGTGGCGGTCCTCGTGAAGCCTCCATGATGAAGGATGGGATATGATGTGTTCGTATGTATTACAATGATTCGATGGGACTGAGGAGGTGGTGGGGGGGAAGACGCCGCGCGCGTCGTATACGGATGCGAAAGTGGTTGCGACTGGGGAAGGTTGGGTGAGAAAGTTGGAGACGCTCGGATCAGATGGCCAGCAATCCAGCGTGGAAACGCGCACAGTATTACCACGACTCAAAGGCTGAGCGTCAGCGACCGGAGTAGTGTGTATGAAAAGCGGTGTTGTACGGCGATTGGCCCTTCTGTCAGGCCTTGTAAAAGTTAAGAACGCGACTGCTTCGCGCAACTTTTGGCCGCGCTGCGCCAAGCAACTAGCATCCTCAGTTTCACGTCACTGCCTTCGCAATTCCTCCATCACCCACGACACTTCACTGTGCCTTGCCCACACTCAACTCGACCAGCGGCCAATAAAAGGCGACAGGTACGTATAATACTGCGCGCTGCCGAATCCAGCACTCAACCAAACTTTACTAGGAGGGTAACCTCCGGCCGCCGTCGCGACTGCCTCCATCTTGCGCCCGTTCTTCTCCAATCTCGACCACTGAGCCCTCTACATCACATCAAGCACCATGGCTACTCTGGAACAAGAACTTCTGGCCGACTTCGCCGACAGCGGAGACGAGGACATTCAGGACTTGGAGAATGACTTTGCTGAAGGAGACAACGGATCGGATGATGACATGGTAGATGAGGAGGCGGAGTACAGGGCCAAGGACAAAAAGGACAACAAGGGACCTGCAGACATACGATCGGCCCAGCAACTCAAAGCAAACCTGGAATCGGTGCTTGCACGTATCGAGGAAACCAAGGATCAGATGGACGTGGTGGATGGCGAATCTTTTGAAGACTCGCCGGAATACAAGCTCCTTACCGAAGCCAACGAGTTCTCTACGCAGATTGATGGCGAAATCTCTGCCGTACACAAGTTTATCAGAGATCACTATTCGGCCTTCTTCCCGCATTTGGAGGACCTGATCAAAAATCCCGTCGTCTACGCGAGAGCATGTTTGGTCATTGGTGGCGGGCCTTTGAAGGATATCAAGACCATTACGCCACAACTAAAGGCAATCGAGGGACTCGAGCCTGCCCAGGTCATGATTGTCGAGATCGAAGCCACACGAGTCGAAGGAAGACTTCTTGACGAGGCCGAGCTAAACTTGATAAGAAATGCCTGCCATCTGCTGCTTGAGTTGAACGCCGCAAAGTCCAAGATTTTGGGCTTCGTCGAATCCCGAACTGAAGTGTTTTGCCCCAACCTGACAGCGCTTATTGGATCCTTGACAGCCGCACATCTCATTTCCTACTCTGGAGGTATCTCTAATCTAGCCAAGACTCCCGCCTGCAACATTGCACCTTTGGGTTCTACCAAAGTGTCAGGCGCCACTGTGGGTCTTTCCAACATTGGTTTGAGACACGAAGGTTACCTCTATCACAGTGAGATTATCCAGAACCAAAGGCCCGATCTTCGAAAACAGGCACTGCGCATCGTGTCGGCCAAGGTGATACTGGCTGCGCGCGTAGACGCCCACTCGAGCTCGCGCAACGCACACATTGGCATGGATCTAAGGAGAGAATGCGAACGCCGGCTGGACAAGCTGACGGAGCTGCCTGCAAACCAAAAGGGTCAGAGAGCGCTTCCTGTGCCGGACGAAAAGCCGTCACGCAAGCGCGGTGGAAGACGAGCGCGAAAGGCCAAGGAAGCAACTGCCATGACGGAAATCCGCAAAGCACAGAACAGGATGACGTTTGGTAAAGAAGAGAAGGAGGTGGGCTATGGAGACTCGGTCAAGGGCATGGGCATGATTGGAGCCACGGACACGGGACGCCTGCGAGCCCAGCAAATCGACCCCAAGACGCGGGCCAAACTCAGCAAGAAGAACGCTGGCTGGGGCGGTGACACGACACTGGGCATGGCATCGTCGCTCAAGGGCTTTGGGGCCGGTGGCACAGCAACGAGTCTGCGGGCGCAGGGGCTGCGGACTGGCGGCGTGGGCCTGAGTGGCGCGGGAACAAGCTCGATTGCATTTACCCCCGTGCAAGGACTGGAGCTTGTGGACCCCAAGGCACGCGAGGAGATGCAGCGCAAAAGGAAGGCAGATGATGACCGGTGGTTTAAAGGTGGATCGTTTACGCAGCTTAATGCCAGCTCAAAGGTGGATGCTGGGGGGTTCAAGGTGCCTGCGCTACCGAATAAGAAGCCAAAGGCTGAGTGAGTGATTGATGGGCTGGCTGTTAGTATATGTATCTCATTGTCATTTTTTTGGCATTTCAGCAGGATAATATGTGCATTATGAGGCGTTTTTTTGTTGTATCTTTTTCCTCCTTTTACTTTCTTAAAAAACGAGAGCGAGAGAGAAATAGGGAGTGAAACCTTTTTTTGTCCATGTTGGAATTTAGGGATGGACAAAAAGAATCAAGAAGATTTGAAGTTTTTGTTTCTTCATCAACAGCAGTCAAAAACCCTAGCTTGTTGTTTCTTCGCGGAGTTTCGCACTTTGACGACTTAGATGCGTGTGGCGTTGCTTGATATTTAGAGATGCGGGTTTGCAATCGTAGCATTTTATGACGAAAGAGAGAGTGAAAGAGAGAGAGTGAGGGAGAAGAGACGTACGTGGGACGGAGAAAGGCATGTTGTTCGCAAAATGTTGTTGCGTTAAACCTGTCGTGAATGCTAGCTAGCCTACGCTTTATTTTCGGATATTTTTGTTTCTCTAAAGGTTATCATCATAGTAACGCGTCGCTCGCTTCATACTCGGTTATCAAGCTTTAGTAAAAAAAAATAGGTCCAGTCCAGCCCGTTCGCGAGGCCCGTAGCGTGAACAGGTCCAGGGTCTTTTTTTTGTGATGCAGGTAGGCAGGCGAGGCAGAAAGTGGTGCGGGATACAGGCTTGCGCAGCAGAAAACCAAAACAGGAAAGCGGGTAATAAAGCATGTAGGTAGTGTGGATGCAGTGATTCGATGCAGAGTTTATTAGCGGAAAAAAAATAGGAGGATAGAGTTTTTTTAGTTGTGATTATTGTTATGATTATTATTTTCTTTTCTTTTTGCTTTGTTGCCATTTGCGCAGAGACAAAAGGCGGTGGTGGGATGCATGAGAATAACCAGCGGCCTGGAGCCGAGATGGGTTTTCTTGGGAGCTGAGTCGTTCATCAGCAGTTCATTGCGACCCAAGGCTTTGCCCGAGCGCACGGGGCGGAAGGATGATGCGCAAAGCTCGCGCTCGGTTGGCGCACAACTTTGTTCGAGAAACGTTCGATGCTTTTGGGCAGGTACTAGGGGTATCCCTGACCTCGCTTTGGCTATAATGCGATAAACGAGATCTTGTTAGTAATTGTCTCAATTGCCTGTCGTTCGTGTCACAGCACTCTTGCTTTGTGACAGCTACGACGGCCTGCCTAATCTACGAAAGCGTTTTGCGCGGCTGTTGTCAGATAGGGGGCCAGAGAGGCAGAGATGAGGGAGGGAGTGGGGGAGGGGCTGCGATCCTTTCTCTCTCTCTCCCTGTGGTTGCACCGGACCTTGGACACAATTACGGCAGCCGTTTGCGCGCGCGCATGGTCAGCCCTAAGGGACAGGCAGGGTCTTTTTGCTGTGCACCGCAACATGTTGCGGTGCTACCAAAGAGCCAAAAAGCAGCGCCTTGATTGCTGCTGGGGGTGGCTGGGCGAGGTGTCCAGTAGACATTTTGACACGTATTGATGATGTCTGGGTGGCAGGACCAGGAGGTTCCAGTTGATGCAGCAGCTACAGGTTGGTCACACAGTCTGGCGTCGGGCCACGACTCAGCCGCTAGGAGTGGTGATTTTACCCGCCGATAGTCCGTAGGATAGCACCGACTGTCTTCTGACACAGCGTCACGGCAGGCTGGTAGGCTGGCAGGTTGGCAGCGGGGGCTATGAGACGTTGCGGATAAATGTGTCGAGAGATTGACCATTGAAGCAACGGAGGGTCTGTCAGCACCCTCTTTACGGATGATGATGACGGGGCGCCACTGAGAAGGGAAAGCGGGCCGGCCATGCAGTGGACCAGTGCGAGGCGGCGGCGGCCAATAGGGTGGCCGGGGCAGCCAGCCAGCGCACCACTTGTCACGACGGGTGGCTACGTCATGTCTCGGGAGTCAGTCGCATGGGCACGACGAAGGGGGGGGGGTTCCCATCGAAACAAATGCGGGTAGGGTAGAGCAAGGAAAGTGAGTTAAGTTGAATCGAGCAATGGTGACGGTCGGCTAGCTGTGGCCCTAAAGCATGTACTGTGTAGGGTGTGAGCAAGGGCAGCATGGTGCAACGGGTTGCAATCATGGCGCATGAGCAAGCCACAATGGGCAGGCAGGCAGGCAGGCAGGCAGGCATCTTGTCGTAGTCTAAAAGTGGGAGGAATGGGATAGAATAGAATAGAGTGACATGTATGTATGTATGTAAGTAAGTATGGACAAGAGGCGGGACGGAAGCGAGTGTGGCAGAGGACAGGGGCGTGTGAATGGATAGGGAAATGGGCAATCAGGCTCAATGGCCCAATTTGCCCATGCAGTGGAAAGTGGATGCAGAGACAGCGCCAGGCCACGACACACACACGACCCAAAGGGCCCAAAGCACCCAAAGCACCCAAGGGCGGCGGCAGCGAGGCGGGCGGCAGCCGGTGGGACTTTTCGGGACAGCGCACGTGACCCGCACGGAAGCAGGCTAGCGCACCTGGCAGCATTATTTTATTTTTTTTGCGAGAGCGGTGTCGAGGTTGCTCTGCTCCACCTGCTGCTGCTGCTTTTCATTCGGCGGCCAGGAGCCCAGTAACCCAGTCGACTTTATTTCCCGGGTCCTGGCGCGGCATTTGCATTCCTACAGCCCCAACACCAGCCAATTACAACCCTGTGCTGCTTTGTGTGTGTGTGTGTGTGTGGATGCACACCTACACCTACTTGGACTGACTGGAGAGGACACGAGCATTACTCGCACTCGACTCGCCGCCGCCGCCGCCGCCGCGTCCCCCGACAGTGCTGCCCTGGACGCTCCTCGCTCAGCCAGTACTGTACAGCCAAACCTAGCAGCCCTTTCACGCCAGGCGAGGCGTTAGTACCGCCTGTAACCCTGCTCGCTACCTTCCGCTCAAGCGAGCCCTCGCTTCGCCTGTAAGTCCCAAGACGTCCCCCCCGTTCCCTCGCCCATCCGCTCCCACTCCCAAGCCGCTGTGCCCTGCCACACGCGCCGCCGCCCTCAGTTACCTTCTAAAGCCGGCTAGCTGCCCCTTCGCCGCCCTCCGAGCCTTCTCGGCCAAGCTGCTGGGAGCCGTCGCCGTCGCCAGAGCTGTCCGGACCTGTCGTCGTTGTCGCCGCCGCCGAAGCCGTCGCCAGAGCTTTGGCTGTCGTCTCTGTCGCTTTGGCTGTCGTCGCCGTCATCGTCCCTCTCTGTCGGCGCGCAGCCCCTCGCTCCGCCGGCCGCCTCTTGACCGAGGGTTGTGCCTAGTCTACGCATACTATCATTCCCTGGCCCACCTTGCCTGCTGCACACTGCACACTGCGCACTGCACACTGCACCACCCCCCCCTCCCCTCACCCCCCTAGTCGCCTCTAGCCGGCTCTTGCTGGCTGCCTGCAAAGTCACTCGCCAACGCGTTAATCTATGCCGCAGTCGTCCTGTCCCTCAATCCTGTCCGTCGTCCCAGCGCGCAGTCTGCCAGTGCGCCAGCCCGCAGCCCTCGAACCGAGCGGCCAGGCCCCTGCCAGCGGGCCAAAACGCCCTCGCCAACTCAGCTAATCCCAGTTCCTTGCCTGGCTTGCCGTCCCTCTTCCATCTGCGTTTGCCTCAAGCTTTCTAGCGCCTGCGTGCCCTCAAACTCAACCGCCGACGTGAGTTGTGTGCTCGTGTCTGTCTGTTGTTGCGCCCAGGCGGCCTTGTCCTCTGCTAGCCCATGTCGCACGACTTTTCATCCCAGATCAACTCAACGCCATATTCGCCCGCGTCATCGCACTTTTCCCACCAAAGCATGGCCGATCCCAATGTGCAGCAGCAGTCGCGACAGCAGACCGTCGCCTATCCCTCACCGCACTCATACCCGTCGCCATCGATGCAGCCCACGTACACCTACCCGCCGCCTCAGGGCCAGCAAACCACCGACGCCTATCGTGGTTCTCCTCAAAGCTCAAACATGTCGTTGCCGCCCCTCAACCTGCCGCCAATCCGTCTGCAGGACGGCCAGCAACCGCAGGCGCAACCTCAACCAGCCCAGCAGCAGCAGCCGCCGCCCATGGGCTCGCCACTCCCACCACCACCACACGGTATGCCGCAGTACTATCCGCACCCAGCTCATGCGCAGCCCGGACAGCCCATGATGGGCAACATGGGCCCGCAATTCAATGCCATGCGATACCAGCTACCGCCCCAAGGCGACCAGCGAGTGCTCTCGGGAGGTCGCCACAAGAAGGAGATCAAGCGCCGAACAAAGACTGGTTGTCTGACCTGTCGCAAACGAAGAATCAAGGTAAGTGAGAACAGACGTCAATGGTACGCGATAGTCGACGCGACGCGAGGTCAGAAGAGGAGCTATTGCCATGTCGCTTGCTTAACCGAGCGAGAAACCCAAACTGCTCTAACCCGGCCCTCGCGCGTCGTAAAGCGAGAACCGCCGTGGTCTGCAGCAAACCATTGCAAACGTAGCGCGCACACTGCTCGGTTGCTGCAGTTTTGTGCGTAGTTTGCGGTGCGGGACTTGTTTTGCGCCTTGTTGCGACAATTTTTTTTTCGTGTTCCTCCCCCTACCGCCCGCCTGCCAACATCAACTTTTAACCCGCACATGTGCTAATCAAGACGTCGGATAGTGCGACGAAGCGCATCCCATGTGTAGGAATTGCCAAAAGAGTAAGCGCGAGTGTCTTGGCTACGACCCCATATTCAAGCAGCAATCTGGCCCGGCTCAGATACAACCTGCCCCCAACGCTGCGCCTGCCTCGCAAGCACCAAACGCACCCCCCGCGCCTGCACCGCCAGCTTCAGCGTACAGCCAGAGCCCCGTGCCCCAAGGCTATGCGCCTGCCTCTTCGGCCGGCTACGCAAGCGCTGCTCCTGCGACGAGCGGGGAACACCAGCCAGCCAGCTTCCACGCCATAGACCCTGCGCTTGCCCAGGCAGACCCTGCCCTGCAGTCGACCCAGCACTACAACGCCGGTCACGCTATGGATCCTGCCATGAGGGGTCCTCCTGGCCCCAACGCCTACCCGCCTCCCCCAGAGCCGCTCAAAGGTTGGTGCCCACTCCCTCCCTATTTCCTCTCATGCTCATGGAACCTCGCACTGACACACAGCTCAAGGCAAGCGCCTGCACATCACCGACATCTTTGGCATATGTAACCACAGCCCTCCAGAGGTCCCTCCTCGCACCTCGCCTGTGCCGCGTGAAATTGACGACGAGTTCAGTCGCATCTTCATCAATGACTACTGCCAGGGACTGGACCTTGTTCTCGAGACCACATGGTTCTCTACGGAAAACAATGCGCTCAACAGAGTCTTCAGTGACCGCTCGCTGCATGAAGAGGCCGCTTACTTTACCGAGACCATCAAGTACAAGGCATCTGACACAGACATGACTGGCGTCTTTAGTCAGGAAGCCCGTCTGCTCTGGCACCTGCTTGGTACTTGTAAGCACAACCCGCCAGCAACCAATGGCGCAACCTCGGAAACCGAAGACTTCTCATTACGAGAAGCCCGCGCCCGCTTCGACGTTCTCGAGGCTCTTTTGACCAACCAGAACCTTGCACCCAATCCTCTGCGCGAACTCACTTACCCTGCCAATCTCGATGAAGAAACCAGGATGCAAGTGGATTTCTGGATGCATTTGGGTGACTTTGTGCAATACTCAGACTCGGACACTGCGCCTCCCGGAGCTGCCGATAACGCTCTTGCTGTCATACGTAGTGTGTTGCGCATGCACGAAGTCCGAGATGCAATCTACTCGATTGCCATTGCGCGTCACTATGGCAGCCGAATTGGTGGTTTCCCCAACGCCTTACCAGCCCCTGTGAACCAAGCTCCAGAGAGCGACTTGAATAAGCTTCTTGTTGCCATGTCGTTTATTAGTCATGAGAGTCGTGCAGCAAGTCAGCAAGTTCTTGCACGCATTTGCGACATGGCCATGTTTTCATGGACTGCTTCACGAATGCCCTCGGGTCATCAGCCGGGAGGCTTTCCACAATGACGACCATCTGATGTAGTCTGAAAGTGACGAGGCATATTCCAAAAAATACAAAGGCTCTCTCGGCCCGTACTTTTTGTACCACCAACTGGAGAATTTGGGTTTTCATTTTTTTCTGCATTTTGGAAGCGGGCGTTGCTTTCCTCTCCCCATGCTTACCCAGCATGACTTGCTATCGTTTATGATTACACTTTTCAACTTTCAATACAGTGCGCCTTCTTTTACGTACATCCGCTTTTTTTTTCTCTCTCTTTGCATCGACCCTGCGTACGGAGCTGGTGGATTCTACAGCATTTTGGGGCAGGCATTCACAAGATATACCCGGTTCAGCTCGATCGTGTCCTGTTTCTCTTTCTCTTCTCCCCGGCGTCTCCCCAAATGTGGGGGGATCAATTGCCACTAATCCGTTTTTTTTTCTGCTTGCTTGCTTGATGAAGGAGTGTTTTTTAGAACACCACTTACGACATGAATGAAGGGTGTCGTAATTGAAGTTATTTGATGTGGAGATTCAAGACGTACATCGTATTACCAATTTACCAAGTTTGTTTTCCGGAGAAGTCAGAACATGGCGTGATTTGTTGATGCGACTTTTCTGTAAAGTTTCGGTACTCTCACCATGGAGAGAGCTAATTAGAGTTGGGCTGGGCTGAGCTGAGCTGAGCTGACTTTTGTACTCGATCGATTCTGGCGATAGAATAACATGTAACCAATCGTCTCGTCTAGACGGTGAGCCATTAGAAGCAATAAGAAATCTCAAGAGCAAATCATCACGATCCAGATTCACTTACACGTCCTCTCTTTCTCACACACACACACACATCCCGACAAAGGCACCAAGACGCAAGAAAGAAAACAAGAAAGAAAGAAAAAAAAGGTAACATCGGCATCCCTTCCGACTGGCCAGCACATACAAGCCAGCCAAAAACTCTATTCATGAATACACCACATATGGTCCCACCCTCTCTCTCTCTCTCATGTGCCTCGAACCATTTTTCAGCCTACCGAATCCCGACTGGATAATCAAATCAAATCGAATCCAACGCCAAAGTGGCAAAAACAACATTGTAGTACCATAGGCTCATGTGGTGCAACGCTGAACAAAGAGAGAAGAAGAAAAAAAAAAAAGGAGGGCGGGGAGGGGGCGCAGATGTATACGTGTGTGATACAGAGTTTGTTGTACAATGAAGGGTATGGGTCTTGTTTTTTTTTCTCTGGGTAGGGATACAGAGACACAAGGGGATAACCGGTGAGGTGGATATTCTCCGAGTGGGCTGTGGGATGGTGGGACAGTGGGACGGTGGGACGGTGGTACTGGGTGGGGTTGGGAAGGGGATTGTGTTACGTGAGGAGTGGTTGGTTGAGCTAGAGAGGGGAGAGAAAGGGGAGGTGAAGTAATGGAAGAGTTCTTGTAGTTGAGTAAAGAGGGAATTGGATGGGTAGGTTACATGTATGATAGATTAAGAAAGTAGCCGAAAAGGCCATAGTAATAATAATCCTCATCATCATCACCGTTTACACCCACTACTTTTCAATCCAGTAAAAGGGAAAAAAAAAGAAGATGTCTGAGAGCGTGGAAGAAAGATGCTCGTTCAATCCATGATTCATCTCACCACTGCTCCCCATCCCCCCAAACCCGATGCAAAATCACCCTCGCAAACTTACTCTCCCCAGGACTCTTCGTACACCACGCCACGCGGTTCCCCCTCCGCGAGTCCCTCCAACCCCCCGCATCCCCCACAACCTCCTCACTCAAATCCGTCATCCCCTCCGTAATCGTGCGGCCCCTCCGATCCACAACTGTGCAACCACGTGTCCACTGCCCACTCGTCTCAACACGCACATCTTCCTCTTTGAATTTCCACAAGGGATTCGAGGCAGAGAGCGCGTACCAGATCGTTAGTGGATCGTGGAGCTGGAGGCTTTGTTTTGCGTCGTCTTGGTGTTGCGGGTTTAGCGAGGCATTCTTTGCAAAGGTCGGGGAGAGGAAGAGGTGCGTCCATTCGGATAGGGGGCTTCCCTTTGTGCCCTCGCGTGAGATGTAGTCTTCGTATATGGATTTGGGGAGGAGATGCTGTTCTGTTGTGTCAAGGGGGAAGAGCTTGATTGTTAGTCGCTTGCTTAGTTGAGCGGGGTAAGGGGCCAATTTGGCTTGTTTTTGCGTGCTGGAAAGCGTGGGTGGCATCGTCAGGTGAGGGTTTTGCGATGTGAGGGCGAAGACGCGCGCACTGGCTACTGAGTCGGCGTAGGTGTTGAATTCCGCACCGGGTGTCATCTGGTTTCGTAGGTTTAGCGAGAGGCGCAAGGGAGTGTTTGGTTGCTTGATCAGATTAAAGGGAGGGACTGGGATCGACAATGTGGCAGGAGAATAGATGAGGTGTAGAGGAGGCGGCGATCGCTACTTAGAGCTTCAGAGCCATTACGAGGGGGTGGGGGAAACGGCAAAAGAAGATGGAATCTTACATTTCCAGGTGCATCGATAGCACCACCCATAACAACAACTTCCTTGACCCTGAGAAACGCCTCTGGATCCTCTGCTGCAGCAACAGCAAGGTTTGTTAACGGACCCATAGCTACTATGGTAACCGTATCTGGTTCATTCTCCCTAAGCAAGTCCAGCATAACCTTATGTGCAGGCTTAAGCGATGGCGTAAAAAGAGAATGCTGATCCTTGACTTTTTGAAGCTCTGCTGCTTCCTCTGGTGAAAGGTTCTCTGGCGTAGGTTTGAAAAGCGTCTTCCATGTCTCGGCCGGTGAGAGATGTGGGTGCTAAACGTCCGTTAATATTCAATCAACCACCGTGAATTTGGAAGAATAGAGAAACTTGCACTGTGGTGAATTCCTCCAAGCCCATCAATCCCATCTGCACGGCTTAGTTAGCTGCCGATATCTCCACATTGCTGGATACTTCAAAAAAAACACCTACGAAAGAAATCCGCAACCATCATATGCTCAGCCAACGGCTCTTCAGCACCAACAGCAACTATTCCAAAAAGTCAGCACTTACTAACCCCCCGTCCGTCTCACTCATCAACAAACCCACCAATAGGTTTCCTCGCATTCAGCGTCTCAAACCCCTCTGGCCGACCATGTTCCTTACGCCACGCCCTCTCCTTCTCAATCTGTTGGAAAAGCGTGACCACATTCCTCAAGCAACTAGCAATTTTCTAATCAGCACCCGTATTTCTCTCGCCTACTCGACCCCACATGCAAAGAATCAGCATTTGTCGATATAAACTTACTTTTGCACCTCAACATTTCCAAATGTCAAGCTGAGCATCAGAACATCGAGTTCCTCAGCCTTTGCCGAAAACGCGAGAAGCATCGCCAGAACATCGTCGACGCCCTATCACCAGTCTCTGTTAGTAGACGTTACTTTTTGTCCAACAATAACCTTTTTCTTTACCCCGCATTAACTAGGGAACACACCCCTTCCCCAGGTCGCAAAACTTACGGGGTCGGTATCGATAATAATCTTGTTAGGCGCCATTGTTTAGGTTTAGATTGTTTTCTTGTTCCAATGAGAGAAAAGAGAGAGGAAAAGATTGAAGTGCAATTGAGCAATGTGTTCGCCGCAGATAACCAACTTCCCCCGGATATACATAGACGTTGATTAGATAAACTAGTGGGCCGTTCTTCCCCCCTCCAAACTATGCAAGGCAAGTGCCTAACAAAACAGCGGAGTTCACCGACACCCCGACACGGGACCACTCGACTCCACTGTGGGTCCGCTGATGTTTTGGCTTCAGGGGTGCAGCATCAAAGTTAAGAGTCTAGAAGCTCAATCAAAACATCATAAACGTGTATGCATTTGTAAATTTCTAAACAAATATATCCCTTAACAGGGTGTGCGATCAACCCAATCGCAAGTAGAAACGCCGAGCACTACTCCTGGTGTACATATTTTCCGTGTCACAAAAGTTTTGCTGGGCCGGAATTTGCACCTCTGAACTTGTCCCTTTTCTCCAAATGGTTCATCTTGGCAGCTCCTCCTCCTAGCTGCTCCGCCTGCATTGAAGTACCCAATCGCCATGATTCTTCGTCATCGGATGTAACCAGTGTCCGCTGTCCAGCGTTCGAATCGAAAACTCATGTCGTGATGCGTGATGCGTCGTTTTATTTTTCGAGCCTAGTACACCTTCTTCTTCTCGTCGACGGAGAACTGTCCAGGGCCCATGTTGACCAGCAAAAGGAGGCCACCGCTGCTGCTTGTTAGTAAATGTGCATCGAATCCGATGTAGAATGGTGGTACTTACACAATCGAGAGAATCTGGAAAAAGTCGTACTTGGCAAAGTCCTTGTGAGGGTGTTGCGGGTGCAGGGTCCACCAGTCGTTGACGTAGAGGTTGAAGATGCTGAGAATCAGCACCAGCATAACAGCAGAGAACTTGGCCTTGAAGCCAACAACAACCATGACACAGGCAACGAATCCCAGAATGCTTGCAATGATTCGCCAAAACCCCCAGTCGCCGCGGAAAACAAATCCAACGAAGAGGAAAATCAGAAGAACACGTCCAGCAAGCTGAAAGTACATCTTCTTGTCCTTTTCATCAAGCTGGGGAAGACCAGCTGGAGCAAACTTCTTGCGAACCCACGAGTCGGAGAGAACCATGAGAAGGCCACCAACAACCGACAAGTTGCGGAGGAAGAAGTTGAGGTCGAATACGAGACCGTATCCGAGACCCTGCAACACGACCACGCCCATGAGCCCGCCCACGCTGAATTCGGAGTATTTCCGGGCAATAACACCAACGGAGCAGACCGTCATGGCGATGACGTTGACAATGAGGAACGTGTGCGTTAAACCATTGGGGACTGAGTGGCGCCAAGTGTTAGTCACGGGTCTCAACGTGTCGTGAGGGGTAGAATCGAGACATACTGAGTCGGTAGTCATGGAGGTATGTGAGCTGGTCGCGCCATTGAGTCACTATGCGTAACGCGTCCTCTAGAAAAGTTACGACAATCAGGAAGCGGCCAATTGCTGGCAAGTAACTGTGCAAGATGCAAGTCAGCCCATGTTTCTCAGACGGGCCGTTTTGTGTAGCCAGCACCACAAGAGGTGTCTAGTACAAACTTCACGCCCGTGAGCTCCAGCCTTTACTTACGGCTTGATGGGGTCGGCGACAGTGTCCAGCATGTCCTCTAGTTTGCTTGTCTGGGCCCTCAGTTGGTCGAGGGGACTCGGGTCGTTGTTCATGTCGTCGTTGCGCCCTGAGTTGCCAAAGGGGCTTTGGTTTCCCAAATGGTAGCCAGCTGTGCCGCGTATCTGCGCCATGGCTGGAGGATTGTAGAGAGGAAAGGAGGGTGCGAGGCGGAGGTGTAATAGGTGATAGGGTTGCTCCTGCGAACAGGTGTCCTTGACGCGATCGATTCTCGGAAACGTCAGATTATGTCAGCAACCTAACCTATTGCGCGTTACCCTGCGGTCTCACTATACTGATCTGTCGCAAGCTAAATAGATTGCAGGGTTGGAGGGGCCTATAACCTTCCGTCTAGAGATGGTTAGTTACAATCACCGATAGTACTGTATATCCGCCATCCGAACCATGTCCGCGTGCTCATGTGCTCATCCTTGTCTCACGCAACCTGCGCCGTTGCAACGCAGGTACTTGGACATGCACTGTTGGTTAAAGGCCACATTGCCCAACCGGCGCCCACCGTATTAGCGAGCTTTTGGGGCTGACTCGGATACGGTAGTCCCGGTGGGCCTTGATACAATTATAACCTCTACTCGGGGTGCGCTGACTACGCCCACCACGCCTGGTGGCCTTGCGGCTCCTCGGAACCCGAGAATAGATCCCAGTAAATCATTAGGCCATCTCAAATGGGCACAGCTCCTCTTTGCTGCACTTGAAGCACTTAGCGACCAAAGCCTTGTCTTTTCTATGTAGTGAGCCTCAAATAAGCGTTCTCGCCAAATCTCAGCGGGTAGCGCAACTTGGTGCTCATGTTCCGACAGTGAAATACAACGAGAGAATACAAGGGCAGGTTTCGCACACAGTTCCAGATGTAAACCCCGTACGCCGATACTTTTTCCAAACATTCAGCATACCAGGTAGGGAAATTTGCCCTCAATATCCCCCCATCGTGCTCGTCGCCCAGACGTTCCCACGTAGCATACCGACTTTTTACCTCCCTCCTCTACCAGATCCTTGGACAGGTTGCCGTCCCAACGCCTGTAAGACCCCTGTACTAACGGTCATGGCCATTACCGAAATTTGGAAAGAATGATAACACATAGGTATTGCATGGCTGCACGCATGGGCCACGATTCTCTAGGACAAATTGCTGGTTTAGTCATGGTCAACAACCTCACATGACGGCCCAATCGTCAATCTCATCGCCAGTCTTGGGGTTAAACTCCTCGGCGAGAATCTGGTAACGAGAGCTGGGGTTCTTGCTCTCCCTAAGAGTCTCCGTGGGTCGGACTGGCTTTGCCGGCTGGGATGCCTTGACGGTGTTGATGTCATCACGCTCCTCGGCAAGTTCCTCGTTGACGGTCTTGCGCTTAGTCTTGCCTCCCTTGGGAACAGTGGTCCAGGCAGAGTCTTCCATGGCAAGTCTGAGCTGCTCTTCCTCAGAAGGCAGGCTGTTGTAAGGGCCAGAGGTAGTGTTCTTGCCGTTTGTAGGGGCAGGAGCAGTGGCAGCGGGAGCGGGAGTAGGAGCCTCAAAAGTGTCGAGGAGCTGACCAGTAGGGGCTGACTTGGGAGGCTGGACCGCGCCACGAGATGGGACCTCTGTCCAAGGGTTCGACGCAGGAGGCTTGCTCTGCTGACCGTTCTTGGCCGGCTCACCGCGAGCCTCACGGGCAGTACGGCGCTGCTTCTCCTCAAGAGCCTTGCGCTGCTTCTCTTCCTCCTCGCGCGCAGCCTTGGCCTCCTCAGCCTTCTTCCTGTTCTGACGTTGCTTCTTGGTCTCCTGCGCAACCTCGGCCTTTTGTGTCTGGGCCTTGACGGACTTGGCGGGCTTTTCGGAAGGCTTGATGCTCACTACCGAGGGAGAGACAGAGCGCTCGCCCAACATATCAGAGACGTCCTTGCCACTGGGTGCCTTGGCAATGGAGGCAGCAGGTGGAGCAACCTCCTCCTGTGCCACAGGAGCGGCCTTGGGAGCGGTCGCCTTGCCGCTGGTGTCCTGAGCAGGCTTGGCCGACTTGCGGGGAGCCTTGGCCTTGGGCTGCTTCTGCTTGGGCTTGGTCTCAGAGTCCCAGTTGACCGCCTCCTTCAACGAGTTGGTGGTGGACTTGCCCGTTGTTGACCGTCCTCGCGCAACGCCATCGTTGTTTTGGTGTGCATAGTACCAGTATGCGGCAGCGCCAATGGCCAGGAACATGGCCCAGCTCATCCATGTCTCCATGATGGGCTAAGTGTGGTGTACAATGCCTCGAAAGGAGTCGCCGCTAATGAATACGTGGCCGCTTTCCGTGAGGTGGACTGCTGGCAATTGTTAGGCGACAGATGACGTATGCGCGAATTGCGATACAATAGTTGAAGCAGGCGGCAGGGTAGGAACAAAGTGTGATTGAGAGGCAATGGAGCGAGGGAAGGGGGCGGAATGACGGTGATGGCCCAGCAAGGTTGAGCAAGCAGGAGTGAAAGACGAAAAGGGGCTTACCGGTGGTGAATTGCCTTTGTCTTAGGCTGGGCGTGGTAAGCTAGATGCCTGACACGTTGCACAGGCAAGCGACGCTCAGGTGTCGAGATGGTAGAGGGAAGAGGCCAGGTAAAGGTGTTGGACCACTTGGGAAGCGTGGAGTGCAGCCACCGAGTCGCGCACTCGCCGCTTGTGGACTGTGTAGGGTGCAAACAGGCCAAGGGAGGGACAATGGCGGCGGCAAGGCGTCTTGACTAAGAATGGATATGGGAGAGACGGGGACGAAGGAGGGAGTGAGGGTGCAGGGCGAAGGTGGCTTTCATGTGGTAGTCGTCGAGCTTGCGAGTACTCTCTCGATTGGGGGACGCGGCTAGGCAGGGGTCCGCCAACCCGCTGCCGCAGACCGCAGACCGCAGAGGCATGCCTTGTCCTTGACGGCAATGCCGAGCACAATGCGACCAGCTGCATTCATTGCCAGTGCATGCAGACCGAATGCACCTTGCCATTTCGCCGCCTTGTGCGCAGAAGCCAGCCGTTGCAAATTACTAATGCCACCATCTTGTTGCTTGCATCCCGTCCCGTCCTGTCCTGTCCTGTCCTGTTCTTGGGACTACCGAGTTACAACAGCGCCTTGAAAAGGACACGAAGCGTGATACTACCCTCGCTCTCTACTCGTCCCACTCGGCCACACCCCTGCTCCGATGTGCTGGCCGTGCGACTACTACCATCACCACACATGAGCCCTCTGTCACGTGCAATTATCCGAGGACACATACGCCTACCTCTCCTGCGCCCAACAAACAACAACCACATAAAACAAGCATATTCGTTATCATCGTATGACATGACCTTTGCCTTCAACTATGTACACCCAATCCATTCCCACGTGCAGCCCACATATGTACAACGCCGCTCCCGCTTAGTTTCGTTTTCCCAGGCCAGAAGATAAGAAGGGGAGAGGAAAACAAAACAACAACAACAACGCTGTCGCGCAAAAAAAAAAGTCTCTGAAAGAAAAAACATGACTTCCGTTCTTCTTCTCGAAAGGAAATCAACACCGCCTCTTCGCCTCAGCCGCCTCGCAAACATCTGCCCCCTTCCTTTTCCGACTCTCGCCATCGCTATGCAGACTTGAGCTTCGACTCATGGGCGGCGTTGCAACACCATGCGACAAGGGCACTTGCCTACAGTATTGCGACGGCGAGGTAGCAGTCTGATACATACTACCGCTTCGCTGCAGTGGCGGTGATGCCGTCTTTTGCTCCTCGGCAGCAACAGCTGCTGCCGCTGCTGCTTGTCTTTGTTGTAGTTGTTGATGAGCCTGTAGTGCCGCTGCCTGGTTTCGCTGCGCCATCTGCATCTGTCTTGCAATATCGCCTAACCCTGGCCCTACAATGTTCCGGTCCCCTAGTACCGTCGCACCGCAATTGACCGTGATGTTGATGTTAGGATACCTATGCACCCCCCTGACTTGGGTTCTTGTTGTGCGCTGCGCCTGCGCCGTTGCTAGTGGCACTGGGCTTGGAGGTGTAAGAGGTCGTGTGGCGTCGTCTACTGGTATTTTATCCCCACAGTTAAGCAAGCTCGTGATGAGGTTTGCTATCCGTACACTGTCCATTTGCGCAATAGATATGATGTTTCCGTGCCCGCGGATCTGTGTAGCGGCGTTGATGACAACCTCAGGCGTGTCATGGTCCGTTTCCCTGTCGTCCTCTTCTCCTTCAAAATGGAGGTACGGGCTTGATGCGCTCGATCTCGGCATGTTGGAATCCATGACTGTTTCGTAGGCTGGGGGTGCTGGCATTTGTTCCAATGATGATATCGAACTACTAGTATTGCTGAATTGAGATTGTGAAGTTTGTTGTAGTGCTGATACTTTTGCACTGTGCACGGCGGTATGATCAAAGGGCCCCATGGCCTATATGCACCCTCTTTTCCCAAATTCTCCCAAGTTGTTTGGCACGATGATGTGGGGTACCGTGATCGTGGAGTCGTGGCGTGATGTTGGTGTGATGGATTATCCGAAGATCATGCGAGTCGACTACCAGCACATAGTGGTTGAACGCTTTGCCGGAAAGTATTGCGCGACCACGAAATCTAAACGGTAGATTTGCCCCGGTAGATACCGTGATTTATTACACAAGCAGTGATCGGAGATGGCCGCTGGCCGTGCTCTCTCTACTATTTGCCTTGTTGGGAGGAACCCCTACGGAAAGTTAGCAATTGAGAAATGGCGTCTTCTAAACGAAGCAACATGTCACGTACGTACCGGAAAGGCAATTGTCTCAGTACTTAGTATTCCGACGCCGAGTTCTTCCTCCCTGGGATAACCCAAGATAGCGGCAGCAGGACACTACCCTAAATAACCCCCCAGCCAGCAGCTATTCAGCACCACCTGTAACAGGTAGCACAATAGCAAGGCCAAACAATCTCATGCATGTATTGCGCCACTGCATCATGCACAATAGCAAATGCAACGTCGGTCGCACACAGAGCGCACAAGGTGCAAGATGCGCCGGCCTTGCTATTGTGACCCTCGTCACTCAATAGCCTTGCACTAGGCAGCTTTCAGCACCTGCGCCACAACCATGGCATCGGGCATTGGATGGGTTTCATAAGCCATGAGCGAATAAAATACTATCACCCTACCAACACTCCTTACCGCATGCTGATCCGCATCCATTCCGGGGGGGGGGGGGCTTGACACTGGAGAAGGAGTCACAAATGGAGGGTCTGTGGTGTGGCACTATGTAACAGTGTGGACGATGTTTTCAGACAAGTGTTTGGTGGTGTTGGACATGAGACCTTTCTTGGGACTGTACCATTCGCTCCTTCTCCATGCAGCAGCCAGCTATTCCCGGAACGTCCGTCTATCTCGCGCCCTGCCAGTCGTCCTCCCGTCGTCTCTCGTCTCTCGTCATTCTGGCATTGTTCATCTTTCCCAAGACAATGGTACAGGTATCCACTGCTATCATCACTTACGGGACTTATCGGTTGATCATTACTACATACGATACTAAAGGCGTGTAGTCCCTGGATGGCGATGATGATCGTAGAGATCTCCTCTCGCCCTTGGCTCAACTTGTGCCTCTTAAGGATACTTGGGGTGCATCGCTGGGTTCTCGAGATCATGGTCATTGGTATAGTGCCTGTTTTCTCGGCCGACACTACGAGACCCTTCTGATATCACCACTCTTCTTCGGATCAAATCAACCATGTCTTGCTTCTTTGTCTCTCATTGTTTCATGCTTGGCGTCATGCAGTTGTTGCAGGCTTGCAGCACCATTACCGTTTCATGTAATCTGGCAAAGTGAATAGGAAAGATGAAGGGGTCAAAGACTGGTACATGTAAACAATAATCTTGCCCCTCGCCTAAAGATCTCATGCTAGTGATTCTCAAGTAGATGTAGGCGGTATTGATTCATCAGGTCGAACAGTGACTCGCTCAAAGACATACCCTATGTGCGGCCTTTGACTGACTCCACCTGCCATGACTATGTTTTGCCAAATTCTGTGACTGAATAAACTCAAAGAGATTCGTGTTAATCTCATAACTGATCACAAGATCAGTTGGTTAGAAGCACAGAAAGTCGCCACACGTGTGTGTTTGGAGTATGGACTGCGAAATGTATGCTGCAGGCATGCGGCATAGTGCATACGCATCCTACGGTGCATGTAGACGACAACCAAATATCGAGGAGGGTGGCTTCTGGACAACATAATAGACGTAGCGCGACCAAAACGGAAACAATAATAAGAATGCAAATAATTCTGCCATATCCCACATCTACAAAGCGCAGCTCTTGCTGTAACCTATACTTCCAACTATGTAGACAGCCTTTACTGTAAAAAGAGAGACGACGCCATACGCTGTAGGCTATAACAGATCTCGCTAAACCATTCGTCTCAAAGGCAAACAAAAGCTGCCTGTGCTCCGTGGCAACGAAACAGCTTGGCCCTTCGCATCCTTGACCCCAAGTCTCCGTGCCCAGACACACCCAAACCAGCCCAACAGCCTCTATTGTTGGCATTGATAAAATTTCCGTTGGTGTTATACAAAGTGTACCGTTATGACAGACACACCCGCCCAAGACGCCACGCTGCAAGAAAACAATGCGACTAAGTTTCAAAATGTGGGAATCAGTGTTGAAGAAAACGGGGCTCAGCGACCAAAGTAGAGCACGCCACAACAAGGCAAAAGCTCCATCAGCTTACCACGGTCGGCCAAGAAAACGTTTTCTTACTATAGACCTAGGCCCCGCATCATCGTTGTGGCCTATACTGGGGTATCTCGTGCGTTGGCCTTTCATGGTAGAAAAGATTCTCAGACCAAGGTGGCAGTTTCTTGTCACGTTCGTAAAGGTACCCGCAGTTATTGCACAGGCTGCGCGGTCCTTTTGGACCATCTCGAACAGCCCAGACCGCAGTTCCCCAAACCCAGCAGTGTGAACATCTCCACGTTTGCCTCTCCCTGTACCGTAAACGTTAGCAAAAAAAAAACAAGAACCTCCTTGTAGCTGAATTGTGAATACGTACCCCTCTTGCAGCCCGCCGTCCTGCCCACCATAGCCGGATCCGCCTCCTCCAGCGCCAGGTGTGCCGCGCCCGACAGGGCTCAAACTCCTGAATCTTCTCTTCTTCTTGCTACGCTCACCACGGCCCATGTTTTCTTGTCCTTCGATGTTGTTGAAGAACTCATTGGCTGGAGTGCCCGTCATATTTGATGTTGACGAAAAGCGCGCAGTTTCTCGCCGTAATCGGCGAATTTGCCTCTCGCGGTCGCCTTCACGCTTTTCGATTTCTTCGGGCGACAAAATCTCAACCTTTGGCTCCCACTCGTCACAGAGATGTTCTTGATCGTATCTCCACCCTGCGCCAATCGTGGGCTCCACAGCGTCATTGTCAATTTCTCCGTCACCCACTAGTCCGCCGTTTTCACACGCCTCCTTTTTGAGCCGCAGGACAGCTTCATAGATACTATGCGTCATAGCATTCACCCATTCACCTGAAAGTCCAAGATCGGCACACGTCGTCTTGGCAAACATTTCTGCAAAACCTGGGGGGTGTAGCAATGACCACTCAAATTTGTCCGTGTATAACCGGTTCATGAGGTTGATGTTCAGTGTGACGATGCATCGGTACGTGTCATCCGGGTTGTGGAGTTCTTCCGAAGGCAGGGCCGTAGCTTTTGCACTGATGCCATTTGGTATACCTGCTGGTGTTTGCACACCTTCTGCTTGAGATGCGCCGTTTGTCATTGGTGTAGATGCACCATTCGTGGCTGGGACTACGGGAGTAGAAGTACCATCGCGAGATGACGAAGGCAGCGCAGGTTTGGCACCGGTTCCCTGTACAGCAGGCGAGTTTGCGGAATGGAAGAGAGGATGAAGCGCAACGCCAGCATACTCCTCCAACTGCTGTCGGATTTGATTGGCAATTTGAGATATTATCAAGGGTTTCCGCTCATTTGGAAGATCCAGTTCATCCACAAACTGCTTTGCAAATTGATCAGGTGTCGTCAGAGCCTCGTGTAGGTTCCACAAAAACGAGTCCTTGAGTCTGTATGCAGGGGTGACGTCAGGCTGTTTGTACGCGGGCAGGTTCTCGTTGATGCCGAACTCGCGAGCATTCGAGGGTGTGGGTAGCGGCGCATCGGGGCGGAAAGCCTGAATGTCCATGTCTATACGAATGGGGATCAGTGTCACTGGTAGGACGGACTGCGTCAGGACTTGCTTCTCAGTTCTGCTACATGTTAGTTTTCCAACGATCTCTTTAACCCACAGCCAAGCCCTGCCACTATGCCACTCACAATGTTCGCTTTGGCCTGCCCATCCAGTCTCTCCAAATTCCTTGCAGGTCGATTGGTGCCGTAAGTTCCTCGCCCAAAGCAGCGATTTGCGCTGAGTGATCAGCGTTTAGCGGGTCGGCCTTTTGTACACTGCGGAGACCTGTTGCTCGTCGCGGGCGGTCGCTATCCTCAAAGTCGTCATCGTCGTAGGCATCTTCCGCGTAGCTGAGAACGGCAGTTCCACGTTTCGTCACGCGCGGTGCAGGAAGCGTATTCGAGGGCGGGACAATGGGCGATATGAGCGAGTTTCCGTGGCTGCGCAGTCGTGGCGCATAGCTGGACATGAAGGCCTGGGGCGGCGCCGTCTTTCCCGTGCTTGTAAACATGGCTGTTGATGCGCGCGATGGGTCGTGTAGGGAATCTGAGGAAGCTCAACAGAGCTCGCGAACACCGGACGCGTCGCAACGTATGGGAGAGCACAATCTGCGCACGAAGCCACGCAGGGTATGTCGGGTTGACTCTGTAGCACGACCCTCCTTCACTATGCCAGATTGTGCAAATCTGTTCAAATTGTGAATCCTCTTGCGCGTACCTGGCAGGCGTTGGGATGCTTTCGCGATTGCGCTGCAGCTAGATGTGCCAAGACACACTAGTCTTTATCTGCACTAGGCCTTCCTCCCTTCACTTCTTCAATGGAACGACCCGCTATACATTTACCTTTCATGGCGGCAGAGGATGAATAAGTTTAGACTTTTGCTCACAAGATAAATTATGGTAGAATGCTGCTGATCTCAAGTCTCAGATACGAAACATACAATGTTGCTTTTTCGACCCCGTCGATATATCTAACTCAGATACCCATCAGTATTGCAAGACTTATCACATCCGATCCACTCCATACTTCACAAATCCCGAGATATGATGAAGAATATTCCACCGTATCCTTCCCTTCATTGGGCTTGGTCATTTCTTTTGACGCTACTGTCTTATTCTCAAATCTCTCGACCACCACCTCTCTATGCTTTTCCCGTCATGTGCACGACGAATCGTTTCAAAATCATTCAACATGGCATATGACCAGCTTCTCCTATTATGCCTGGAAGTTCCAGATGATTTCCACGTCGACAAGTCCCGCAAGGTTTCGAATTCACTGGCCGGTGACATTCAACACATTCGTCACTCTCGCATTCACCTTCACCTTCACAATCGACAGCCGCCAGTCCCTTGACATGTCTCATTGTGAAGCTATTGTGAGATCACGCAACCACTGTCGCTATTGTTCTTTGGTTCCACAACAATCTCCTCACATTCAGCGCAATAATTACATAAAGACTGCTGATATTTTTCCTTGTCCCGCCACACCAAACGCACCAACTACTTCTCCAACTTGCTGATCACCAAGCTTCAAAGCACTCCTTTCCCCACATAACAACACAAATTTTCTAGCAGGTCTGTTAACTCAACATGCCTACCAAGAAGACCACTCTTCTCGCTACCGCGGCCCTGGCGGCCCTGGCGCCTCTCTCCAGTGCCCACATGATCATGGCGAACCCGGTTCCCTTTAACGCCCCGAGTAACTCGCCCCTCGCCCCAGATGGTTCCGACTTCCCTTGCAAGGGCCCTGCTAGCGGCTCAGCTCAAGTTAATGAATGGCCCGTTGGCTCAACCCAATCCCTCTCCTTCTCGGGCACTGCCGTCCACGGTGGTGGCAGCTGCCAGATGAGCGTAACCACCGACAAAACACCCACCAAAGATTCCAAGTGGAAAGTCATCTATAGTATCGAAGGTGGATGCCCTGCAAACGTAAAGGGCAACCTGGATCTGAACAGCGGCAGCTACAACGGCAGTTTCCCCTTTACCGTCCCTCAGGATCTTCCCACTGGAGACTTTACTGTAGCCTGGACATGGTTCAATAAGATTGGCAACCGCGAAATGTACATGAACTGCGCGTCTGTCTCAGTCACTGGCGGTGCAGATGATGCATCGGGCCTAGATGCGCTTCCTGACATGGCGATTGCGAACGTCAACGTCCCAGGCTCGTGTGGTACGACGAAAGAGGGGGCCGACTATACATTTTCGAATCCAGGCGCGTTTGGTACGACGGCTGGTGAAGGTCCGTTTATGGATCTTTGCGCGGGTACGCCTTCGCAGCCTGGAATGGGTCGTGGTGGTAGTGGCTCTGATGGTGCCGCCGGGGCTTCTCTACAGGCTCCAGCAGCATCAGATGCTGGATCCGCGATGCCTTCGACCTTCCGTACTGTCAAGACTCTCACCGCACCTATGCCTCCTGTACCCACCAATCCAGGCGGTGTCATGGCTCCTTCCGCTTGTAGTGCCGCCCCAGCTCCTAAGCCCACGCCCGCTCAACCTTCTCAAGGTCCCGGTATCGCTCATCCCACTGCTGCCCCAGCCCCAGCACCAGCTCCGAGCCCCGTTACACCTCGTCCATCAACTGGACTAGCCCCGGGCTCTGGATCTTCTACCGGCACTCCTTGCTCCACTGACGGCCAACTCGTCTGCTCACCCGACGGCACTCAATATGGTCTTTGTAACTTTGGAAAGGCTGTCATGATGCCTGTGGCTGGAGGAACGAAGTGTGTGAATGGAGCCATCGCAAAACGTGACGATTACACGCACCGAAACCAGCGCACTGCTATCTAGACCGAGTATTCGAGTGGACATGGGCGGTAGTTGTAGACTATTCGGCGTTTCCGGTTTGATATAGTGGAATTGGAAAAAGCAGGAACTTGCAGCTGGGCTCTAGTTACCTGGGTACCATACGATTCTTTTCCTATTTCCTATTGAGCATGCTGAATATGATGTATCAATTCCAATAGAAAATTAGAAAAAATCGATTGAATGTCATTGTCGTCATCTCATGAGTCTAAAAGTAACACTAGCGTGACTGTCACATGAACTATCTATCTCTACTTCTATCTCATCCACCATCTTAGCCTCTGTCCCACCCTACTACTAACCAAGACATATCCCAGAACCCCTGCCAATACACTGTACAAAACCCATTGCGGAATACGTATATCTCCATCTCCTCCCTTGTACCCCCTCGCTTTCTCAACATACGCTTCCTTCCTTCTCACAATTTCCTGCTCCTCTTCCCTCTCCTCCTCCTTCTTCCTCCTAACCTCCTTCAAATACGCCTTAATAAGCGGATCCTCGTCGTCCCTCAAATCCACAAACGCCCTATCTTCCCTTCCCTGGTCAAGCGGACACGCAACATTGAGTCCGCCGACCACCCCCTCCCTCCCTACTTTCCTCTTCCTCTCCACCGACCCATCATCGGGCAACCACTCCTCAAGCACCTGCATCGGCAACGACCGAAAAACAAGACACATCCACAACTCGAGCACATTCATCAGCAACGCCATGTCATCCGTGCCCGGCCCACTATTCACACCAGGTAGAAAAATGACGGCGCCAAGTACATTGTACACGCTCTCCTGCAGCGCAAAGTAGTGCAGCGAGCTATGATCTCTTCTGTATCTGAAATTCAGATGCTGCGCCACGCGAGCCCGCAGATTGTGGCTCTGCCCAACGTAGATGCGCAGTCGCTTGTCGAGGCCCAGGATGCCGTCGAGGTAGATGGCGCGGCCGGAGTAGCGCAGGTCCCCTGAGAGCGGCTTTAGGGCATCGAGAGACCAGCGGTGGGAGAGAAAATTCCAGGTTTGGGGAAGAACGAGGGTATGGCAGAAGGCCAGGAGTTGGGCGTGGCCGTTGCGTTGGATCCAGGGGCCGTAGGTGGTGTTGTAGTGGGGGTGAGATTGGAGTTGAGTAAGAACATGATTGAGGATGCCTCTTGCCTCGGTTTGGGCTGGCGTGAGCTTGTTGATGTTGTTGTCGCTGGAGACATTCGATTGTTTATTTTGGCTTTGTGTTGTTGCCATGTTGGACTACCTATTGATGTTGCATCGCCTGTGCGGCCCGCGGTGTTGTTCGGGAATACCCAAGAAATCGCTACCTGCTGAGTTCTTTTTGTCCAACCAGATTGTAATGAGAAATTCCGAAGTTTGATGTTTGTATACAACCAAGCTGAGGCTGAGGCTGTTGGCGCCTAGTGGTAGTGTAGACCGTATTAGGCAAATACTCAAGAGGCGTCGAATGTAGCGATCCTGACCCGTCGTGTTCAGGCACGCATACGTGGGGCTTGGCGCATCTCTATGGCCTTGATAACCCTTCTCAAATTACTGTGACTATATGAAATATGCATGCCATTTTTCTGCCATTCTTAGATTTAGTGTGCCGCAGAGTGATAAGGTCGGTATCTTGACTTGCTATTGCTGTGATGAGAGAGTGTACATCAGTACGGCCTAGAGTTTGTCTCGGCTACTACTTGGTATTGCCTTACTAGGTCAAGGAATGATAAGATGAGGATGTGAAGGGCAGATTCCAACACAGGACATATTGATAAGTTTTTATCGAGCTGAGCTCGCACTTCTAGTAGTAGAGTGTGGCTTATAGGACGTGGATCGAAGAGATACATTTGTTAGGACGGGGGTTTGCAGTAGTTTTACAATATGAAAGTTATGCTTCAATTTCGTACGGCGTAATAGTACCAAGCTGACACTTCTAGTCATATTTAGGCTATAATGATGGAAATCATTGATACAGAATAAGCAGTATGTTGATCAACGTCGTTAGTGTATGAGTAATCGCTCCGATTTTACCCATTTAATTCGCAAAGCACGGAACACAATGGTGATCTGCTAGGAGAAGCCAACAAAACCACCATTGACTAGAGGCTATATATCAGGTTGATTGGTGAAATGAGGGTAATCAAGCCGTACGATAACAACCGCGTATCATTTGAATAAAATTCTCCTTAGTTATCTTCCCCACCTCCGTCCAGAGCTAATTGTCAGTCTCAATCATATAAATCTCTCCCCATGTCTTTCCAAAAACATTACATCTTCACCGAAACATCAATCTTCCAATAACAAACCCTTCTACCCAAGCGCTATCTTCCTACATCCCATCAACCCAACATGAAGAGCCTTTCCACCCTCATCATTCTTCTCACTGTCAGCGCAGTATCTGCCAGAACCTGTCTCGGCGGCGCCATGGCATGCCATTGTACGTTCTCTACTGCATAGTATATATATATATATATACATATCAGTCCCTATACTGATTGCATCAAAGATGGAGTGCAATCCTGCCTGAAATCATGCTACCATGGCTGCGATTGCGACGACATACGCAGCTTCGACGGAACAGAATATGGCCTGACTCGTAGGGAGTGCACCGTATTGATTAATCCTGAAGTTGGTGGGGATTGCTAGGTTAGCATTATAGAGTAGCTGCGAAGTACCTAAAGGAGGTTCATGATTGAACTGCGTAGGTAGTACACAGAGGTTATAGAGTGTACGGACGCGTGCCCGAGAAGTCTCTACCCATATTAACGACTAGGGGGTAAATTAATAGCGATGCTCCAATTGCGGAAAGTTTTTTCGGTATGCTTTAAATCTTATTCTCCTAGTCTTTCGCACTTCCTACCCTCTTGGTACTCACTGTCGCCTTCTAAACCTAATGATCGCCTGGACTTGAAATAGTATGCGTTCAGCCCATGCTTGAATCTTCTCTTGAAGTAGGTCTTTCCAGCAATATTCAAAGTTATATGAAGACAACTTGTGGCAATTTCACGAGGCGGCATAGTGCAGTGTTAAAGATGGATAGCGGTTGAAGGAGATAGCCACGTTAGCTCGGAGAAGCTTCCGGATTTCGATTGTAGTAAACACCCTTATTCGCCAAGGTGGGGAAGGACCTTTAACTCTGTTGTATGTTTCTGGATTTTTCGACTTTCTTCTTGCAGCTTTTTTTTGTGAACTTGACATGTGTTACGTAGCATGCTCAATCGTACGCACCATGCTACAGGCAGTAGTGGTAATAAGCGACCTTTGTGTATGCCTACGTCACAATGGCAAATGGGCATTCCTCATGTATAATTACACTCGACTGTCTAACTGAATTTGAATGTACTACGGGGTCTAGCTCTCCTTTTGTACGGCAGTTCACTCCTCAATTGTCTTGACGCACTCCCATCCACCACTGAGCCGTTCCTTCCAGAGACTGACCCTGTTGTCGCCAGTGCTCACGGCCAATGCGTTGCCACTCAAGCTCCAGCTGACGCGCCAGGCGGCGGCATCAACATCCAGCTTAGTGCGCTTCCACTCGCCTCGCAAATCCGAAGAGGTCCAGATGACGACAGTTTTATCCTGAGAGGCAGAGGCAATGTATGACTTTGACAGAACAGTGGGTGACCAGGCTACGTCGCGCACCCAGTCCAGGTGACCGCCAGGGAGTATCTGCAGGTTTTGCCAGCTGCCGCTGTCGGGACTGAATTCCCAAATCTTGACCTGGCAGTCACTTCCACCAGTTACCAGCCGCCTGGCAGCCACTTGGTTGCCGCCAGCACTGACGGCTTGTCCAGGCGCAATAGCAGGAGCCCATGATACGCTGTTGACACCACTTCCATGAGCCTGGAAAAGCTGATGTGTCCAGTTGTTATCCTTGAATTCGAGTACGGAGACGTTGCCGTCGGTGGAAGCACATGCGAGTAGGCAGCCTGCCTCGTGGGGTGCCCATGCGACAAGGTTGACCGAGGCCGTGTGAAGAGCGACCTCGTAGATCTTCTGCCAGCTGTTGGACTGCTCGCGCCAGATGAGGACCTTGCCGTCGTATGAGGAGGAGGCGAGGATGTTGCCGTACTTGGGGTGTGCCCATGCGACACTCCATACAGCACCTTCGTGTCTGTCAATGAGTTAGCGGTGAATTGTGACTTGGTTGCGCAGTCCTGGCTGGCTATGACGTACCCTCTGAGCGTCTCTACCAACGTGTGCTTGTCGCCTTCGACCTCGAAGATCTTGATTGTCTTGTCTGACGAACAAGTCGCTAATCGTCGGCCGTAATAGTCCAGAACAGCATCATGCTATAACTTGTTAGCAGCCACCCCGAACATGCTGGTATTGTAATTGAGATGGCCATTGCGCCAGCAAGAGCGCCGCGGCGGGGAAAACAGATGGGCAAGCGGGCATATATGCAAACATACTATCATGTCATCGTGGCCTGAGTTGGCTATAACGTTGGCCTATGTTGCGACAATGGCAGGTTAGCGGCTTGGGTTGGTTGCGTGTTTGGCGGGGGGAGGGTGTGCGTACCATTTTTTTTTGCTCTAAGCCGGTTGCGGGAGAGACGGATCGGTGTAGTGTGGAGGGAGAGGGAGGGTCAGAGTGCTCGAGGATTAGAGTGCGCAGGCAGCAGAACGGCGCGTCCAGACGTGTCCACAGCTTCAAAGTGTAAGTAGACGCTGCTGTGGCCTCAGTGCAGGGGTGCGCTGATGAGATTAGATTAGATTAGATTAGACCAGCCCGACGCGCTAGCAACAACGCCCATAGCCCGCGTCACATGCAACCACTACCTACCTACGAGCATTCAATTCGCAGCGTATATCATGGCGTACTCATCCCCGCGCCATTCACAGCAATTCTATCAATACGACGCATCGACGCCCCCGCCCCCGCCGCCCAAGCCAGGACGTGCGAGTGGAACAGCAACGCCATCTCAAGGCCCTCCGCTGCCGCCCCCACCAGGCCAGGCATCATCATCTGGGGACCTCCAACAGTATTCGCAGACACAGTATCAACAAAATCATGGACACCAAGTGCCCGACCAACTAGCAGTGGCAGGACCAGAGGACGGCTGGCTGCCGGATGTGCTCAAAGACAAATCGTACGTCGGCTCTTGCATGTCGACAAGGCCTCTCTGCTAAGGTGCGGGTTAGGACCAAGGATCTGCATCATGTGCTGCAGACACCAGAACTACAGCATGCGATAATTCACAATCCCGAAACAAGACATGGCTCACTACCTGCATCGACGGCACCTTTGCAAACATTGCTAGCACAGAACATAGGACTTGCCGAATCACTCAAGCAGCTTGAAGCACACGTGCGGCACCAGCGCGATGACGTACAGTCACGTCTGCTAGCGATGCGTGCTCTGGAGCGTCAGTGGAGAGCAAAGCAGAGCGAGCAAGACGAAGCACTGCGGGAGTTCAGCCCGCCCGCGCTATATCAGCGATTGAGCGCGGCAGTAGGCGAGCAAGAAGCCCTGTGCCGAGGACTCGAGGAGAGCTTCCTGGATGGCGAAGGATTTGGCGGCGGAGAGGCGGTAGCCAGTGAGCGCGAAGTAAGCGACTTTGTGCGGCGATTGAGAGAAGGGCGTAGGATTGCCTATCTCCGTGCGGAGCGAAAAGAGCGCTGGGATGAGGGCCGGGTTGGAGGATGGCGATGAAGGAAGGGGTGTGGGTTCTCGGCATGAAGCGCGGCGGCGGGGCTCTTCGTATCGGAGCATTTAGCATGTCGTTGTGTGCATACTTACTGTGTACGAGTGAGATGGGCGGCCCCTAGTGTCAGATAAGGGCCACGGGCAAGGGGATGAAAATAGCACTGGGGAAGGGGAGAGGGGAGAGGGGAGAGGGGTATTTGCATAATGGCAGCATGAGAATTATGCAGGTCAGGGTCAAAGGTCAATTGCCGTGAGAGTGTGTGTGCGGGAGTCCGTGTGGGAAATGCGACTAGAATTACTACTATTTTGCCTGATGGCGTGGGCGAGGGAGGAGGTGGCGGCGGCAGAGGAGGAGGAGGACGGGGATGGGGATGATGGGTTTGGCCAGCAGGATTAGATTGCGCTTCAGGGGTCATGTTCATGTCGTCGGGGTCGTGGTGCGATGCGGCGGCGACGACGAGCACAGCCCACCGTTCGCGGGTGGTGGTGGAGGTGGTGCAAAGCTTGGCGCCGCCTGCCCCATTCGGGTGGTCGAGGAAATTACGTGCGCGAGCCCGATACGCAATGGCTGGCCCTTGGTCAATGCAAGCCACCCGTTGCGGGCGGGCGTGGTCATGGTGGTGTGCCCCAGAATAGTAAGTACACAGTACACAGTAGGTGGGTGGTGTGCTCTCTACTTATCTGTCGCTTCACTAGGCGTACTGTGTACACTCCAGCAATGCAGCCGAGACCCGACTCGACTCCAAGGGGCAGGCCGTTCGTCTGAGGGCCTTGCGGAGCGTTTCACGGCCTCATCCTTTGACGTCCAGCACCCCCGCCACCGCTCATGTCAAGCCCGAGCCGGAGCGCGCGACACATGCCAGACTCTTCAGACTCATGCCGACTGTCCATTTGCATGCCGGCAGCCGACTACTAGAGTAGCGCATCGCTCCCCAGTGCCAGCAACCCACAAGCACACCACGCCCGGCCAGGACACCCTTACTGTCTATGTCGAGCATCCCGACTGCGCCAGGCACCATCGCCAATTGGCCGGATAAAAAAAAAGGCGTGTACCTGCAGATCCGAGCGCAGCCCCCCGGTTGCCCCCTGGCACGGCACACATTCTCGACTCAGGCAGCGCGAACTGCCCATGACAGGCCAGGTCCGCCAGCACAAGCGCTGCCCTCCAGCCAATTCGCGCGCGGTGATCTGCCCAGACGACGCTCCCCAAGCGCCGCGTCTGGCCATTCCTGGCCCTAATCCTGCTAGTAAACTCTCCTTTTGCCAGCAACCGTCTTTGGCGACACCCTCGACCTTCATCAAGCTCCCCATTTGTGCAAGGTCATGTACCTACATATCCGTGTCGCGGGGGAATAACACGACAATATGCAAACCGTCCAAGCGTCCAGCGCCGACACGCGCCCTCTGCCAGCCTCGCCGCCACGCCAAAAGGGCTCCTCCCTCGCCTCGATTGCCATTTCGTCTTTTGCTGCCTTTCGATCTCAGGCTCCCCAACCTGCTCCTCCTCCTCCTGCTCCTCCTGCTCCTCTCGGCCTCCAGTCGCCGCCCGTCCGCAGGAAGCCCCTGCCTGCAGACTCGCCCATTGTAGGCCGCTTTCTTGTCGATCAGTTGAATAGGCCAATTGCTACTATTGCCGCACCATCGCTTAATAGCAGCCTCGCGCCGCCTGTCACTGACGAAGACCTCTTCGTCCCTCGCAATCTTGACGAGTAAGCTCTCCCGCCGCCGACCTGCGCCTTCCCTGCCCTAGCTAACACGTCTCCAAGCAACCCGCATGGACGGACCCCTCTGACGGGAACTACGCCGCAGCCTGCATCCACGTCCCCTAAAAACTTCCCTGTGACAGCTTCCCTGCCAGAACCAAGGCATGACCGACCAGCCAGCAGCATACATCCCCAGCAGCAAAGCAGGTCAGAGGCCCTGAAGGCATTTGGCATCAGCGGAATACACGCCCGCTCTCCTACCATGCCTAATATGCCATTGTACAACAACACCACCAACGCACAACGACCACAACCAAAGTTAGATATAGACGGCGCTACAGACGACTTCATGGACACCTACTCCTACAGTCCAGAAGGAGACTCACGATCAAAGCAAAACAACAAGCCCAAATCCCCGGGAGGAGGAGGTTTCACCTCTTTCTTCGGCTGGAACTCCCGCGGTCAAAACGGCCCCGAGTCTGCGGGTACTGGCTATTCCGAACACTCTCCAAGCCTAGACTCCCCACGCTTCAGCAGGTCTAATAAGGCCAAGCCTATCGGCCTAGATATACCAGCTGCCAACTCTATGGGTTCATACTTCAACGTCCCCGGAACCCCACTTTTATCTTCGTCGCCACAGATGAATGCTCACGTCGAGGAGCTGGAGCGCGAGCTCCGCGAAATCAGCTCCGAGCTCGCTGCCTCGATTCAAAGAGAGATGGAACTCGAGGATGAGGTGGAGCGGTGGAAAGCCGAAAGCTCCACTGGCATCTCAGATAACAGACGTACCAGTGACTACTACTCAGACTCCGGCACCAGCTCTGTTCGATTCCCCATTACCGATCCAGAATCCAAGCTTGAGGAGCTGGACACGCAACGGAGAAAAGCCGAGCAAGAGCGCGCTTCTCTCAAAGTACGCATGGCAGAGCGTTTACAAGAAGAACTTCGTCGACGCCGAGATCTCGAAGAGCAAGTGCAACAGCTTGAAGACCAGGTCAGCAACAAGTCAAGAGTAGGCTCGGTAGTCGAAGCACCACAGGTCAAAGAGCTAGCACTCTCTCTCGAAGATGCCAAAAGGCGTCTGGCTGAGGAGCGGCAGGTAAAGGAGAACTTTGAAGATCTCCTGACAGCCCTCCGCGAAGAACTGGAGAAGCACCGCAACGAGGCTGACAACTTGCGCGACGAAGTCGTTCCACAGCTCAGGGCTCGACTAGAAGTCTTGGAGGCAGATGCCGCCGATACTGAAAAACTCGTCTACGAGTCCAGCCGCATGCAGCAAGAGATCAAACAATTACGAAGCGAAAACGAATCGCTTGCCAAAGCCCGAAAGCAGCAGCTTTTGCAACAGCAGGGACAACCCGTCCAATTCGAATCAATTGCCGAGGAAGCAGACATCACGCCTCTGTCCAATATGCGCGTTGGTCTGACACGGTCAAACTCACTCGCTCGTAGTTCCGCTGGTCTCAATTCCAAGAGGGGTTCACTGTCGCGGTCCAACTCTGTCAAGGATAGATCAGGTGACATGTCTCCTGTAGGTGCGCCGGCAGTCAGCAACCCAATGAAAGAGCTTGAGGAGCAGCGAGATGCGCTACACAAAGCATTGAAACACCTACTTCAACGGCAGGAGATGCAGCAGAGAGAGTTCCAGCGCCGTATTAGGGAGGTAGAGGCCGAAAGAGACGCTGCTCTAAATCTCACTCCCCGACGAACTGCGTTCCACAGGGAGGTCACGGGATTGCGAAGAGAGGTCGATTCTCTTCGACGCCGTGCAGACGAAGCACTCGAGCAGAAATGGCAGTGTGAAAAGGGCTTGGGTGGATTGCGAATGGATCTGGATCGTGCTCAGCAAGAAACCAGCTCGCTTCGTGATCTTCTCCGAGAACACGATATCACGATACCTGAAATCCGCATCGAGAATGAACCCATGGCTCTGGACAAGGCTTACAACGAGCTGCGAACTACGCACGCACTGTCTCTTGCTCGCGTGAAACAGCTAGAAACAAGTGACGCAGACTCGCTTGGAGCGGCTAGCGCTGAAACAGAGAGAACGCTGGACCTGCTCAAGCAGAGCATCTCTGATGCCGAGGCCGAACGTGATTACGCCCAACAAGAAGCTGAGCAGTACCGCCAGCAAGCTCGTGCCCTCCAACAATCCGAGATTGAACACCTTGGCAAAGAGCAGCAGCTCAGCAGGGAGCTGTTTGCTGCGGCTACCCGAATGGATGAACTCTCCAACAAGATTCAAAACCAGCTGACTGCCAACAACGCTCTGCGAGGACGTCTCACCGAGGCTATCATCCGCGGAGAACAAGAGCAGCAAAAGTCTACCGATCAAATTGTCCAGCTTGAGAAGAGGCTCAAGGCGGCAGAGGACAAGGTCATGCTTGCTCAACAGTCGTCGGAAGAGGCAATTGCCCGTCACGAAGGCGAGGTGCAAGCTCTCAAGGAGGGCCACACCAACCACCTGCGCCGCGTCAAGTCTGGACTGCTCAGTCCCTCTGCCTTTTCTCCCAAGTTGCCAACCTCTCCAGTCTTTGCCCAAAAGTCCCCCCGCCTAACGGTAACCACGAGCGGACCGGCCATGACGTTCGCCGAGGCCACTAAGACTGAGATGCTCGAGAAGCGCGTAGAGGAGCTCGAGAAGGCTCTCCGTGATGCTGATCACGAAATGGAAGAAGTCGTCGGCCGCATGAACCTCGCCCAGATGGAGGTGGCCGACCTGCAGTTTGAGAGGTATGTCTTTTGCATATGAATCAGTTCATGATTGTCACTAACATTAGAATAGGGACGAGGCCATGAGGCAAACCAGAGGACTTCAAGCTGAAATTCTTGCCGAGCGCGAAAAGGTCAAGGCCTTGATGGCCACGACTGCATAAGCTGCGTTAACGAGATTGCGACACTTGCCTACCACGTAATGTTTTTTCTACCAACCGCCTACCCCTTCAAGATGATGACAGTGTCTTGGGCACACACATACTTTTTGCATCTTTGGCGTTTCCCAACGACCCATTGCATTTACCACGGGTGCCACGATCATACGTATACTACACTTCACCTTTACATATCTTGTTTTACTATATATCTTTGCCTATGGGCAGTCGGCAGCCTTTGGCCGACAATGTTCTATACCCGTCGGCGGTCAGTGTTACGCGACCTTTCTATATTCGACCCGCGGCAGTCTATTGAGGAGAGTGACCGGAGGGGGGTTTTATTTGGGAGCATCTTGCTCAATGTGGATGGATCTGTACCCTCACGCAGGGTCCGCATGTTGTAGTTGTACTATAAATAATGGTGTAATCGATGATGGTCGAATGTCGCTCAAACAATGCCCTTGTCTGTACCTTTGTCCGTACCTTTACCAGTAGCCACGTGTTACTACACGCGCCTTAGTTGGGAGTGTATCGCCACCGCACAAAATGGCGTGCGACGTTTTTGTGTTACTGGCCCACGCTGCCTTCTCGCGTGGCTGCTTTGGTTGAGTTTTGTGTATCCACATGTGCTGTAAGCTGGGCCGATGGCGGTGGGCGGTAGGCGGTGGGCGGTGGGGTGCGTACGTATCGATAGGGAGCTTACTGCTGTCGATTTTCTGGCGCCTCGAGGCGTATGCGCACACACATGTATGTCAGTATAGACTTACCGACAGCAGCTGTGCACTTCACGGTTCAACCAAACTTGCGCAGCCATGACTCGATCTGGCCGTGGGGGTGGCAGCAGAATGAATAAGGCTGCGTGCGAGCGTGACCATGATGCCGGACTTGGGCAACAAACGACTTTTTGAAACGCACCGAGTTGCTGTTGGCCATGTCTGTTCCCCGCCTGAAGTTGGTCCCTGCGCCCTAAACTTATCCCTGACCGAGCTACTGCGGCAGTCCCCAGCACCTCCCTCTCTTCTTGCCAGCAGTGCGCTGAAGATTCCTCAATAGTCGCCGTGGATCTTTCCTCAACCCCGTGAGCCTGTGGCACTGCTGCTCCCCTTGTCCAGGCATATCGCCCATCTTACTGCTCGTCTCGAGCCCGACTTGATACCCCATCATTCACTACACCGACTCCCCCCTCAAGAGCGATTGCGGAGGCCCACCATGAGCAACAACAACAACAACCAGCAGTCCAACCGGCTCCAGCTCAACTTTGGCTTCAATAACGGTGACCGCAACAATCAGTACCAGCAGGAAGCCGGCAGGGCATTCCCCACGACCCCCTCGACCTTCCCGCAACCTGTGTACCCGAACCAGGCTGGCCAGCAAGAGGTCTGGGGTGCCCAGCAACAAGGCAATGGCTATGGCAGCGGCGGCTACTTTATGAATCCCTACCAGCAAGCGCAATACCAGGGACAACAGGGCAACCTCCAGGGCCAAGGTAGCCAGCGCTTTGATCAGAGTGCCAACGGCTTGGCCCAACAACTCTCACACCAGCATCTCGGAGGCGGCCGCTCAGGAAGTCCCTATGGCCGCCAAGGCTCCCCGAATCCCACGCGTCCCCGTACTGCAGACAACAGATATGGCTATGGAAGTCAGGGCGGTTCGGGACCTCGGCCGTCTTCGCTCTACGATGAAGAGGCTCCCCAAAGGAACCCCGGCAAATACTCGGAGAATGTAGAAAAGCAGGCCATGGTGTCCAAAAGCCTTATCAATACCTTCTTCAAGGATAGTGTGCAGCGAGCACGCGACAGGAATCAAAGGTGGGATTTTGCCCCATTCCCTATCTGTGTCAGCCTAACCTTAGTGTAGAGCGCTCGAACTCGAGGCCCTCATGAAGGAGCCCTCCATCTCCGACAGCCGAAAAGCGAGCAAGGAAAACAGCATGCGCCGGGCCGAAGTCGAATACTTGCGATTCCTACGAACAAAAGAGAAGCCTGAGAACTTTACGACTCTCAAGATTATCGGCAAGGGTGCCTTTGGAGAGGTCAAGTTGGTCCAACGACGCAACGATGGCAAAGTCTATGCACTCAAGTCGCTTGTCAAGCAGGAAATGGTATGCAACCACTCCAGGACAAAAGGCACACTCACCAGACTAATTATGAATAGTTCAAGAAAGACCAGTTGGCACACGTACGGTCAGAACGTGACATTCTCGCCGAGTCTGACAGCCCATGGGTTGTCAAACTACACACCACCTTCCAGGACAATACCTTCCTTTACATGCTCATGGAGTTCTTGCCAGGTGGTGACTTGATGACTATGCTCATCAAGTATGAAATCTTCACCGAGGATATCACACGTTTCTACATGGCTGAGATCACTCTCGCAATTGAAGCTGTCCACAAGCTTGGCTTCATACATCGGTATGTATCTTGGCAATGGTATTCTAATATGGACCCACTAACACTCCCAAGTGATATCAAGCCTGACAATATTCTTCTCGACCGGGGCGGTCACATCAAGCTAACGGATTTCGGTCTGTCAACCGGTTTCCACAAGGAGCACGATGCTGGGTACTACAAGAAGCTGCTTGCTGGTGGCGCACACAAGTCAAACCGCGACAACCGACAGTCAATGAATCTAGACCAGATCCAGCTGACAGTCAGCAACCGTACTCAGATCAACACATGGCGTAAGTCTCGCCGACAGCTTGCGTACTCCACCGTTGGTACCCCTGACTACATTGCGCCCGAGATCTTTAGTGGCCAGGGCTACGACTACAGCTGTGATTGGTGGTCGGTAGGCACAATCATGTTCGAGTGTCTCATCGGCTGGCCACCGTTCTGCGCTGAAGAGCCTCATGATACTTATCGCAAGATTGTCGACTGGCCGCGCAACCTTCACTTCCCTCCAGACCAACAGCTTGGTACCGAGGCCGAAGACTTTGTTCGAAGGTATGTCTTTGCATATATGTATAACTCTTCTATGTCGTGGCTAACATACGTAGACTGATCTGTGATGCTGATCATCGTCTCGGTCGTATTGGTGGCGCCAACGAAATCAAGCAGCATCCCTTTTTCCGGGGCGTGTCATGGGATGGTCTGCGCCGCATTCGCGCGCCTTTCGAGCCCAAGCTGCAGTCCAACATTGATACGCAATACTTCCCTATTGATGAGATTGACCAAAACGACACATCGGCTGCACACAGGGCGCAAGCAGCACAGGCAGGTGAAGACGAGTACGCGACGAGCTTGCCATTCATTGGATACACATATAAGCGATTCGACGCCTTCCGCGGCTCGTAGATGCACTGGTTCTCATACCCACATTACCCGAGTTCGAATTCTACACGTGCTTGTATCTTCTCTGCACAGACACACACACACACACACACACCCTGTCTCTCCCTGGCGGACCAACGCGACGGGCGTACAGTCATATCAAGCTATTTCAATCATGTTTCTAGGATATGTTTTGAGCTCAACCTGTCTTTTGAATATTGTTTTTATATCAAAACCAAAGCGAAAGTAAAGTTCTTCCAATGCATGATTGTTAGGAAAATGTAGGCGAAAGGGTGTGGATAAGACAGGAATTGGGAGAGTTTACTACAAAACATATATATGTCATCTGAATCATCTTGAGCTGTGTCTGGAACTTGACCGCGTTGATGCGTCCTTGCTCTATTGGTATTGAACAGCTACAAGTCCGTTTTTAAGAAAGGCACAACTCATTTCCGTTGCTTTGGTATGACGGTTCGATCTGTTATACCGTTTCCATTCGCAAGGTGTTAACAAAGCTTTCTTGTTATCCTCTCCAACACCGTACACCGTCTTCATGGGAAGCAAATGTACCCGCTGGTAAAGTATCACATCCACCCAAGCTGACTCTCATATCTCCTGTTGTCGCCTTCTTCTTCCAAACATCGCCTCACATTTCGTGAACCTCATATTTCCTCTCGCGCGTTGCCGCATATTGAAACCGCCCGATTGCTTGCGCTCGCCTCATCGCGCCTCGAACTGCACCATACTGTGTTTCCCGTCATGTCAGCTTTTTTGTACTCTTATATATCCCAAAATTTCCTCCTTCTGCAAGTGACACCAGAATGTCGCAGGGCAAAAAGAAAATGTATCTTACCGGTTCGTCCTCTGCTTGTACAAAACGCGGTGACCGCAGTTACGGCAGCGAATCGGCTCGCCGCGCTTAAGCGGGACATCCATGTCGCAGTCGCCGCACTTGTAGTGGACGGTTCGTGCGGTTGCGTCGACGGTTGTGGTTTGGTTGTCTGCGGTGTTGCCGCCGGAGTATTGTTGCGACATTTTTTTTTGCAGGTAGCGGATTGTTTGAGAAGGAAGGTGGGAGAGTGGTAGAACGGTACGAGGGTATGTTGAGGGGAGAGAGGGTGTGGACAGGTGGAAAGTGGAAGAGAGGGAAAATGAAAGGCGATGATGGAACCAAGGCTTGAGGCGCAAAAGGCAGGGTAGCAGGCGCGGTGGCACGTGCCTTATCGATTATGGGTTGGGGGATTGGGCTTGGCGCTTGCGCAGCTGCGCGAGAGATGGGTAGGTGAATCATAGGGATGGTTTTTATGAGAGTTTTTGTTTGTTAGATCACAATGGAGATGGTCAAGAATTGGGGAGATTGGTGTGAAGTGTTGTATTGAATGGTTACAGTTCTGGGTGATTTGTGTCCGAGCCTGGCTGATAAAGTATTTCTTGATAGCGGACGTAAAGGGAATGTCACATTACATTTCAGCGCCGGAAAACTGTATGGAAATAGCACACCGACAGGTTAGGTCCCTATCAGAAATCATATTGTTTTCGACTCAATGCTTAGACATTTGGTGTCCTTGACGAAGTACATATTTATTTCGCTAACAATGGAAGTTGTTGCAAATACTATGCCCGTCTTGGACCAAGAACCATTAGAAGTAATAGCTAAGTAATAAGAATGTTCATATTTGATGAACAGCATGAGATGGAATTGTCGCGAGATGCTTGGGAACGATAATGGGCCACATGTGGGACATCCACCGCACTATCTATATTGGGACTAGTGTGGCAGAATCCCGGCCCGCGCTTCGAGAAAAAGTTGGGAAAGTCGCGACTTTTTGCGACCACAGACTTCAAGCCCGCAACACCACATATCCATACCCGCCATGGCCGGAATCAAGCGCAAATCCACAGGGGGCAGTGCGCCTGAGGTCAAGGACAAGAGCAAGAAGGTCAAAGTTGACAAGTCGGCGTCAAAGACTAAATCCAAGCACGAGGTCAAGCCAGTAAAGAAGGCGAAAAAGGCCAAGGAAGAGAGCTCCAGCGAATTCGAGGAGTCAGATACCAGTGAACAAGACAATGGCTTCTACGGATTTTCTGCCGCCGACGGCGAGGATGTGCAGATGAGCGATGCGGAAAGCAGCGAAGAAGCCGAAGAGACCAACGGCAAGACACAGAAGCCTAAGAACGAAAGCGATGGCTCCAAAAGGCCTAAGGGTGATGGCGTGGAATCCAAACTGGCAGGATTGAATGGTAAGACTCAGTTTCTTCTCCAATTGACACCTCTTGTTAACTGTAAGTCCAGTAAGCAACTCGCGGGAAGCGCATGCGAAACAAAAAGCCCTCGCCAAAGAACGCAAGGCCGCGAAACCCAATGCGGACATCATTGAGCGCTCTAAGAAACTTTGGGAGAAGCTTAGGCTCAAATCTCATGTCGACAAGGATGAGAGGAAGGAACTTGTCAAGGAGCTGTTTGACATCATAACTGGTCGGGTCAAAGACTTCGTCTTCAAGCACGACTCTGTGCGTGTCATCCAGACTGCAATCAAGTACTCAACCATGGAGCAAAGGAGAATGATTGCCCGCGAACTGAAGGGAGAGTTCAAGGTCCTGGCCGAGGGCAAGTACTCCAAGTTTTTAATCGCCAAATTGGTAGAGAAAGGGTGTGTTTGCTAGTCATGTTCTAGGCAATATCTATACTAATGTTTCACAGCGACCCCGAGATTCGAGACCTCATCATCACCGAGTTCTACAGCCACGTCAAGCGCATGATTAACCATCCCGAAGCCGCATGGATAGTCGACGATATCTATCGAGCAGTCGCCACCCCCGAGCAAAAGAACCGCCTACTTCGAGAATGGTATGGACCCGAGTTTTCTATCAAGGGTCTCGGAGCCCAAGGCACAGATAGTGCAGAGCTCTCGGCTATCATAAAGGAGTCGCCTGAGAAGAAGAAGCCAATCATGGACTACTTGGAGAACCAAATCAACTCGCTCATCCAAAAGAAGCTGACTGGATTCACCATGCTGCACGATGCTATGTTGCAGTACTTCCTAGTCTGTGAACCCGGCACCGAGCAAGCAAATGATTTCCTTGAGCACCTTAAGCCTGATCCGACACTGAAGGAAGGTGAGGAGGCCGATAACGTGGATCTGTTGAAGAATCTTGCGTTCACCAAATCGGGCTCAAGACTCATGTCACTCTGCTTCGCATATGGTACTGCAAAAGACCGCAAGCTATTCTTGCGGCCATACAAAGACACTGTTGAGATAATGGCTTATGACCAGCATGCTCACCACGTTCTTCTTGCTGCATTGGCTGTAACAGATGACACCAAACTCTCTGCGAAGTCAGTCTTCAGCGAACTCCTTCCGAACAACGACTCCCTTCCCGAAAAGGTGCTCAATCTTGTGAACGATGCTCGCGCACGTACAGTTCTATTATACCCATTCGCAGCTGATGCCAAGTGGCTGTTGGATGACAACACCCGAGAGCGACTGGCTGAGATATACGCCATTCGTCAAACAACATCTAAGAAGGACCCGAATATCCGTCTGCAGGAGATTGCAAAGAACATCGAACCACAGCTGCTTACAGCGGTCACTGCACGAGCCGCGGACTTTGCCTCGTTTGCCTTCGGCTTGCAATTCATGGGCGAAGTTCTTGTTGGAGCACCCGAGGTCGAGCCGGCTAAGCGCAAGGAGGCCTTGACAGAAGTCGCACGCCTTTCTCAGTCGATACTGGATTCCTCTCTCCCTGCTTCAGCTGGCGACAACAAGGCCACCAGTCATGGCAAGAACATGCTCAAGATGCTTGTACAAGGCGGCAAATTCGACACAGTCGCAAAGAAGGTTGTTCCTGTTGAGCCCGCTCTTGGTTTTGCAGATTTGCTTTGGCCCCAGATCAAGGACAAGATTGCTGACTGGGCGACTGGCCAAGGATCGTTTGTTGTTGTGTCGATGACTGAAGCTCAAGGCTTTGCAAAGAAGGATGAGGTGTTGAAAGTATTGAAGAAGGAGAAGAAGGCATTGGAAGCTGTTGCCAACCCCCCGGGCAGCAGAAATGGGGAGCCGAAGGGCAAAAAGCAGAAAAAGGGCGATAAGTCAGACTCTGTGCCTCGGGGAAATGCAGGCACAAGAATCTTGCTTGAAAAGTTGTAAAGCAGCCAACCAGTAGAATATGTTTATCTGAACACATGTCATGATACCCATCTGAGGCTTCTACTGTCCATATTTTGGGTTTAAAATCAATAAGTTTTTTTGATTCACGTCAAATCATGCTGTGGCCAGGCAAATGTAAGATGCTCTAGCATAGGCTGAAATGGTCCTAATCGGGTAAAGCATCCGTACCCATATGCAGCAGACACGTTGAGGCGAGATGCATCTGCCTATTTATTTATCAGAAGCCTTTCATTCACTTTTTTGTACGGACACAGTTTGGTTATCTCTGCCGTGCTTTGCTCAGAACTTCCCTGCAAGCGAAATATAGCTGTTAAACCAGCAGGTATCTCGAGATAATACCGCCTTTGGCCTCCGAACCCCACCTATAAGATAGCGAGCAAAGAGGACTTCAAAAAGTGCGATACTATTGTCACCGCAATGTCACCGGAATTTACCATCGACCGGGAATCTCTTCCGTCCGTCTTTCAAGCCCAATGGCAATCCAATCCTGATCCAACAGCGCTTCCCTTTCCACGTGACAACCCACCTTTCCCCCTCACCGCAATCGACTGGCACCAGCTCTCCCTTACGGACGCAGAATTCACACCTCACTCATGGTCCAACCTACACGAACTCATCTCTGCAAACCAACTCGAAGAACTCAAACGCTGGCCCAGCTCCCTCAAAGCGTATCTCGCATGGACGGCGCACGCCAAAGCAAAATACGGCAGCATAATGGCGTACCTACTCGACCAACGCCTTCACTGGCAGCCCATCGGGGATGACTCAGGTGCGCTGCGCTTCGATGTCGTCAATCCCGTCCCTTTTGCCGATACGGCAGACTTCAAGATCCTGCGAAACGACTGGACGTACGCATTCGAAGACGGTATCACGCACATCGTTGTATGGCTCAAACAGCGGCTCCCCGTTGATGAAGAGGGCGCGCTGAGTACCGAGGGCAAGCAAATGGTGGATGCATTTGTGAATAAGGAGTTTCGGGTCAAGTCCGGTGAGGAGATCAAGGGCGACAAGGTGATTTGGTTCAAGAATACCACGAATTTGCAGAGTGTGCGGAGTTTGGAACATGTGCACGTTTTGGTGAGGGGGGTAGAGGCAAGGGTGTTGGAGGGGTGGATGAGGTGAGGATGGGGAGTATAGGGGGGCTTAGTGTGGTAGCATCTGCGTGTTGCATTGCGAAATAGACTTCAATTTTTGTAGATTTGGAATATTTCCCATCGATTTGAACATTGCAATTACCATTGCATCTCTTTCAGAGGTTGATATGCTATTGTTGTTTCCATTTGAGTGATGCTTTAATATTTCCCTTAATTGCGGTTTTCGGAACGTTTCTATCAGCGTTGCTTTTGTTGTTTTGTCGTGAAATATTCTTTTAAAGTTCTCTGGGGGAACGTTCAAGATAGCACATCTTCTTTCGACTCCTAAGACGCAGTATAAGATGTCCACTTAGTATACATCATGGGTACCTAATAAAAGAGTAGATCCGAGACACGATACAGAGCCACTGGTTCTCTACTCACTAATTGCTTACACATACTCTAACCTGTCGTATATGCTATCATCAATGTTCGCCCAAGCGCGCTCGGACATATGGTGTGGTGCGACCTTTTCTCTTCAGCAATCTTGTATTGTCCCAAGTGTTATTAACTATATCCCGCCCAGAATAGATTACCACCGTAATGAGGCAGTTGACTTCCACTGACTTCGGTTCTAGTACTTTACTGGCTTGGGAAACCCCGGAATGCAGGGTATCAGCTCATAGCCAAGTATACACACAGAAACAGCGTTTAGACGTTGCGAAAAACTGGTACTCTCTTCAACATACTAGACTTGGTGCGGCCGTGAGGCAGGTCATGATAGAGAATCTATAGGGTTATACCTTTCTCCTCCGCGTTCATCCCATTTCCCCGGACCCTGTTTGTAGCAGACCATGGATACGTGCGACTCTCTAAGAAAAGCATTTGTGCTGCACTGCGTGTCCTTATCGAAACCACGATTCGTTGTGCTGCTATATCATCACAGCCGTAGTTCATTGTTCTGCTGCCTTCGTCGCAACTGTAATGTATTCGGTTGTCGTACCCAATGGAGATGTGCCTAATGAGCATATAATAGCTGTTACCCAGTGTAAGTTTAAGCTAAATAATGAACAAACGAATGGCCGCCTACCAAAGCAGCAGTAGAGAAACCCATGCTAAATGCTTTCTGGCTCGGCGCCATGGCGCCATTACCCTTCCTCCACATGGCCAACATCGTTTCTCTCTCACCCGACGCTTTGATTCTTCTCGTCCTTCGACAGCCATCTAGTTCGTTAAATAATCTGCTCTATTTAATCGCTCCACCCTATCATCACACCGCAATGATTGTTTGAGCCTATCCCATCTCGGCACCTTCATATCCGTCACAAGTCAACACTCCTGACAACCCAAATCGCATACTCATTGGCGACCGAAAAACCGAACAAGAAGATGAAGAATTTATGAACCAATGTTCTAAAATTCAGCTTGACCTAAACAAAGGTAAGCCGGTATCAAAGTCTATCTTAGACATTTCCCGTTGATGCTAACTACCATTGACAGAGGCAACCTCTGATGCTCTTCACAAACATCGGCCATTTAGTTGGTATGAAAAAAATACTACGACACAGTCAAATCTGTTTGGAGATTCTCGGCAATTCCAGTATCACGCCCTCTGGACCTTTGACACCCAAAATCATATTTTGCGTTACACGAACGCGGACTGTTGCGGTGAAATGGGACTCGACCTTCTCTGAGAGTGTGCTACAACATTAGCTGGCATAAAATCAACCGGAGGGCCTGTTTCTATGCCTTTGGAGCCTACATTCAGTTCAGGGACGCCTTGCTGGAAACCACACATAAGAGTCGACGACAGAACGCGTACATTTCTTCATCTCTTACTCCGAGATTTCCATTACAGATGAAGGCATATGCTTCGGAATAATTACAATTCCAAAACTTTGAGAGCAATTTCTCCAGCAATCATTCGAATTTTGACGCTTAATTTTGACGTCCGCGAGAAAACGGGCGGCCATGACCGGTGCGGCGTATATGTATGGATCAAAGAGTCACCCCTCGAAGCCGTTTGAATCTGATTTGGTCTGTGTTGGAACTGTCTGGGTTTTCCTTTGCCAATATATACAAGACGGGCTTTCAAAAGCACAGCAGCACGTAGCGTCGATCGGCATTAGTACGACTGAGAGTGCTGGTGTGACAACGTCAAATGAAGCGCATTTGCATTATATGATTCTGTCAGTCAAGCATATAATGCTCTGTCACGATACCGAACGGGTTTCACTCAAGTACACTGCTTTAGAGCCGCTCTTCAACGGCGATCATGGTTCCTGACCTCCCTCAGATCTAGCACTGAATTATCTCATCTGGGCGACCACTTCTGCCAGGCCTTACATCTCTACAGCCATACAGTCCCTACCCATTGAAATTTAAGATATGGTACTGGGGTACTCATCCATAGGCACAGTAGTAGCCGCTAAATTTGGTTGTGTGCTTGGCTTGGGATCTCTGCTCTTATGGAGAGATAGCCCTCTAAAGTTTATATTGGCGGAAAGATTCTACATTCAGCCTCGGGGATGTCCTGTTGAGACTGGGGTCTTATTCGATGAGCAAAAGAATGCTATACTCTATCTAGCACGAATAGAGTTGTCAGATAATCCGAATTTTGTATGAGTGAAGGAAGTCGATGGATAACACGATAATAACCAGAGTGAGATTGTTGCTATTGTGGCGATCCCGTCAGAATAGTTGATTCTTTACCGTGGGACAGGGGGTTAGTAAAAAGATTTGATACCAAGAACTATTACGTAGGGCCATGAAGGCTATCCAGCACAGGAAGTCGTAGTGGCACCGCGACGGCAATATGACATAGCAGCGTGCTGCCACGGCAGTGATGAACTAAGGATGTGACGACAGGATCTAAAGATGGATGCAGGGGTGTCAACCCATTGTCAAGTATACATACAGAAACAGCAGTTAACTAGTGCGAAAAGTTGGTGTTCTTTACGATGTACTTGATTCAAATTGCCATAGGGGAAAAACCTAGACTTTACATTACAACAGTTCTTTCATTACAGCTAGCTTAGTCCTGTGTTCAGTTCTTCTCTCACATCTTATAGTCGACCAATAGTGACACTAAACACATTTCTGGTGTAGAAATAAATTTAGTTGAATTTATTTCAATCTTTATCACTACAGCCCTAACCTGCCAGCTTCTCAACTCAACAACCCACCAACCCATTAGTCTACTACATCAACCGCCGATTAACCTACCACCTCATCAACCCATTACCCTGCTACCTCACCAATCTATTAACCTAATACCTCACTAACCCACTGACTCTAAAATACAATAACTTAGTCAAACCAGGCCCAGACGTTCCTGATGTTAGAGCAGTCTGGCAGGAAGCAGGATCCACTTGGGTCATTTAGACCGGGAGCCTCCCAACACTGATAGTTGTTGGATGTAGCGACACAGAATTGTCGAAGAGCTCGCTGGCTGTTGGGTCGCGTTTGCGAAACGGTGCAATCCTGAAAGATCTTCATTTTGGTGTTATAATCGACGGAGTACCACTCCCAAGTTGATGCGCTGGTCTATTTGAACCCAAATCCAGTCGATGATCTGGCCCAAGGGGTACCTTCCTTAGCAGCACAGAAGTTCTTCTGCGCCACCGCGGGAATGGTGAGGCCAATGGTGGCGAGAACGAGGGTGTTCAATTGGACCATCTGAGAAGGATTAGAGAAAAGCAAAGTGCGACCGTTAGAGAAGAGTCTGTACTTTTGACTGATTCTGAGCTTTTGAAGCAGATTGAACCGAAAGAGAAGAGTATTGTGGATCTGATAGAGAAGCGGGAGATATAGCGCCAATGGTGAGAAGGTGTGATCACGAAGTGAATGATGATATTCAGAGAAGAGCAATACTATCTTTATATATGTCTACGTACGACCCCAGGATATATGTTTACGGTCTTGGTATACATGCTCACCGCCTTGGTAGAAACTACTAACATAGGGCTTACCTAAGGACTTGGCAAATTCCACCGAGATAATCTAGCAAGGAGACAATACGGGCTGGGGTAAGAGTAAGAGCTATACTATAACAAGTAAGATCTATACTCTATAGAGTTATAATTACTTAAAATAGTCTAGTAATTTTTTATGTTGAGTAATCCGAAGAAGAGCCTGATCGTCGTTATAGTGTCTCTATAGTATGGAACTTGTGACATGTAGCTATTACACGGGGTCTAGAGTGCTAATACTTCTCTAGCTTAGTCCAGGTTAGAGCGAGTAGGACTAGGATTAGCGCTATAAGAGTTACCTAGC